GATTCTCTTTCTTCCCCGTGGGATGCCTTCTCTGCCCTCATTTTCACTTCCTTCAGGCAGCCTCCAGACCAGTGTCAGGGCAGCTCCAGGTCGTGACTCTTGATATAATATGCCTCCCACTTGGCAGCATAATAGCTCAAATATGATCGGGCACATCATGTAATTTACAGGGCACTTTCACCAGCTGTCTTTCCCTTGATCCTTAACACAGTCCTTGGGAGGAAAGGGAAAGTATAGTGCTTACTGGCTCTGTGATCTGTCTTCAAGTTTTAGGTTCTTTATCTGTAAAATGAGGGTGATAATAGGATCTCCCTCATGGAGACAGAACCGTTAAAGGGCTTAATACATGTAAAACAAGTAAAATAGTGCCTGCTACTGTTGGGCTGAATGTTAAATGCTGCCTGTTCTTATTGTTTGCATGATGAGGAAACTGAAGTTTGATCTGAATTTTGTCAAATGGTGTGTTTAAGTATGTACATGTATAAAACAAGACTGAAAGCATTAGGCCCAAATGCCCATGGGGTAGTAGAATATTGGGTGATTGTTTTCTTTAGACTTTCCTAATTTTTCCATGTTTTTTTAGCAAGTATAATTTTTGAAACTCCCTCTTTAAAAGTTTGAGCATAATTTGAGGAAACAAATAGAACTTTTAGTATGGAATTTTGTAAATTTGACTTGGCTCCTCTGTCAATTTTAAAGGCATACCTGGGTTTGGACTGAATGCTTTCTGGACTGCTTGGAGTACAAGAAGACAGCCACACCTGATTATATGCATTGAGGAGGGTGCCTGTAGTGACAGCGAAATGAGCGTTTCAGAACTGAACAATAGGTAGTATTTTAGCACAATTGCAGGATCCTTTCTTCATGATTGCATTTTTAAAGTTTTATGTAGGTAAAGGATTTAACAAGCAGCTTACACTCCTTTTTACTACGGAGTCTCTTCCAAGGTGCTCCTCTCTTCTCCAGGTGGTGTGAAGAGTTCCCTGGGCCGGCAGGTGTGGAGAGGAACCAAGCCGGTGCTGTAGGATTCCTGTTTGTTTCCCTGCTTCCCAGCAGCACGTCCCACATCATCCTCAGAATTCAGCCGCAGCAACTCCGCTTTGACATGATGACCTAATGGCTTTAGAGAACACTTTATTTTAAAGAAAATGGTCTGCGACCCTTCAAAAAAAATCAGAAAGGTTGCACACCCCGCCCCCCCAAAGGAAAGAGGACCGGGTGGGCTTTGGTGTCAGACAAACCTGGGTTCACATTCTAAACCAGGCCACTTCTTAGCTGTGTGAGCCAATACTTAATTTCACTCAGCCTGGGTTTTCTTATTTTTAATAATACCTAAGGATTAAATAAAGGACCTAATTATAATATACCTTGAGTGCTCACCATAAACCGGGTACTTTGTTAAACATAATATCTGTGGATCATTTTGTTTAATCCTCTTATCAGCATCGGAAGGCAGACAAGGCAGCATGCTAAGTGGTTCAGGGGCTAGGCTCCGGAGCTCAGTTCCTGGAGTCAGACTATCTCCTTGATGTCCAATTTCTTTACTCTCCATGGTGTCCGCGTTCCTCGTTTGTAAAATATCTGCTTCACTGGGATTTTGTGAAGTGTTATAAGGTGGTATTTCTTTTTTCTTTCTTTGTGTGTGTGTGTGTGTGTGTTTTGTTGTTATAGCATAGTATTTAAAAGTATGGCCCTTGCTCTCATTACCCTGATATAAAATCTAGATGAAGACACTGCAAAGAAAGAAAACTATAGGCCAATATTCCTGATGGATATAGGTAAGAAATTATCAACAAAATACTAGCAAACCAAATTCAATAAGACATTAAAAGGAGTATAAAGCCCTGGTTGGTGTGGCTCAGTGAACCGAGCGCTGGCCTGCGAACCAAAGGGTCACTCGTTCCATTCCCAGCCAGGGCACATGCCAGCCAGGTCCCCAGTAGGGGGCACGTAAGAGGCAACCACACATTGATGTGACATGGGTTTTTCTTATAAGAGAAATAAGTTCTGGGGATCTAATGTAGAGCATGGTGATTGTAGCTAACAATGCTGAATTACCGTACATACTTGAAAGTCAGGAAGAGTAGATTACATGTTCTCACCACACACACACACACACACACACACACACACACACACACATTATATGAGGTGATGGAGGTGTTAATTAACCCTATGTTGGTAATCATTTGCAACATATGCATGTATCAGACTTACACAATGTTATATGTTAATTATATCTCATTAAAGCTGGGAAAAAAGTATGGCCTCAGGGTCAAATTTTCTGAATTTTAGCTTTACTGCTTAATAGCTGTGTGACCTTAAAAATGTATCTTTAATGGGAGTTTCCTTACCTGTAAAAAGAGGATAAAGTAATGCCTGGGTCCTAAGATTATTGTGAAGATTAAATTAGATTACTTATATAAAACACTTTTTTGTGTGCCTGCCACATAGAAATGTTAATGTGTTGTCAATGAACCCTCTTTCTCATGCCACAAATTTGGTGGTCTTCTTTGACAACACCAATCTAATCCATTAAGCAAGTTATATACAGGGTCCAGCACAAATAACACCTCTTTTTATTACAAAATCTTTTATTACAAAATCATAAGCATGTAATTCTATAACATGGCCATATCATGCTCAAGCATACCATATGACATTTCAGGTGAAATGTTCAAATTAAAACTATAAATTATTACCCTGCCAACCACACTCAGGCACGTGTCACTTCTACTGGATGCTGTGTATTCAAGACATCCCCCAGTTAGCCCATTTTCTTCCACCTTGACTATCGCCGCCTGGGTTCAAGCAAGCCAGTGCCGCCTTTTACCTGGGCTACTGCCACAGCTTTCTAACTGGTCTCCCTGCTCCTGCTTTTGCCACCTGAGCAATTACTTCTCCCCCAGGAGACAGTTTTCTTTTTAAACACGTACATTTGGGATCCCATTAGTTATTTATTGCTGCTAAATAAATTACCCCCAAATTAATGGTTTAAAACAGCCACCATTTATTATCCTGGTTTCTGTGTGTGTCAGGAATTTGGGAGTGGCTCGCAGGGGTGGTTCCTGACCACTGGTGTGTGGTGTTCGGAGGCCTCAGTTCCCAGTCACGGCAGCCCCCGCACCAGGCTGGCCAGTTGTCTTCATGACACGGCCACTCGCTTCCCCTAGAAGTGAGTAACCTCAGAGAGGGAGTAAGATGGGAACAGAAGTGTCACTGTGACCTGCCCTCAAAAGTCACATGCTGTCACTTCTGCTTTCTCCTGTTCTAAGTTCAGCCCATACTTCAGGGGAGAGGAATGAGGCTCCACCTCTTGAAAGGTGAAGTAGCAAAGAATCTGTGGAGACACATCAAAACCCCTAGAGAGCCTTTCCCTTTCCTGCTTAAACGCCCTCCAGTGACTTTCCATCACTCTCACAATAAACACAACTCAACTCCAACTCGCAGCCTTAACAGCTGGTCCCTGCCCACCTGTTCGTATCGGTTGTATCCTTGCTCTCTGGCCCATCATTCTTTAACCACTTCAGGCCTTACCTCATTCCTGAGGGTATCCCCCCTTTTTCAAACAATTATTTCTCCCTAAAATGCTTTATTCCCCGGATGTTTGCCAGCCTGGCTGCTTGGTATCATGTAGGTTTCAACTTAAATACCCTTTTCTTATGAAGGAAGATCAGCTAATCTCAGGTAGCTACACATACTTCCTATTACATTATCCTATTTTAATACTTTTGCATAGCATGCATATTAAAAATGCTTTATGTTCCTATTTATGTGATTCTTGTATTTCCCCACACTAGAATGTGAGCTCCATGAAAGCATGGGCCTTCCTTGTTAATTGCTGTGTTTCATCATTACCTAGAATTTTATTTGGCATAAGATAGTTGTGCAACAAATACATTTTGTATGACTGAATTACTATTATTGCCATTCTATTGGACTGTTAGCCAGATGGAGGCAGGATTTATAATGTTTACTGATGCATCCTCAGGACCTGGCATCTTGGAAATAACCAAAATTTGAAAAACAATATTATAGATGAGGAAATTTAGAGAAGTAAACTAAATTTCCATAGGTCATTTAGCTAGTAATGACAGAGCCCAAGTACACAGCCAGGCCTTCCTGATTCTAAACTATTAGTGCCATGGCATAGAAAGTGCTTGGCACATAATTATCTCTCAGAGAGGGATTCCTCCCCTCTTCTCTTAACTGTCTATCTGACCTTTGTTAATACATTTATATAAAATACATTCATTTCAAAGTCATGCTCAGTGGATGTGTACTATTTGGGACCTATATTTTTTTATGTAACATTCTTTAGATTTATTTGTCGGTAGAGTCCATGTGCTAATTTTATAAGACATCTTGAAGATTTATCTGTGTTTCAACCAGCTCGTCACCTTTTGTATTTTATTTCAGGGGCTGGTAGCAGGTGTTCAGACTCTTGGTATTGCATTTACTTTAGTCCACAGCAAAACTCAGAGGAGCATGAAACAGATTATAATGGTTATTCTCGGTACCTACTTCATTCAGTAAACATGTAAGGCACACGCACCATCTTGTACAAGCTGCGAACTAGGCAGTGGAGTGGGATGCAAGATGAAAATGCTGTCTCCGTCCTCCTAGCAGCCCAAGTTCTAGCAGAGGAAATAGACCTGAAGTGCTTTGATTCTCTATGGATTCTTTGGTTGTAATGATCTAGCCTCACCTATTTTTCTCCCATCTTAAAGATTTGGTGAAATATCCGGAAGGTTTTTGGAACTGTATGCCCCAGATATCTGCTCTTTCCTAAACCTGCGGTTGTTATGAATGGGAACATTGTCCTGAGGAGGGATGCAGGATGCTTTCCTGGTTGCCTCTGGGTTGGAGCATTAAACTGTCCATTTAGTCTATTAGCCTTGTCCGGCACACCGGGCTTCATTTACTTGGCCTTTGTGATTTAGCTTTAAAAAGTTATTGAGATAAAATTTAAACAAGTTGCTTTCCTATTTTATTTTTAGATTACCACACTCATCAATCATAAAGATAATACCAAAAAGTCTGATAAAACTCTGCAAGCAATTCAGCGTGTAGGACAAGCCGTCAACTTGGCAGTTGGAAGATTTGTGAAAGTAGGGGAGGCGATAGCCAACGAAAACAGGGATTTGAAAGAAGAAATAAATATTGCCTGCATTGAAGCGAAACAAGCAGGTATGTGGATATCGATATCGAAGCCTGTTCATAGCAATTTTACTGCTTTGGATATGGTGACAAATTATTGTCTTATGTTGAGTAAAGGTGTGTACTGTGATTTATTACAGATGCCTGGGACATTAAGGTCCTGCATAGCTTCTAAGACTATTGACCTTCTTTAGGCTCAAGTCCTAAATCTGAAAATTGAACTGTTTCCCTGGGCAAGGTAGTCGGCTACCACCATCAGCCATTGAAATGTGTGCGAGAGAGAGGAGTGTGAGGCATGGACTCCACCCTTGAGGAGCACATCAGCCTACTGGTCACCGTGCAGGAAATGGAAATAAGAATTAGCTCGTCCCTGTCGCTTGTAGCAGGCAAACCGTAGCAACCTCAGAGTGCACGATGTCACACATGTTCTCTGTGGCTGGTAGCTGAGAAGCCTAAGAGAACCTGGGGTGTTTAGTAGACTCAACTTTGTTGAAGTGTCATTTATCCACTTATTCTTTTCATGAACATTAACTAAATGCTGGCTACATGCCAGGCATTTTTCTAGGCCGTAGGGATATAGGTGTGTCCAAGTTAGTCAAAAGCTTGCTCTCATGGAGCTTGGATTCTAGTAAGGGAGACACACTTCTGTCCAGTGAGTGAGGCCATAAACAAATGAATAAATAGATACATAATGTCAGGTAGTAATAGTTATCGTGGAGAAAATGACAAAGCAGAGTAACGGTTAGGAACCAATGGAAATATATTTTAAAGAGGATAGATGACATCGAAACTGTGGGCTAGATCATTGCTTGTTGATAATTCATTAGGGGTAGGAGCTGTCCTCTGCGCTGTGGACCACGGGTGGCAAACACAAGGCCCATGGGCCTAATCTGGCCCTCCACCTTGTTTCTACCCAGCGGCAGTGCCGAGCTCTCGCTTAACTGTGAAGGAGTAGTTACACTTATACAGCCCTAAAATTACATTCGGCCCGTTGAAGGCAACTGCGAGGCTGGTGTGGCCCCTGGGGAAAATGAGTCTGACACCCCTGCCTCATTTATGAGCAGAACCCCTAGCTTCTACCTATTAGATCCCAGTAGGTCCCCTCTTCCCCCATCATGACAACCCACAGTGTCTCCAGACATCACCAAATGTCCTTTGCAGGGTCCAAATGGCCCCCAGTTGAGAACTACTGAGATAGGGGGTCAGGAAGCCCCTCTAAGGCAGTAAAATTGGAGCACAGACTGCCGTGAAACAGGCCCCCAGCTACGTGGATGTCTGGGGGAAGGGCCTCCCTGGCCAAGAGAAGAGCGAAACCGGGTGTGGCCTTCCAGGCAAAGACAGGAACTTTGGATAGTGTTCTAAGTGTAACGGGGGGCTAGTGGGAGGTGTGGTGTAGGGTGGGGACATACTCTCATTTATGTTTTAGAGGGGTGGCTGGTGGCTCCAGTGTGGAGAACAGGTGTGAGGAGGTCTGAGGGTGAAATCAGACCAGTGAAGAGGCTGTTGCGGTGGCTCAGGTGATGGATCACGGTGACTCAGACCGGCTGATAGCATTTGAGGTGGTGAAAAGAGGTTGCATCTGGTTATATTGCCGAGGTGACGCCATTAGTTTAGTTGTGGGATGTGATGGAAAGAGGAGTCAAAGTGTGGAGTGTGAACAGCTGGGCAAATGGTGCTATTTACTGCCACAGGCAACCCTGAGGGAGGAGCAGGTGTTTTGGGGGAGTCGTGGGGGCAAGGGCGTGGGTGAGATAAGGCCAGGTCAGTATGGAGAGGCCAGCTGGATCATGCGTGGTTCTGTATGTTACATGAATGACTTCAGGTATTATTCTGTAGGTGACAGTTGGAGGACTTTTGAGCCAGGTGGAAGACATAGAGCTTTGTGTTAGAAATCTTTCCAGTGGCATGCATGGAGAAAATGAGCAAATGAGAGCTGATTGAGAGACAGTTGAGACTGAAGGCTGGGTCATTAATATGGAAGCTTTTACAAGCAAAGCAGTGTCTTAGTGATACACACAGAGCAGGAAGAGTCCACAAAACACTCACTAAGTGGTTAAACAGCTAGAACTTGGTTATTGATTAAAGGAAAGGCAGGATTCTGGTTTGACTCTTGGATTTCTAGCCATTCACAGGGTAGAGAATAGATTTTATGTGGAGGGCAGGGGACGACCCTTATTTTCTTTATAATTTATATTTTGCCACACATTTAAAAGGATTTGAAATCGCTTACAAAAAAGATATCCATTCAGTAAACCTATTAAAAACAGGAGATGACAATAAACTAGAAACTTCAGCCAACTCTGTTATTCTAATTAAGCATGAAATTTATGTTTGAACTTCCTGGAAGGCAAGACAGAAACCCGGGGAAGAAAGGGTTCTGTAATTCTCACTGTTGAAAGGACACAAACCAACTTGTCAAGAGGACAGCAACTTTTTTTTTTCCTGCCACTAAATTATTGTGTGAGCACTTATACAAAAGTCATTGCATAATTCAATGGACAATTCAACAGAAAATGTAGAGGTGATCTTCATATTACTATTTCTGTTATAGCAACCCTTAATTAAAACAAGAGCGGAGTCATCTCATGAAGGGCAGCCTGAGTCCTACTCACCTTATGGGCTTTGTCGTGTCACTGAGCTCAGCGCAGGGGGAGGAAGGAGACGTGGTGCCCCGACCCAAGCAGGCTGTGCTCGGGGCTCCGGAAGCACTATAAGCCAGGGCAGCTCCACATACGAGTCTTAGGCAGCCGCCTGATGTCACGGGCTCCACGTCTTGTCTCTTCTCGTTTGAGGTGTCCTTTCCCATCTTGAGAGCTGCCTCTTACAGACACTCAGGGAAGAGAACGAAAATGGTGCCTCCTGTCTTTTCTTAAGATGTACACGTTTAAGACTTAAATCACTCCCGAAATGCTTCTAGCCCACTCAGCCCATGGTTATCATGGCCTCCCCTGGACCTTTAGTGTTCATCTGAGGAAAATGGTGCAAAATAGCGATAAAGAACTGGGTCTTTGGAGTCAGGCTGCCTGGATTTTAGTCCCAACTCGGCCACTTGCTAGCCGTGTGGTGCTGGGCAGGCCAGGACACGTTTTAAACCTCACTTTTCTTGTCTATATAATAGGGATAATGTTAGTGCTTATAGAGTTGTTTTGATATAATGTATGTATGCATTTGGCCCATAGAAAGTGCTCAATAAATATTAGCCGTCATTGTAATCATTATTTTTTACTTTTCTTTCCCAGTGTTAAACTCTTGCTGTGTGTTTTCACTTTTTACGTGGCCGCTAGTCAAGTTTCATATTTTATATGGGAGCTCAATAAATATTTGTGTTTGGCTGAGTTTGGGTTTTGCGTTAAGGTCCAACACTAGCTAGTTACACATAAATTAAACATGACAATCATGAAGCCAAGTTTCTGCCCATCGTGCACATGACCTTTGAGATTAGAGAGAAGCCTGGGTTTTAATTTCAGTGTGCCTTTCTCCCAGCCTGACATTTGCCCCTTGACTTGCTTTTTAGGAGAAACCATTGCAGCACTTACAGATGTAAGCAACTTGAATCACCCGGAGTCTGGTGGCCAGATCACAATTTTTACAGACAAAACAGGAGTTATAAAGGCTGCAAGGTTACTTCTTTCTTCAGTGACGAAAGTGTTGTTGCTGGCAGACCGAGTGGTCATTAAGCAGATAATAACATCGAGAAATAAGGTACTTCCCTTTCCGGTGTTTTTATACCGGGTCTTTCAAAGTTGCTCAAAAAGTTTTTTTTTAAGGTTAATTGCAGGTAATTTGGCAATGCTTGTCTATTTTAATTGTTTAATTAACAATTTAATTCTGTAATAATTGTTTAATTATAGTTCTAATTGTCTGTAGCTTGAGAGTGCTGTTTCTTCTATACCTGTTAATTCCTAAATGATGTGTGCTGGGCCTAAACTTTTTCTTAGAAAACTATTATCTACTCATAGAGACTTATTAGTGAAAGCCTTTTATGAACACAAATTTGGAAGGAAAAGCCGAACACCATGACAATGCATGTAGTAGAAACCTAAGTGATAAAAGTACTGAATTCCTTAGTACCTTTTTTTCCAAGTCAGGGAGTAACAAATGATAAGCTTAAGAAAACATTGTCTCCTGAAACCACATTTATCCACACACTACAGAATTTGCCTATGCAAAGTCCCTAAATATTACTGAATAATTACAAAACTTAGGGAATGGATTTAAATTCTTCCAGTGTCTCAGATAATACGGTCCCTTGATCATCGGGGAAGCCAGGGTGTGCACAATTACTTCTTTCCCTGGATAACTCCCTAGGCAAGGAGGAGAGCAAATGGCCAGGGAAGGGACAGTCCCTGTAGGGTTTGGGGGCAGAGCTTCCTGATGAGTGTGGAGTGAATCAGAAATGTAAGTTTAAAGAGTAAAAGAAATTGGAGAGGTGAATGGATCCGGCAGTTCTGGAGGAATAAAAATAGTGCCGCTCTCTTTGAAAGACAGAGGTTCTTCTGCTCAGCGTTGGTGGGGCAAATTGCCTTATCTGAGCTAGTGGCCTGCACTTCCTGAGCTGCCCGGGCAGATTAACATGCCAGACATCCATCATATCCTCATTAGAAATAAGTAAACACAGGATATCTGTGTTTTCTTTACCTATCTGCATCTGACTAAAACTAATCCAGTAGTGTTATTTTAGAGAAAAGCATTTGAAACGATGTTTCACTTCTGTTTACTTTATTTCTAATTCGAAGAGTACACATGACATTTTCTGTTGCCTCTACTGCAGGTTCTGCCCTCTATTCACCCCTGGCTGCCCAAGGCTTCTTGGCAATTAATTTATTTCACACAGGCAGTTCCTGACTGACCCACACTGTTTTTCTTTCTTGAAGTCCCCGGACCTCCCTTTCCACTCTGCAGATGGCTTCCTTCCACTGTCCCGAGAAGAGCGGGGTTTCCCAGTTCTGGTTAACTGACCTGAAGGCTTCTGTGGACCGTCTCTTATCCCCGCCCCCTCCCCTGTCCTCTGAAGATGGTGTTACCTCAGTCCTACCTATCCTCACCTTCTCCAGAATTTGCTACCCAAATGATTCCTTCTCTCATAGATTTCCTTGTATATAGCCTCCTGTATATTAGTCCTTTCTTTTACTTTTTCCTGTTAATTTTCAAGTAAGCCCAAGTCTCCCCATCCTAAAAACAGATCATCCCCTAGAATTCTAACCTTTGAATCCGCTTCTGCCTCTCTGAGCCCCGCTGGCCGGCTCCTTCTTGGACTCCTCCTCCTCCTCTCTCCTCTCGAAGAGAAACTTGCTCTTTTTTCCTCTCCCTCCTCTGCCTTGACATCTCTGTCCCTCTCACATCTACACCCAATAACAACATATTCTCTGTTTTGCAGGTTCTTGCAACTATGGAGAGACTGGAGAAAGTGAATAGCTTTCAAGAGTTTGTCCAGATATTCAGTCAGTTTGGCAACGAAATGGTGGAGTTTGCACATCTAACTGGAGATAGGCAAAATGTACGTGCTTGCCCCATTTTAAAGTTTTCAGACACATGCCTACTTCTCTCGTGCGCATCTAAGTTGTTTGTTCCCGTTTCACACGCTGGGAAAGGTCATGCTTGCCTTCAAGGCCCAACTCGAGTACTTTGTATTTGGTGAAACTTTCCATTAGACTTTTGACCAGGGCTCAGACAAATAAATAAGTCATAGATATTCTTAACAGTGCTTTGTTACATAGCTGTTGTTGTTTGCCCTGTGATTTTTATGTGTTATTCTGTTACCATAGCTTTCTGTAATTATTCTACGTTAGAGGCATAGTAATAACCCAAGCCATTATTTATTTGCATTGGCTGTGTGTTAGGCACTCAATATCCGTGACCTCATTGAATTCTCAAAACATCCCTGTAAAGCGGATGCTGTCACTGCTGTTTCACACGTGAGGAACTGCGCCCGGACCTCAACTTTCTCAAGGTCACGCTTTTATCAGATCGAACTCAGTCATGCCTGATTCTAAAGCCTAGAGTTGTCAAACTCTAGGACCATCTGGGGTTCACGGAAGGCCTGTGTTTTGTCCCCTGGGCCAGCCCTCTAAGAGACTAAGATGCCACTTTCTCCATCACTGGCCAACACCATTCAGTATATGCCATCGTGTGTGGCGTACAAGCATCACACATGGCATATACACTTGGCACAATGCCTGCTAGACCCAGAGGTTGTTTTGTGAACAGTCCTGTTCAGTAGGTCAGAGACAATGTGGAAATTAGAAGTGGCTTCAACTTCTGGTTTTGACAGATACTCATGATGGATAATATCCCTATGTAGGACACAGTCCTTGGGGATGCCACCTTACTGAATTAACTTTTGGTTCGTGGGCAGTTCCTTTTCCATTAAAGAGAGCTATACTGGGATGCAAGTGAATGAGAGGGGTATTCTAGGGATAACTTCGAATCTACTATAAACATTTACTAAAACAAATAAAAGGTAAATTATTCTCAAACTTTCGGTCTCTGTTATTTGTAAGAAAGGGCTTCTCAGCCAACTCCCCAGTGAAAAAAGACGGACTGATGTGTCCGTGTCCGCAAGCACGATTTCACCGGAGCACAGCCACGCTAATCCATTTACGGGTCATCTGGGACAGCTCTCACTCCGCACTCATGGGCTTAAGTAGCTGTGACAGAGACCACATCGTTCAGAAAGCCTAACAGTTTTGTTACCTGGCCTCTTATTGAACGTGCATGCTGACCTCTGACTTAGGTGGCCATAGCCAAATTGTTATGAGGAGCGTTTGGTTCTAGGTTGGATGGGCAGTGCTCAGCACTTCTGTGATGGCACACATGCCATCCGGGGCTCTGTGAGGACAGACTGAAAGAAAAAAAGTCAAAATGCAGTTCTTGCTTCAGACTTCATAATAGTTGCGGGAGATTATACACCCACGAGATACATCTCGAGAACCTTTCGGAGCGGTGTGTTGGTTAAGTATAGGATGAACAAACCTCTTACTGAGAGGAGGAAGTACATGCATGGAGTTAACCAGACATGGTCTCTGGAAGAGCTGACTTCTAAGTATCTACTGTGAAGGAAATAAGGAGCCCACAGATGCTCAATAAATGAGTCACTTCTGTTTAAGAAAAGCATGGGGTGAGCATTTCTGGCTAGGAGTGAGGTGTGTCCATGGGGCACGAGATGTCAGGTGTGGCGGGGACCAGAGCGGGAGCCCGTGGCAGCCTCCCCCTCCGGCTCAGTCCCTGGCTCTGCCGCCCCGCGGAAGGGCAGGCATTTTGTTCCACTCTGTCTGGTTCATGTATTTAGACTGAAGAGGTGACATTTTATAATACTTGATTCTGTTCCTTTTCACTGTCATTTTTTTTTAAACCACGTTACTTAGTTGTTGAGTATTATCATTGTTGAATAAATGACTTTTCAAGACATTGGCCCTGGCTGGTGTGGCTCAGCGGATTCAGCGCTGCTGGCTTGTGAACCAAAGGGTTGCCAGTTCGGTTCCCAGTCAGGGCACATGCCTGGGTTGTGGACCAGGTCCCTGGTGGGGGCACACAAGAGGCAACCACACATTGATGTTTCTCTCCCTCTCCTTCTTCCTCCCCCCTCCCTAAAAATAAGTAAATAAAATCTTTAAAAATTAAAAAGAAATGATTGTTCACGTGATCCTAGACTGCTCAGTGATTCTAGTTCCTTTTTAGGATCTGAAAGATGAAAAGAAAAAGGCAAAAATGGCAGCAGCCCGGGCAGTGCTTGAAAAGTGTACAATGATGCTTCTCACAGCTTCAAAGGTAAGAACACTGTTTGTTTTACTGTGTTGTAAATTAATAGAGAACCCGATTAAGTGCATGTAATTTACATATTTTACATTTTTTTTAAAGATCAGAATGATAAGTTGGAATATAGGCTCTCATAGTTTGAATCTCAGTTATTTTTTAGCAAGAATGCTAACTTTCTTCCCTGGTTCCAAACAGCAATTAAACTATGAGTCAGCTTTGCTTGAGCAGCTAGCTAAGCAGAAGATGGTGTGTTAGTGCTGGGAATAGAGGCCTGTCCCACACGGTCGCTGCCTGCAGGTTGTGCCAGCCTCCTTGGGGAGCCAGCACACGTATCTCTAGCAGAAGTTAGGCAAGTTAGAATCTGCTAAGTAACAGTGGAGTATTAAGTCAGCCCTTAGTTTGTTTACTCTGTAAATTCATATCTCTGATCCCTTATCCTACTTTAAACACAGTTGTCAATCAAGAGTTTGTAATTCCAAACAGCAGCTGGCCAGCAAAATTGATACAATTCAAGAATGAGCTAGTAAACATCTCGCTGTAGCATCTTGTTAGAATTGCCTTTTCTGCCCAGAATACTTACGCTGCTGGGGTCAGCCAAGCCACAGAAACGCATCTCCCTGGAGCCCTCGTGGAAGCTCCTGTCGGTTTCTAGGCGCTTGAGTAGCTTTTCATTTACATCACTTCTTAAAAGTCGGAGATGCAGCCGCAGTCATATATCATCTGTTCCTTTTTCCTCATTCTTCCATTGTTCTCCCACATGTAAGGCAACATTTAAAAATGTTTTTAATCATGATGAAAATAAGACATAGGGTTTTTTTTTTTCAAAAACTATAAGTAAACTGATGATTGAAGTGTAAAGATACAGTTTTGCACTCTGCCTTTTTCACTTAACCTTGCTATCGCTTTTTACTCATCCTGCGTCCACTTTTAGTGAGGAGAAGCAGCTGGGTGAGCCAGGGACGCGGGCGATGTTGGTAAAGAACCATTTTTATTAGCATGACCTGTTCTCTGCAAGATTTTGTGTGTTAGGATCTGGGTCAGATCTGAAAGTAAAAAGCTTCGATTGTTTTGAAGACGTGTCTCAGGCATCCCAACTGTGAGTCGGCCCACAAAAACAAAGAAGGAGTGTTTGACCGAATGAAAGTGGCGTTGGATAAGGTCATCGAAATCGTGACCGACTGCAAACCCAAGGGAGAGACTGACGTTGCGTCTATCAGTGTTTTTACTGGAATTAAAGAGTTCAAGGTAAGGATGAAGAGAACAGATTTTGATTTTTTTCCCTTTCCATTTTAAAGGAGTATTGCTATAGGTGATATCTTTATTTTTGTGTAATATTTTAGAATAGATGCTTCACAAAGGCAATTACTTATCTTTTAAAAAAATGCCATGAGGTAGAAACTTAATCATCAGTAACATTTGGCTTACTGTGCTATGTACAAAGAACTCTGGCCTTGGGGTATAGTAGCGAACCTGGCCCTGGTTAGCTGTATGGGTCAGCTATGACCTCCTGCCATCCGTTGAGAAGTGTGTTCCTAGCTCAGTCTTTGGAGCAGTGCTATACCATCCATGGATGAGGACAGACAGCAAATCATTTCTGCTGGAATTCCTGCTCTTCCCTGTGCTATAGGGTTTGTATTTTGAGACGGTTGTAGTAGTAATAGTATTTATTATCATTGAAGTTTTAAAAGGAACAATAATACATACTAACGTTTATTGAGCACTTACTCTGTGCTACGCTTGTTTTGAGTTCTGTGAATGGATGTGTATGTCTAATTGTCACAAGAACTATTAATATTATCCCCTACTAGACTGTTGAGGAGACAGAGAAACAGAGGTTAAGTATACTTGCCAGCTAGGAAGTGCCAGAGTTGGGATTTGCAATTAGGAAGTCTGGCTCTAGAATCCCCATCACGTTAGGGCCGAACTTCTCATTAGAGGTCAGAGTGATGGTGCAGCTGCTCTCTGGGCAAGAGCAGCGTGTGAGTCAGGAGGGCCCTCGGCATCATCTAGCACAACCCGGTAGTCAACAGGTGGGAAAACTAGGGCCCAGAGAAGTTACCTAAGATGCCCAAGGGTTACCACCTCTCTAACAGGCAGGGCTGTGACAAGGATAGCATTGTTTTCATCTTACTGCACTTTGACTTTTCGGGTCAGTTGCTCTATAATTTAGTTGTAATTCCGGTTTGGTCCTGGGAGGAGCTGAGTGTGACCTTCACCTACTCTGCTGCTACCTTGGATCCTCCACTTTGATTTTTAATTGTGTGAAGTAGGAGCAGGGGTGAAAGAGCCCCTTGTTCTTTTTAGGGACTTTGATTTTGATAAATAGTATTTAATCTCTAACTTCCTTTTTAAGTAGATATTATTATACCCACTTTTTCATTAAGATTTTTTTATTGTTATTCTATTACAATTCCAATCAATATTGCCCCCTTTGCCCTCCTCCGCCCATCCCCCCCGCCCCTGCCACCACAGTCAATTCCCGAGCTGCTCTCCATGTCTGTGGGTCATTCTTACATGCTCTTTAACTAGACCCTTCCCCTTCTTTCCACTACTATCCCCCTCTCCCTCCCCTCTGGCCACTGCCAGTCTGTCCATGTTTTTGAGGTGAAAAGCTAGTAAGTGAGGGAGACCTTCTTTAAAAGCAGGACTCTCCCCAGTGTCCATGACTTTCCAGCTTATACCTCTGGGTTTGCTCACAGGCTGTGTGGTACGCACAAGAAGCATTGTTATTAATAGTGCTGACATAAATCCCTCCCTGAGGGGAAAGAAGCTGCAAGAAGGGAGTGTTCTCTTAGAGTTTTTGTGGCTGAAAGAGATCTTAGAGATTATTTTTCTAATCCTCTCTCTTTATAAAGGTTGAGAGGGGAGATGTCTTGTCAAAGGTCCGAGGATAGTTAGGGAAACAAGTGGGGTTAGAGCCAGGCCTTTTGCCCCTTGACACTGCATTTCTGGCCAGGTTGACTGGGGACAGTGCCCTACCTGTGGCCACTGGCGATGCCCTCCCACCGACCCTGTCACCGGCAGACATTCTGAAGGGCAGAGCTATCGGGAATAGACTCAGTCTCACCACCACTGAGATTCTCTTTTTTGCATCTTGCCCTCTTTTTTGGATGGAGAGTATAATCTGTGGAGGGAATGCTTTTACCGTATTAGGCGGTTCTGTGAATATGTGGACGAATCTTCTGAAACCCTAAAAATGAATGGCCTTCAAAAAATACCTCTACCAAGTTACTGTTTAAAAACACATCTCTGTTCTCTCTAAGGGGAAACTAAAAAAACCTTAACAAAAACGATGGGGTCAACATGGCTGATGCTTCTGTTGTAATAATTCTTGTCAAATTCTCAAATTCTCAGATCTTCACCGTCAATTCCATACCTCACTTTTTGCCCATGCTCTTTCCCAGCTCAAAGCAATATCCTGCCTACACATGATGGAGTGATTCTGGAGACAACTTGGGCCAGGAGGAGAAGGGGCAGCCAGCCAGCCCCCTAGGGCCTCTTGATTTTGAGAAATCTTAATACTCTCACGGGTCACGTAAGGGGTAACTTGGGACAGTCTGTGTGGAAGGACTCAGACACTGTCAGGCGTTCCCTCGGCACCTTCACTGCGAGCAGGCGTCATCGTCTCCTCCCGTCGCCTCCTGGCCCAGGTCGTTTCTGTGATGTAGTTCATGGGCTAGGGGTCACCTAAGGTTGAAGTGGCATGGCATGTCTCAGAAAACTGAGAGGGGAAGTTCGCATCAGTGAACATGTGTCTGTCACATATTGAAGGAACTCTGAGCACCCGGTGGCTGAGGTGAAAGTTGGGGGTGGGGGTGGGTAAGACAGACTGTTAGAGGGGTGCATAACGGCAGGACCCTGGAGGATGTTGTGTTACGCAGGAGAGGTTTGGGCTTGATTTCATAGGTGGTGAGGAGCCAATCAGAGGGAGGTGGCATTGCCACCAGCTTTACCTTTTAAGAAAGACTATACAGGCCCCCTGGTAGAGGATATTTTGGTCAGGGAGGTGCTGTTGGGCACGTCAGACAAAATATAGGGAGGCCAGTAAGGTGACTGGTAGAGTTTTGCTGCATTAAGAAAAAAATCGATATCTTTCTCGGTCCTTCCCATACCTTCCACCTTCCACACCCTTCCCCTGGGCTCAGTACACATTCATATCTGGGTGTAACATTTTCTAGGGCTTTGCCTCAGCATTTTCTCAGATGCAGATCCTTTACCTGGAGGCTGGTTCATTTTCTCTACTGGTTGCTACATGATAATACTCTTCCTGACTTAGTCACTGATCTTGCAGGAATGTTGGATTAATAGCAGATGGAATGAGGCTCTACATGGCCATTGGTGGCTGTTAAGCAACATGTTCTGCTGGGTTAGTGAAGAATCCAGTCATCACTGGAGGCCACCCACAGGGAAGGAAAGTCCTAGTGTCTTCCCGGGCACTGCTGGAAAGCACAGTCCACTCTAGTTAGGTGGGAACATTCACGTGGATGTGTGTCCTTTTTGTTCGCAGATGAATATTGAAACTCTTCGGGAGAATCTTTATTTCCAGTCCAAAGAGAGTCTCTCGGCGACGTTGGAAGCCACGTTGGAGCGGACAGAGGACTTCACCGACTCTGCCTACACCAGCCACGAGCACAGGGAGCGCATCCTGGAGCTGTCGGCTCAGGCGAGGAGGGAGCTCCAGCAGTTGGTTTCCGTGTGGATCCAGGCTGTAAGAACCTATTTTCATCAAAGTAAATTTTACATAATAGCTCTTCCCTGCAGTTTTGAGAGCTGTGGAAGCAAACGCAATCACCAGGGATATGAATGTGGTCCCGAGAAGACCAGGGTGTCTCATTCCTTGTCTCCCTCCTGCTTGGCCCACGTAGCCTTGCTGTCCAGCACTCACAGGATTTAGCAATTCAAGGCCTGTTTCTTGTCCTGGCCACTGTGGATTCTGTGCCCCTGTCACCATCACTAGTTCACCCTGTTGTCCCTGCTCTCCCACCAAACTCACCGCCGAAACATTCCTCCCCAAAACGCTTCTTCAGAGTGAAGAGCAGAGGAGGAGAGCCCTGCCTAGGGGTTCTTGGGGCCTGAGTCCTACCGCAGGAGCCGTTCGCGTGTGCATAGCTCTTGACTCTGAGGGCAGCTTGGCTTCCAGACACAGCAGTTTAGGACAGTTACTCAGGTCTAGACGCAGTGAAGACAAGGGCGGATCCAGCTGGCAGGGGAAGGATTTCTCACTCTTGTGCAGATTGTGGTCTGAGATTGGTGGGCAGCCTTGGCTTAAAGGGCCTTAAGTAGGCTGCTCATATGCTCAACGCATGGGCAGTTACCTGGGCGAGCGTGGTGAAGGCTGGTAGAAGTGGGGCAGCACAGGAAGCACGCACCCAGTTTCCTGCAGAGGGTGGGTTCCAACCTGAGAGACACAGGCCTGGGATGTCTCTGGCACCCTTATTTATTTCCTAGACCTCGGCTGTGTCAAAGCTGTATTTAACATGGTTTTCAACATACAGCATGGAGAGAACAAATCTGGAATCTTAAACAGAAGCTTTGGCAGTGAAGATGAAGAGGAAGAGTGAATGTGGCTGAGAGTGTACTGAACAAAACAGTGTTTATGTCCTTGTTAATAAATTGATTTATGGCCCTGGCTGGTGTGGCTCAGTGGATTGAGTGCCGGCCTGTGAACCAAAGTGTCGCTGGTTTGATTCCCAGTCAGGGCAGATGCCTGGGTTGTGGGCCCTGTGGGGGCATGCGGAAGGCAACCACACATTGATGTTTCTCTCCCTTTCTTTCTCTTTCCCTTCCCCTCCTCTAGAAATAAAGAAATAAAATATTTTTTAAAAAATCCTTCTAAAAGTTAATTTATGAACGAAGAGTAGATATGAATCACAGATTTCTCTTGTATTTGCTCGGCATCACAGCATTGCAGATGTTTACAGTGATGGGGAAGCCTAACCCAGAGCAGAGTGGTGTTAGGAATAAAAGCAATATTTTACGTTTAGTTTGAATCATCTATGTGATACCTAATCTGAAGTATAGATTGCTTCGGTGTTGAATTTCAAGGCCAACATTCCGTGAAAAGAGTTCCTTGCAAGGAAATGCTGTTGGTGTTGGGAGTCTGATTCTATCAGTACTTCAATGTGCAATGAGCGCCTTTCCTATATTTCATAAGCACTCATCTCCGATTCTGCATACCAGGCGTATTGTTCATTCGTTTATTTGCTTCAGCAGTTGTTAACTGAGTGCCTTTTATATGCCAGGTACTGGAACTCTAAAGATGAAGGAGATAAAATCTTTGCCTGCAAGAATTTTGCAATGTATAAAAATGTGGGAAGGGATGAGGCAAGTATTAAAAGCTTTGGAAGTGTCCAAAAAGAAGACATAGTTTGTGTATTGAGAGAATTTGAAGGAGGATGGATTTTTATTTAGGGAGAGGAATCAAGATGGTTTCCTGAAGATACTGACATTTAACTTTGATCTATTCCCTCAAAGAACTGAATATGTCCTGGCTTCCATTTGCTGTGCCAGGCATTGTGGGTTCAGTGGTGAGCCAAGTGAATGTGATCCCTAACTTCGTGGACTCACCACTGCCTAGTGGGAAGGTAGACATTAAATAAACAAAAATCAAAGAGGAAATATGTGCTGGCATACTGGGATGAGTACCTAGAGAAAAGGTTAGTGTGGGTACAAAGAGCATGTAATTTAGATGGTTGATCTGAGAAAGACTTTCTGAGGGAAAGACATGTATGTAAGCACTTGAAGAGGAAGAGTGTGTTCGTTTTTAACTAGGTAAATAGTGAGGAAATGAGGATTCCAGGCATAAGGTAAAATAGTTTAGTTTTAGACATGAGAAATTTATTAAAGTTAGCTTTTTAGAAATTAACCTGTTTATAGTTAGAATGGGAAAATTAAATACTTAAAATTCTATCTTCTAACCACAAACAGGTGAATTTTTAAAATCTACTTTTTGATAGTGCACAGAATATTAGAAGTTTAGTATAATTCATAGCTCAAGTAAAATTGGAGTTACGAGATGAAAGAGATGAGATAACCCTATATATACACTTTTTAAATTTTTTAGCAAAGCAAGAAAACAAAAAGTGTTGCCGAAGAACTGGAGCTCAGTGTCCTGAAAATCAGTCACAGCCTCAATGAACTTAAGAAAGAAGTAAGTGTCGCTGGAAATCTAGCTTCTTTCAATTCCTGTGAATTTTCGTCTTGTGTATGGTATGTACGCAGTGCGTAAGTATCAGTAGGTCCCTGTGTGCAGAAAACGATATCTCAAGTTTTCCTTTGAAGCCACCGTTTTATTAGGGCCATCAACCTCAGAGCTTGTACATGAATGTTCATAGCAGCTCTGTTTATAATAGCCCCAAACTGGAAACTGCCTAAGTTTTCATCAGTGGGCATTGATAAACGAACTTTGGTGTGACTAAACCAAATATTATTCAGCAATAAAAGGAACAATATGGACATACAGGCAACAATGTGGATGTCACACCCTGACTGGGTAGTTCAGTTGATTAGAGTGTCATCCCCATGTGCCAAGGTTGTGGATTTGATCCCTAGTTGGGGTGCATGCAGGAAGCAACCAATGATTGCATAAATGGGTGTAATAGTAGGTTGATCTCTCTCTCTCTCTCTCTCTCTCTCTCTCTCTCTCTCTCTCTCTCTCTTTCCCCCTCCCTCCCTCTCTTCCTCTCCTCTTTCCCCCCCCACACACACATACTTTCTCTCTCCAAAATCAATTTAAAAAAATATATGGATGTCACAATGTTATACTGAACATAAGCTGCAAACAAAAGTGTGTGTGTGACTGTTTCTACCTCTGTCTCTGTCACTGTTTCTGTCTCTGTGTGTATGTGTGTGTGTATGTGATATATACATATATACATGTATACAGCATCTGGCACAAATAACACCCATTTTATATTAGAAAAGCATAAGCATGTAACTCTGTAACATAACAATATCACACTCAAGCACACCATATGACATTTTAGGTGAAATGTTCAAATTAAAACTATAAATTACTACAACCTTATTATCACCCTGCCAACCACACTCAGGCAAGCCTTACTTCTGCTGGACCTTGTAGATAGCTGTATATCTAGATAGATAGATAGATAGATAGATAGATATAGGTATAGATATATAGCTTTTGGGAAGAAGCTCTAGAAAAGTCAAAACTAAAGGTGACATAAATCAGATTGGTGTCTACCTGGGGTCAGTTGTTGGGGGGCATTTACTACAAAGGAGAACTTTTTGGGGTAATAGAAATGTAAACACTAATTATGGTGGTAGGTATATGTTTGTCAAAGCTCTTCAAACTACTCTTGGCACATTTAATTGGGTATCAATCACACCTTAGTAGTGTAATTTTTAAAAACTGTCCTTTTGGTTCCCTAAATAAAAACTTGGTCCTCCCATGACTTGCTTGGCCTCTCTCAGGTCTTTGAAAGTCACCTTCAGGCAGGCGTCTGCACACTACAGCCAGGCTGCCTGTTTGTCTAAATAAAGTTTTGGCGGACACAGTCCCGCTCATTCGCTTTGTCTACCGTTTGTTTTTTTTCTCCACACCAACAGAAGAGTTGGGTAGTTGCAACAGAAGTTGTGTGGCCTGAAAAGCCTAAACTCTTTACTCTTTGGTCTTTACAGAAAAAGTTTGCCCATCTCTGCTTTATGTCATAAAACATAGTCTCAGTTCAATATATGAGAATGTTGACTCCAATGTATTAATCATTATTTCAGCTGTGGGACTCGTCTCCGGCTCCCCATTCTCCCGACCCCAGTGAGGGTTTTGGGGGAAGTGTGGTGTCTTGTCCCTGGTTCACGCCCTTCATCCCGGCCTGATCTGGTGCCTGTGGCTGATCTCGGCCAGGTGTGGCTCAGGGAGGGGAGACAGGGAGCCCTTGGTGACTGGTGCCCTCTAAGATGCTTTGGACTGTGCAGATGTTTAAAGCTGACTCTGTCTTATGGACACTCAAGTGTGTTCTTCAGAGGCATTCCTGTGGTCCCCCTCCGCTCCCCTTACTATGGGTCGCATTGCCCCGTCTCCTTGGGTGTGCCGGGAGGTGGGACTTGCAGTCGGCACCATCAGCTCTCCAAACAGTTCCTCCCCATGAAAACCTCTTCTCTCCCTCATCTCTCATTTCTTGGTTCTTTCATAGTTTTGAAGTAGATCAAAGGGTCAAGAGGATGAAATTGGGTTTTGGATGTTTATAAGTTATATACATGGTGATCTCTTTTACCTCTTACTTGGTACCAACCTCTATTGAAACCTTCATTTTAACATCCTATCAAACACAGAAGGGTATGGTTTTCTATGGTTAAAAAAAAACCCTACCCATTTTTCCCCAGTCTATTTAATTTTTATGAAACTGTTGTTAGAAATGACTCTCAGAGAGCACACAGCCCTTTGGTATTAGGCTGAGTGGCTTTCCACAAGTTTCATTTTTCTTACCTCTGAGATGGGTGTAACATTATCAGCCTAGAATCTTTGTTAGAATTAAGGGAGACAATGTCTGTAAAGCTGTTGGCAGTATGTTGCATGGGGCAGGCAGGACCTTTGTGCTATTCACCCCCCTCCCATTAGGGCTTCTTAGAACCATCTGTAAAATTTACGTGACCTTGGACAAGTTACTTGACCTGTTTCATGGTCTGTAAAATAAAGGGCTGGCATTAAGTATTCCCTAAGGCCCTGATGCATAAACAAAGTCTGAAAATTTTTATGCAGCGTTTTGTTTCCAAAAGAAAGTACGTTTTAATGTCTTTGTTTCGGACTGTAATTATTCTCACTTGATTGCATAGAGGTGGACTACCCTATTGTTAATTTTGCAGAAAGTCCTATAATTTGAGTTGACATTGGATTGCTTCCAGGAAAAAAAAGAGTCACTTCATTCGAATAGGCTTAATTCAAGGTCAGATTTTTCTGGGGACAGTGTTATTAAAAATGATCTCTTTCTGGAGAAGCCAAAAATAACCGGTCACATTGTTATTATTTTTTTAAAGACCAGGATAAGGAGAAGAGTTTGAATAGTACCCAAAGATATCCAGTGTGAGTGAGCTGTGCTTAAAATCCACTCCCAAGTCAAACATAACCTCGGGGGCTTTGTTACCTTTTTATGTATTGTTCTTCCTGTGACCCAAAAGTTAAAGCAAAGTTCTGGAAAACAGCTCTAGAGAGACTGGAACCCCGCTGAGGGAAGGGGGCGTGTCCTGCTTGTCAGGTGTGTCCAGGCTCTAGTCCAGTGCCTGCCTTGGTGTAGGCACTTGGTAAAATTCCGCCGACTAGCTACACTGATTGAATCCCACACTGATATGTTTTTTAAAAGTCTAGCCTTTACAGAAAAAGTTTGCCAATCTCTGTTTTATGTCATAAAACACAGTCTTAGTTCAATATATGAGAATGTTGACTCCAATATAAAGAAACGTACTTATGAACACAAACTACTATTTGATGTCTTTCTTAGTACTTTGAATACCATACTGTTAACACTGTGCTATTCCTCACTAACTTTAAGGGTGGCAGAAGCATTTTTTAGGGTAAGAGAGAGCCCGTGGGAAAGAGCCGATTGATAGTAGAATGAATAAGGGACGGGGCTGCTCTGCCCGGGTGACCAGGTCATTTTCTTTAGACAGCATTACTGCCAGCACAGGGACTCAGAGATGTTGGCATCACCCCTGCCCTGGGGACACCTTGCAAGCTCCCCAGGTCTTCACAACTGCTTCCATCACCCTGAGAATCTTTCCCTTTTCCCCTTAAAGGTTCAAGGGGGACTGTGTTGAGGTTGCTACTCTTTGATTCTTAAAGTGATTCTGTGGGGTGTGGTCATGAAATCTCATGGTTTGCTGTCTTCCTTTCATCACCCTCCACCCCCCACATCTGCAGCTTCACTGTGTGGCAACTCAGCGGGCGGCCGATCTGCTAAAATACCACGCCGACCACGTGGTTCTGAAAGCATTAAAACTTACTGGAGTAGAAGGAAATTTGGAAGGTTTGGCTGAATATGCCTGTAAATTCTCAGAACAGAAAGAACAGCTTGTTGAGGTGAGTCATTGGTTTACTTGTTACAGAAATTGTGGATCGCTGATAGCGGTGCCATCATCAGGGAGTACTAATGCAAACACAGTGTTTGGTTAACTTACACGGACACTTTCTCACTTCTGGGTTTTTAAAGGTATTACGTTTATCTGTTCTTACAACAGCCTGGCTTCTAAAACAAAACAGCCAAAATTGCTAGAACCCACAAATGCGTTTCTTAATCTTTTCCGCATTCTCTCAGAGATTAGACTGCGAGTGGTGCAGTGGAGATTCACTGTTCGCGTACCTATTGGAATCTCCTCTCTGTGTGAGTCTGTTGGGTCTCAGCGGGAAAGAGATGATGGCACACTCAAATTAGGGTAATTTAAAGAGGGTTTAATAAAGGAGCTATTTACAATTGCAAACACGGGGTGCAGAGGAAACCATAGGAGTGCAGTAACTGGGGTTAGTGATAGCTGGTACCCACCCTAAGCCCAATGGACAGGAGAGTGAGTGATCACTGGACACTGGAAGGGCATAGAGTCTTCCAGAGAGACACCCTGAGAGGCGGTTTTAGGACTAGACAAAGAGATAGTCCAAGGTGACCCTGTAGGGGTAGAACCTGGGAATAAAGGCCATACTCATCTCATCCCTGCTAGTCTATTGCTGGGGCTTCCCATTGGCCAAACAGAGCTGCAGACCACATAGGCCAGACTCCCAAGCAGGTCTGAGGAAGAGGGAGAATGGATATGGAGGACCAGAGAGAAGACAGCCAGTGAAATACGCCTTCTCTGAGCCCATCCTGTTCTTCCCAAATCTCTGTCGTGTGTTACTGGTGCTTTGCCTGCCACTTTTGTTATAATTTAAGTTATTTATGGATATTTAGCCTTCTGCCTATTGAGAATGTCAGATATCTGATATGCTAGTAAAAAATATATATACTTAAGCCATATACACCTTGTATATAAAAAGTATGTCTTAGCCAGTATGTATATAAGTACATGAATATGAAACATCTAGCTGTTTTCAGGTGATCTGATGTAATACCCTGCTTGCCAAATCCCCAAACCTGATGGTTGAAGGAACTAGCTTCCTCTCTATTTGATTATATGTGAAAACTGCTAAGGGGCATTCTTAAAATGACCGTAATTCCATCTCCTTTTAAAAATAGCTTCAATGCCATTTTGTTTGTAAATCAAATATTATGATTGTAAGCAAACTTGCTAATTATAGGAATTCTGCAGCAAATCTTTTTAAAGATGAGAAAATAATTTTTTCCAGTTTTCTGTTTTAAGCCTCTAGGTTTTCAATGATTTTTGCTGATAATGACCCTCTGCGCATTACATTGGTCTCACCTAGGTCAGTGTTAACTCCAGTGAAAGGTGTGTTAAGTATTTGACCATGAAGGAAAGTGGTTTTTGTTGACAGAAAGAATGTGTAGCTTTTACTAATTGACCTAGTTTAGCCAAGAGACCTTGGGCAAGTCGCTTCTCTGAGCAAAGTATCTTCATACATAGAGTGTGTGGGCTCTGGTTCCCACACTCCCCCTGGAGACTCCCCCACTCCGAGACTCCTCCTGGTTCTAACATTCTCTGACCACCTTGCCGTGGTCAGACAGGAAGTAAAGACACTATGCTGTACCCTCATTTGTTCCCAGAGATTCTGTTGGTAACCAATACAGCATTATAATTTCTCCTTAATGCAGAATCCTGTTTTTATAGGTTTTAACGGGTTATTGTCCGTATGAATTATAAAATGAGACTGTGTCTTGTGAAGAATGAGATTGTGGAGGTTGAACTGTAGAAATGTTTTCTTGTAGACCTGCAGGTTGTTGCGACACGTTTCTGGGACAGAACCTCTGGAAATAACCTGTGTACATGCAGAGGAGACATTTCAGGTGACTGGCCACCAGGTATGACCAACAGCAGATTGTTCCTTCTGTATTAAGTCGTGTCTGAGTGTCATAACAAATTGTGTGGAAGGAAGATATAAGTGGTTCTGCATAACTAGAGGCCAAATCTGCCGAGAGAAACAGAGATCATGGAATTTTCCTTGGTAGTGTGCCGTAACATAGCTGGCATTCCATTGGGTTATCTGGTCATCTGCCAAATGGGAGATTGGCCCATTAAATTAATGCCCTAGTTTATGTCTATTTTAATGAAGCTATTTACAATGTGGGTTGTTGTAACATGTTTGAAAAGTAAGCTGTCATTATGTAACAGACCATAAAAATACTCACATGTTTGACTCAGTAATTCCTAAGGACATAAGGAGATTAAAAATAATGACAGAAAAACAAAACGATGTTTGTTACAACTTTACTTATAATAAGATTCAATTGGAAGCCAAATAGCTATCTTAAGTTAGGTATATAATCTGGCTTAAAATAATAATGATAGCTGGAATTAACAATATTGAACAGTATTTTGTTAAAATGTTAGGTGATAAAAACAATATAATTTTGTACATATACTATACTTGTACATATATATACTTTATATATTATATAAAATGTACATATATAAGAAAATGACTCTGGGAGTATGCAGAAATAAAAGTTCTTGTGTGTATTTGAGAGAATTGTGAATTATTTTTTTCTAAATTTTCTATAGTAATTTTCAAAGCCTTTTAAAAAGTGACATCCCATTTAATACTGTCCTTGTCAAATCAATCTAAGGGAAAAAATGAGGAACAGAATTTCCTTTCCAACCCCTAAAATACAATTCACCAGGTGTTCTTGTTTCATTCATTATGGTCAGCCAAAAGAATTTACTTTTCTTTACTTATTGATTTTAGAGAGGCGGGGGGCATTGATTTGTTGTCCCATTTATTTATGCATTCATTGGTTAATTCTTGTATGTGCCCTGATGGGGGGTTGAACACGCCACTTTGGCCTATTAGGATGATGTGCTAATCAACTGAGTTACCTGGCCAGGGCCCCAGAGGACTAATTTAAATGCAGTATTGGAAGGTAAATGTCAAGCCCCTGGATTTCCAGTTGAGAGCAGTGAACGAGGCTTAGAGACAATGGTGATGTGCAGTGACGGAGGCTTAGCGTGGAGGCAGGACCCGCATCCTCACATGTGGATTGTTGACTGTGCAGAGGTCAGCACCCCTAAACCCTGCATTGTTCAAGGGTCCACCGTATGTGAGTGACTCTCCCCAGGGATCATCTGCTGAACATTTTATAGTCAGAGGATCTCTGTTCATCGGGAGAAGCCAAGGCTTCCGTATTTGCCAGTCTAGTTGGGAGTTGCCCTACGAGGCCTTGGCTAGAAGGTATTTCGGTAGAACTAAAGGGTTTTACCCTCCTCCCATATGCAGTCTGCTCTTTGGTTGCAGTTCTCTGTTTACTGTTTTCGCTGTAACAGTGATATTAGGAAAAGCCAGCTTTTCTTCCCCAGGATGGTGATAGAGCCTGTTGTCAAACTTCTGTAACTTGGAAGCTTTTTCTGTTCCCATTGTCTCAGCTTTTACCTGGTCTTTGGCATCTGTCTCACAAGGGGATCATTTAAGGAAAGAAAGCGTGCCTCTGGGATAATTTATATTTGTTTCCGCATACCTCTGCTTTAGCAATGTCATTTTTGTATCTCCTTTAAAACGTTAGATCGTGTCCAGGGCATGCACAGCTGAGCAGCTGGCACACTGCAGTGGCCCCCGGTGGAGAGGGCGGCAGTGCTGAAATCCAGCTCATAGCCTGCTGGCAGGCCACGTGTCCGCCTTCCCTGAGGATGGGAACCATGCTCTACTCATAAGGCTGCCACCAGCTCCGTGGGGCCCCGCGCCTGTGGGGCTGTGCCCACCCTGGAGGAGCGCCTAGTTCAGTTTCTCTCGAAGGCAGTGTAACCGTGGTCACGTCAGCCTCTGAGCGCTCTCCAGTGACTTCCTCTTCCCCTTAGGGTCCACGCCAGCCCTACTGTGTGTTTCTCTGTCACATGGCCACTGGTGACCTTCCTTTTTTTATGTCAGTCCAGTCACACTGGCCCACTGGCTGTTCCTTGCACACACCAGAAGTGCTCCCGTCTCATCCCTGAATCCCTGCGGCTCCCTTGCCTTTTCCATTTCTTTGCTTATATGCCATCTTTTCACTGACCACCTACCTAACACCCTCCATCCATCTTACTCTTTATTTTCATACATACCATTGTCTTCTAAAATATCTCACAATTTAGTTACATACAGGTCTGGTACAAATAACACTCCTTTTATATTACAAAATCTTTTATTCCAAAATCATAAGCATGTAATTTTGTAACATAACAGTATCACACTCAAGCACACCATAAGACATTTTAGGTGAAATGTTCAAATTAAAGCTGTAGGTTGTGATGTCCATTTTATTGCTCTACCAACCACTCACGCAGGCCTGATTTCTGCCAGATGCTGTATTTTCAGTTGTCTCCCACACCATAACGTGAGCCTGTGAAGACAGGGACATCGGTCTGGGTCACTCACAGCTGCTTCCTCAGCACCGGGAGCGGGGGTGCAGTGGCTGGCACATAGTAGGTGAATGAATAGCCGTATCAGTAAGTCTTCACTTAACATTGTGGATAGGTTCTGTGCCTGCAAGTGAAACAAAATTACATGTAACAACCAATTTTACCATGGGCTAACTGAAAGAAGCACAAGTTAAGTTCCCATGGCATCTCATCAGCTCTAACAAAACAGCATTGAATGAAACAACCTAATTCAAGGACCTGCTCTACTAGTTACTTGGTATCTCTGAGCTTCAGTTTCTCCAGCTATAAGATGGGAATAATGCTTATTTGGGAATAGTAGTATTTTGTTTGTTTTGAGAATTAATATTAATGCATATCAAGCACCTAACACAGTATCTCCAGAAGGTATCTACAATGTACTCATAGGTGTGTGCATGTGTTACACTAGCACCATAACCACTACTACTATCTACCTACCTACTACCACTACCACCAATATCACTAGTACCAGCACCACTACTATCTAGCTACACCTACTACTGCCACTACTGCTGATAGGAATACTGGTATGCCACCACTACTGCTACCAACGCCACCGATGCCACTGCTGCTGTTCCTACTGTTACTACCATGGCCACCATGACTACCACTGCCATGACTACCACCCCTAGCGCCCACCTACTGCCAGTACTACTGCCATTTCTACTGCTACTGCTCTCCTACTACAGTATGCAGTACACTCGGTTTGAGCATAACTTTGACTTGTGTACTATGGAAATAAGTTTTTTGGGATAGAGCTTTCTTGAATAAAGATAACTGCTCCCTGAATAAAGGTTTGCATAGGATAATACACACTGTCTGTCTGTAGGTAAGATTATAGGAACAGTAAGTTTTTTTCTACCGTGTATCTCCACATTGCCCAACAGGAGACTTGTATGTGGAGACTACTTCATGGTTTATTGAATTGATTTGGACAGTAGAGACTTAAGTGTGGTCTCTGGTGTGATTCTGAGAGCTCCGATTTTGAAATTCACACCTGTTTATATTGTGTTTCTTTAGATCATTTCCGCTGCTGAAACGTTAACATTGCATCCATCCAGTAAAATTGCTAAAGAAAACCTGGATGTGTTTTGTGAAGCCTGGGAGTCCCAAATCAGTGACATGTCCACCCTGCTGAGAGAAATCAACGACGTGTTTGAAGGAAGACGAGGTGAGAAAATGTCCACATGCTGAAATATACTATTATTTTAATGTAACTATTAGGTTTTTAATTTCAAACTTTAGGTGCAAAACAAATTATTTTGTCATAACCCAGCTGAGTTATTTTTATAGTAAAATATCTCCTCCCAAAATTATGAGAATAATATTTGTCCTTTATTTAGTATCTAAACAGTAAAGTTCATTGTACAACAGCATAGTAGATTTCTTTGAATTAATATTAGCATTCTGGTTTTCCTATTGAAATTAAATAAGCTTACATTTCTTCTAAATTGTTTTTTTAGTACAAATTTCTTCTGCAACACAATACTTATCTGGTTTAATTCTATTAATTTTATAATGAAATGAATGTAGTTATTTGATTTTTGAATTGCTCTCCTTCCACTTGGATGGAACCTTTTTCCTTGATGACTACATTGTCTTGGAATATTTTCTATGGTGGGTAAGTTCCTTATTTCTACAACATGTAGAATAGCACCATATGATTTATAGGAAGGCATCATTTTAACTTTTTATTTTAGTATCAACTGAGAATTTTATTTCCCATTGTACTATGTGTCCTGTTTATATTTGTTTTTATATTTTTTCCCTTCAAATGGCTTCTGTTAATGTCAAGCATGCTTAGTTTTTAAAATAAAATGACATTTAGAGTCACAATAACATCAAATTACATTTTTTTCCTGAATATGAACATTTAAACATTTCCTATTTTTAAAAATATTCATTTAGAACAGTTACTGATGTGCTTTAAAATCAAGGAATGGTAGACTTTGTAGATATAACATAACTTGTAAAGTATCATCAATTTTACCATGCTTCTGCATTTAAAGATTTCCGTGATAGCTAATCTGAATGGTGTATCATTTTGGTGCTTTGATAAAGCATTTATAGTTATATGGGATTTATGTGAAGGAAGTTTCATATATTAAAAACTAAAGCGATATAACTGACCCACATTTATAGAAGAATGATCCCTTAGCCGCAGGCCTTGTTTAGGAAGAGCAGTGTCCCCCCACCCCCTGTGTTTCCCAGCACTAGTGTCCACGCAGCTAGACCAGAGGTGAAACAGGAAAAATCATACAACTTATTTTTGGATTACATGGTCACTGTGGTTTCTTTTCCTTTCAAGCTGGATATCATATAAATGACCTCTTCTTTAAGTTTGCATAACCTGTCCTAAGGATTGCCTTAACTTCCTTAGGGATGAACAGAAATTCTTCTTTAGGAGGGAAAAACTTGGCCACATTCATCAGTGGGACGCCCACTGTTTAACCGGCAAAGGCATGAGCAGACACCATTTTGTGGGGTTAATTGAGGTAGAGTTGGCTGATTTCTTGTACTGCCTTTTTTTATCCTTGCTATTTATCATGAAGCTATCAAGAATAGCTTTTTCCATGAAGTCCAACTCTGAGTTAGCCATTATTTATTTATTTTTTTAAAGATTGTATTTATTTACTTTTTAGAGATGGGGGAAGGGAGGGAGAAAGAGAGAGAGAGAAAGATTAATGCGCAAGAGATACATCAACTGGTTGTCTCTTACTTACCCCGGACTGGGGAACCTGGCCCACAACCCAGTCATGTGCCCTACACTGGAAATTGAACCTGTGACCTATTGGTTCGCAGGCTGGCACTCAGTCCACTGAGCTGCACCAGCCAGGGCTGAGTTAGCCATTAGTGAGTCCAGTGTCAGGTCACAGTGTCACTCTTCCTGTTCTGTATGGTTATGGCCAACCCGCCTATGACCTTGCCCTCCGCCCTCCGCTTGCCATAAAAAGAACAAAAGTCCTGACTCTCTGCTACTGTTTTAACTCATGTTATAACTGTTATTGAAAAGCCTTTGCGGTATCCCAGCCACCTGAGTTCTGCTCTGCATATCTTGGCTCTTGTAACTGGGGAAATTCTCAGACAGGTTTTTAAGTATCATTTAACCAAACAATTAAGTGGCAAACAGCATGCTAAACAACGAGAAAGAGCCATTAGGGTTCTCATACTTGAAGCCAGTCTGAGAGTGGGGTCATTCATTGTCTTCTTCACTGGAGACACTCAAATTTTGCAATAGTGCTTCCTGGGATTGTTTTAAGAGCTCAAAAATCAGTGTTTGTCTTCCAGCCTTTTTGTCTTTTTGCCCAAACCTCCAAGGAGGCCACAGTCTTTGTATTAGAAGGGACGAAGTAAAAAAGACTTCATTTTCCCTTAGTGATGAGTAGGTATCAGCACTTAGAGCTTGAGATTATCTTGGACAAATGACTGTGAGAAGGATGCCTCCTCCCATAGTCTGCAGACTCTCTCCCTCCATTAAGGAAACCGAATTTCCTCCGTTCTGTTGGCCCCATCTGTGAGTTCACATGGCTAAGCTCAGGTTTTAAGGATGTGTGTGGTAGTCCTGTTTCACTTGGCAGGTTGGATGCACGGGGAGTACGGGAAGAGGCACGTGCTTGTGCATAAATACAAGCTTATTTGGGGGACACGTACATCTGGAACAAGGGAGTAATCCATACAAGAGATGATGGGGCGATGATAGGAGAAAAGGAAATGAGAGGACTGGTGGGAGAAGAATTTTACAAATAATACTGGTAGGATTTGGTGATTAACTGAAGGTAGAAGTAAGAGTTTGAGCTTGACAGCTGGGTTTGGATTAGACTGTTTCAACAGACTCCTTCCACACCACTCCTGAGGTCTGTCAATAATCCGCCTGTCCTTCAGTGGGTAGGGATTCATTTCACGTGGGTCTGGGAACATGGATTATTTTCTGATTGATCATGTCATGTAGAGCCCCTCCAGAACCCTGAAAAGCTAATTGAACTTCTAATAGGGAGTAATGTAGCACATAATTTCACTGAAACAATGAGGCTTATGTGTCCTCGAGGAAGTTGCTTTATTTGTTGAGATGCGAAAAGCTCTAGTATTGAAAACGAGAGCAGTACTTCTTAATAAGGTTTTCATAAAAAATAATTTTGGTACTTTCACAGGATGAGAGGGGCTTTGGAACTTAATTGTGAACTTAATTTATCTCGAGATAGAAACTCAGAAGTGAAGATGGCCCAATTGGGGTTTTGATTTAAGGAGTATTAAACAAGGTATTTAGTGCTTTGAAAATAATTCTGTAAATCTAATATCTGTACCAAGTATATTTTCCTCCAATATTTGTTTTTCCAATTACTTCTAATGTTTATAACATGTTTTCATCAGAGACAGAAATTGTTTATACTACCTCTTTAATTTGGTGTAATAGCTAAATATAATTGAGCCAATATATATTCTTTCTCGGCTTTGAATCAGTGGCAATAATTAGCTTGTATGGAAAAAACAACTATAACATTATAAAATGATTCAGACTCATCTTTTTGGTATTTTATCAGCTTGGTTATATTAGAATTGGGGAAAAGAGGGACAACTTTGCCTACAGAGCATTTGGAGAAAACTATCTGAAGAATGACCAGGTTTGCAATAATCTTCAAATTTGTGAAGCACCCTGAATCTAACTCAGGGGTGTCAAACACATTTTCATTGGGGGCCACATCAGCCTCATGGTTGCCTTCAAAGGGCCAAATGTAGAGCTCCTTGCCCCTAGTACAGGGGTAGTTACATTTATACAGTCCTAAAACTACATTCTGCCCTTTGAAGGCAACCGCAAGGCTGATGTGGCCCCCAGTGACAATGAGTCTGTTGCCCCTGGTCTGACTGAGAGCTGGCAGTAGGGAGCACAGCTAGCAGCTGTGAGGGCGGCAGGGACCGGGGCTGCCAGTGACCGAGCACTGGTGACGGTGGCAGGCCGGAGTGCACAAAGGCTCTCTCCCTACTGCGTTCATCCCTACCTTCTGGTTTCTTCAACTCTGTTGTGCCTTGGAGAAATAAGAAATACTGAAATAGCTGGGTTTTTTTTTTTTTCCTTTTGGAGAGGAAATGTGAACATTTCAGGGTCATGGGCACTATGGGAGGTCAACACAGGATTGCTCACCTAAACTGATCATATTTAAGTAATGATTATGCCCTCTTCTCTAGCCTATTAAGACCACTTTTTAAGGGTGATTATGGACAGGATTCACACTTTGAGTTAAGATAGATGTGAATTTTGAGGTTCTGAGTGATTTGAAGACAGTTTTCTGTTTATCTTCTCACAGCTAATTCAGGTGCTTTTTACATTGGGGCTAGGAGACAAGGCATGGGAATGGGGTTCGGAGACAAGGCATGGAAATTACTTCCTCTTTAAAGCTGTGTTTTTCTCTTACCAGCCTGATACCAGAAAACCAATAGTAAAATTCCCTTACAATTCTGACATTACAACAAATGATTTGAATCATAGAGCTATTATTCCCCAGGACCATTCAGGTGACCCTTAATGGCAGTTCATCTTCTAGATCAGCTCTATTCAATGGAAACAACAGTGTAAGCCACATATAATTTAAAATTTCTAGGAGGCACAAGAAAAATGTTAAAAAGAAACAGGTGACAATCATTTTAATAATATTTTCATTTATCCTGACATATCCAGAATATTTACTTTATAATCAATACTTTAAAATTACTGAGATCTTTTATATTTGTCCTTTATATGAAGTCTTTAAAATCTAGTATGTATGTCACACTTACAGACACACATCTCGATTCTGATTGGCTGTTTCAGTCAATCAATAGTCACGTGTGGCTAGTGGATTTCACATTCCACAGCACAGTTCTAGATGAAATTTTGAATATGTTATGAACAGGTTTGTCTTGTTCATGTAATAGTCATTCTATAAGGAAGGGCATGCTTTAGTGTTTTTACATATTATTGGTTTTGATTAGGTAGAGCTCTATGAAATTGCTGTTTTTATATTTCAAAGTAGGTGAGTATCAGTACTTATATATCGTTCCACCTAACATATTATAGCTGAACACACTTTCCTTGAAATCAATAGGCAATTGCTCTTCAAATCTTTTCTTGAATTTTTACCCCAGATATAACAAACTAGCTTCAAAAAAAATCTATCATTCATTGTAACCTGACCTTATACATGACCTGGAAGCCGGCAAAATGAAAGGGCAGGGATGCAGTGGGCGTTCCACATCTCCTTCCCTTAGCAGCTGTGCTTCCTGCCACGTGTTCATTCCCAGCCGAGAGCCTGTTATTTGCTCTCTTTCATCTTCCTATCTGCACACTCGAGCTGTCCTCTTCCCTGACTGGGAGAACGTGCGGGTAGCTGTAAATGATCTGGTCTGGTACTTGCAGAAGAGGAAGCAAGCACCAAATAACTGGTACTGATAGGAGAAGAGTCAGGTTTCTTTAGAGGCAGGCTGCTGTGAAAGCACCTGCTGTGAATGGCAGTGGTTGTACATGTAAGTACATGTCAGTGAGCTATTCTGCCTTCCTGCCACTTCGTCGGAGGTGGTAGCGATTGGCCAGTGTAGGAACCTTAGAGATACAATTGCTGACAGTCTTGTGTTCACCTATCAAGTTGCAGTTTTATGTCTGAGTCATATGTAATTAATAAAGAATTATAAAAACGAATACACTGACATTCCTGTTTATTTAAGGATATTGTAAAATTAAATGCAAATCATGGAAAATTTGTTTTAAGTTGTATATATTATTTGCAGGAGAGAAGTATGGCTACCTTTCCCTTCCGAAGCTAACGGTAAGTGGAGCGGTTGTGTGCGTTTCAGAATGTTTCCATTCAGAATTCAATTATGCTCCGGCTGCCTGTTGCTGCCCACCCCCAATATCTGACGTTAAAGCAAATAGGGTGTTAAATGTTGATTGTGCATAGTTATTCTTTTTTACTGTATTTTTTCATTATCATGTAGCCCCCTTGTACCCCTCTCCCCACCCCACCCCCTGAATCACACTCTGTTGTCCATGTGCAGAGTCCATTTTCCTTTTTGTTTGATTCCTCCACCCCTCACCTCTCCCCATAGCTGTTATTCTTTCGTCCATTGTTCTTTTATTTATTTTTAATTTACTTTTGTTGTTGACACTGTTACAGATGTCCCCATTTCCCCCTGCCTCTGCTCGGCTCCACCCAGCCCCTGCCCTCTGGCCATCACCACACTGTTGTCTGTTTCTATGGGTGAAGCATGTATGTTCTTTGGCTACTCCCTTCCCCCTCTTCCATCCGGTCCCCTCTCCCCTCTGACAGCTGTCATAGCAGCCATTCTGAGTGACAATCTGGTTGTAGCTCATACTGTGATTATTTGTGGTGGGTTTGGAGGGTTGAGGGAATAGGTAACAGATTGTATGATTAATAAGAAGCCATAATCTGAAGTCAGAGGTCCTTTTGTTTATATCTTGGATCTAGTTCACAAGGTCATGTCAGAATCATTTTCTGTAAGATAGGGACTTTCTGAATGTTTTCTGCCTTGATGAAAATATGCCACACTATTTATACTGAGAGACTTGAAACTCAGTGTGTGGAACTCAGTGAAACTTGTGTGTATGGCTTTATATAACTGGATTGATGTATCTGGCTGCATTCTACAGGAGTGTCCACTAGATGGCAAGCTTGGTTACATTATTAAGTTGCTTTCTGTATCTTTTCGGCAATTCTTTTCCTGTCTTCATAAAACACTTTAATAATAATTTGTTAAAGTAAAACTAAAAATAATGAGTGTATAACTCAATTTAAAAGAATAACATGGAACATAAAATTCTAAATAAATGAAAGCCTAAAAACCTGTAGGGTATTCTTAGCTTTCTTCAATGCTTTATTAATTGCTTTGTGGCCAAGACTGAGGAATAAGATAAAGGTGATGTGACTTTACATGGAGGGGCCAAAGAGCTCAGTGACGGTCTCCATTCATGTTCTGTGGAACACAAGAGGCAGCGTGTGTGTGTGTGTGTGTGTGTGTGTGACCGTCTAGTTTCCCTTGCCCGTCTTTTGTCCTGTAATTTCTCCCATTTCTTCTATAGTAAATGGCATTAGAAACTTCCAAAAGGACTCTGTCAAATGAGCAAATATAAACTATGGGGTAGGAAAAAGGGGAAATTGAGGATGTTCAGTTCTATAGTAAAACTGGTAACACAATAGCTGGTTAGAAGTAACAAGTCCTGGTAAGAATGAGGGCAATGAAAAACGAAAAACGGAGAGGTACATGTATACTTCAGAGGTAGGGGTGGAGATCTGTTTCTTGAGCTAAGTGGGCCCTCGAGTGTTTTGTTTTATTGTAATTTATACTTTGTATACGTGTGTGACTGTGTATGACTATCTACTCTCTGTGTGTATTGTTTTAGTAAACGTTTCCTTTTTTAAAAAAGAAAGTCCCCTGCACCTTCTGGCCCTTCATCTCCACCAGCCACAGCTGCTCTGGAACTCCAGCCCGGGCTGTGGGAGTTCCCAGCCGATCCCACAGTGAGAAGAATGCGCAAGCTGCTGCCATTTCAGAGAACCCTGAATCTCTATTTCTCAAGGGACCATTGCTATTGGAGTACTTTCTGTCCTCCTTGTAAATAGGCATCAGTGGCCAGCCTGCTAACCTGACTAGGGCACAGTGTTTTCTCCCTTCCTAGGGGAAATATACTCTGAGTTCTCAACAGCTTACATAGAAACTAATGTGCTGTTTCAGAGCTAGGGGCCTATCGAACATGTTGGTTCAAATATTGAACTTGAAATTCTAACTACTCGTATAATCTCCGACACAGCCTGGGCAGAGGATTGGGAATCAGGATGTCAGTGAAACAAAGGTGCTGAAATTTAGCTCTCAAAGGGCAACTTGGATAAAGGAATTTAATTCTGGTCATAATGTTAGGAACACATGGACCTCTACAGATAGCAGCTAGTTTTATTATTATCATTTCATAGAATAAAAGTAGCACTCCACAGAGGGGCCAGGGAGGTTTGGGTGTATAATACCTGGACTCTGGAAAAACGCCTACATCTTTAAGTCCTCCTGGGACTCTGCCCTGCTTGCCCTCACCCCAGATTTCTAACTAACTCGCTGTTGCAGGCCGAACTCACGTGCTACTGGAGTGCTTGCCATTGGTTCTTGTTTGAACTTAAACAACTTGATATACTTTAAGTAGGTACTGAAAATGTTTAGGTTAAAATTTTATTACAGCTGTTTTGTTATGCTCTCTGTTACTACTGTATTTCCTCACGATGAACTGTACTTCTTTTTAAGTTATCTTCCTTTTTTTACTGTCACAGAAGAATAACGCAAACCTGAAATCATTAAAGGCAGACAAGTTGGACTCTGAGGTAAGCCTTTTTTCTTTGTATTCATCTTCTAATCTCCTTTTTTTAATATTGGTAATGACAAAGTTGTTGTGATTAAAACATTTTCTGCATTATTTGTAGGAGAAGGCCAAGATCGCAAAGCTTGGCCTGAAGCTGGGTTTGCTCACCTCCGACGCCAACTGTGAGATCGAGAAGTGGGAGAATCAGGAGAACGACATTGTCCGGCACGGACGGAACATGGCCAGCGTGGCCTATTCTCTGTATTTATTTACTAGGTAAATGTAATCGTGGTTCGATCTTTTAAAATCAAGGTAATATCTAATGGAGAGAAAAGGTGCCATGTTAAATCACTGATAGGTTAAAGTCTGGTAAAAAGCCTGTGTATGTAGTTATGTCAGTTATGTGAAAGCAACAAGAAGATATGTAATTGAGATTTAGATTTAGAAAAGATCCTCTTCTAGGTTTGTATCTATTCTTTTCACACTTTTGAAATAATTTTGCATTCTGCTTTTTTTTCCATCCTATATTTCCCTGTCTCTCCCAGCTGGCAGGAGTAAGTTTAGGAAACATGCCTTTTAAACCTTTGTGCATGGGGTTGATCAGACACAGATCAAAGAATAAGCCATTGGGCCTGACACCTCAACAGAGAGCCAGATCTCCTGAATCACTCTTGATTATGTAGCCCAGATCTTCCCTAACTGTACAGTGATCTGATCTGCCTACGTCTCACAGCTGTTAAGAGGCAGAACTGGTTGCCACTGGATTTCAGTTCTCCTGATCCCTGCTTTGTCCTGATTCATGCATTCTGTTGCTCTTTCTGATAATTCACTCTTCACTTGTAGAAGTTTTAATTCTTCTTGGTGGTTTTCAATTGGGTATTCCCCAATCTTCTGATGAGAGGGGAACTCAAATATTATTAGGATTATTTTATAGACTCAGAATTGCAACTTCAAGGACATTCTGCAACAAAGACAACTGAATTCCTGACTTGCTGGAGTTGAGATCGGAGTCAGAAATGGGAATGTCCTGACTTTCAGTCTGATCCTCTTTTCATTATGTAACAAAGGCCTTTGGTTAAGATGTATTATCAGATCTTAAATATTTAATTTATAGAGCAAAATGAAAAAGGTTGAAAAAGAAAAAGATAAATATAACTTGTCAGTTTTAAATTTCTTTACATTGTAAAATCAAGATGTAAAGTGCCTAGGAAATAATAAATATTAAAGTTGCTTTAAGAATAAAATCACAATATTATTAATCTATTCAATATTCTTAAAAATTTGTGATCCCTTAATATACAGAATGCTCCAAAACTTTAATATTACAAAACCAATTCCCAGGCAATAACTTAGTCTTACTTCCTTAATAATGCATTTGTTCCAGGGGAGAAGGGCCACTGAAAACTTCCCAGGATTTAATTCATCAACTAGAGGTATGTTTTATTTCCATGTTATACTACTACTTCAATTCCAGGCTAAAAGTGGGTAATAACTAATTTCTAAATGATTTACTGTGTCAGGTGTGTGTGCTTACCTGTGCACACACATGTGTACTACAGAAAGTGGTAGAAAAGTAGAGGAATTGCAGTAGCATCTTGTGGAGCTTTTTTGGTTATCCTACTGAAAAAAAAAATACTTTAAGTATCACAGGAATAAAGTAGAATGGGCTTTGAGAGTCAACAAATGAGATAATAAGTGTTAGGTTTTCCAAGTACCCAATGTCTTGTCTGCGGATGCTGGAAAAGCTTTTTGGCCTCTTCATTATTGAATTGGGTGAATGGTAGAGATCAAATGAGATAGCACATCAGAGAGCATCTGTCAGGCTGGACACCATTAGAGGGTACTCAGTACATGTTAGCTTCCTTATTTCTTCCACATTCCTGATGATTCGGGCACTCAGGGAGAGACAGATTTACCATCACCCACCCATGTTCCCCCGTGTGTCTAATGAAACTCCACATATGCCCATTCTAATTCTCCTCTCTCAATGAGAGGCTTTAGGTTGACAAGCAGATTGCAGGATTCCTTCTTATTTTTCCTGACTCTCATGTTAGCCTACTTGCCTCTCCAGAACCAAGAGCTTTCTTGCATCTGAAACTTACAATTTTTGTCACTTCATCACCTTTTCTTTGGCATTCTGTGCTTCTACCTGAGCCTCTTTAGGAAAGGGATTTCAGCTGGAGAGGATGTTTGTCAGCAAAGTCAGAAGAATTATAGATAAAATTTCTTTTGGGTTTTTCTCTTAAAACAGTTGGAAGACATTCTGGATTCATTCCATTCAATTTGACTCATATAAATCCCAACTCACACCACACTGTAGGGGGTATTCTCTGCAGAAGGTCCACCACTCACCTTCTTTCTGTGTGAACTTGTTCATTCAACTGACATCTGGTGAATTGTCTACAGACTCTGATGAACATAAGCTGTTCATCAAATATTTATTGTACCGTGTGTCAGACCCTGGGCATAAGGACTCTGGGGACAAAAGTGAACAAAACAAAGCCCCTGCCCCATAGAACTTACATCCTAATGGGAGGAACAGACAATAAAAAGTACTTAATGCCCATATGCAAGTACTTAGAGATAAAATCACGTAGGGTAAGAAGAGAGATGTGATAGAGGGGCAGTCAGAAAAGATGTCTCTAAGGAGGTAACATTTGCATAGAGATATTAATTGAGAGAGTGAGCTGGACGGATATCTTGAGGTCAACTATTTCGGACACACAGAACAAGTATAAAGGCCCTGAGATGTGAGCTAGCTCTGGGTATATGAGGAGTAATCAGAAGGCAAGTGTAGATGTAATGCAGTGAGCCAGAAGGAAAATGGTAACATAACACATCTCTGTAGCCATGGAAAACACTCCCCCCACCCCCAAATATGATAGAAAACCCATTGAGGGTTTTGAGGAGCAGTAATGTGATCTTATGTTTTAAAAGTTTTTTGCCCTGATTGGTATGGCCCAGTGGATTGAGCACTGGCCTGCGAACTGAAAGGTCTCTGATTTGATTCTCAGTGAGGGCACAGGCCTGGGTTGCTGGCCAGATCCCCAGTTGGGTGCAACTGGCAACTGATCAATATATCTTTCACACATCGATGTTTCTCTACCTCTCTTTCTCCCTCCCTTTCCCCCCTCTCTAAAAAAAAGTAAATAAATAAAATCTTTTTAAAAAATTCTCTAAAAAACAGATTAAAAAAATAAAAGGTTTTTGACTTGACCAAAAGGGTAAATGGTAGTTCCATTTCCTGAGATAGGGGACACTGAGGGACAATACCAGATATAGAGGGTGGAAATCAAACACTGATTTGCTGAAGGAGAATATATGAATATGGGTAAGTGAGTCACTCCGTTTGGTAGGAAGCTAGGTGTAAAACTCATTGGTTTTCCTTTTAAAGGACAGGGAAGGATGCAAAGAATGATTTGACCTTGAAATCAGTTTATCCAATGACAGCAAAGTGTTAAGGCTGTTTGACAGATGTTTAAAGTTAACCCTAAAATTATCACCTCCTTCTTTCTATTCTTCATCTAACTTATTACCAAAACTTGTTATTGTTCTTCACAAATCATTCTCAGATTTGCCCTGTTCACTTCATTCTCACTGCCGCTACCTAAAGCTAGGTCCTCATCCTTTTACAAACCCTGGTCTCTTTCACTGGTCCTGAATACTCTTTTCAGTCTAATTCATTTGTCACTGTTGTTTCCCATCATCCTGTTCTCCCTACTAAATTGCCAAATGCAAGGGGAATTGTCAGAAACCAATCTGAATTGTTCCACTCAAGTGGCTGCTTAGGGAATGTGTGTGGGTGATAAATTTTATCTTGCTCAGCTGGGAGCAGGAAAGTTTGGACTCTCTTGAGCTCACAGTCTAAGATTCATCATCCTTTTGTAATTGGAGCTACTACGAGATGAGCTTCAGATTCCTCCGAAACCCAGACATAATTTGTAAGGCTAAATATCATAGGTCTGTGGGATCCTCGAGTAATTGGCGGTGTCCAGGTGTAGAGGAGCCTCTTCAGGGACTGGTTCTGCAGCAGGTCCTGGACACCTCCTTCTGAATACAGTTAAAATCTCGTGTTTTCCTGGGTACAACAGAAAATGAAGGTGTTTCCATGGCAGACCTTTTTATCTTCTGGTTTCTATGAGTATGTTTCCTACCAACTATCCAGAAGACATACATCTAAAGTAGTGATGCTTTTTCCTTTCACCAGGTTTTCGCTGAAGAGGGCTTGAAGGTTGCTTCGAGTGTTCAAGCTTTCTCAAAACAGGTAACGCTGGTCTGCCTGCCTGGTGTTGGAGGAGGTGTCACGAATGTCCACTTTGGGTGTATATCATTAAGATAAAAAGGTGTTTAATGTTGAAAAGATAGAGTTTTGTTGGAGTTGTTATAACTTCCAAAATTACATTTCAGCTGAAAGATGATGACAAGCTTATACTTCTCCTGGAAATAAACAAGCTCATTCCTCTATGCCACCAGCTCCAGACAATAACTAAGACACCTTTGCAGAATCAAGTGTTTCTAAAGGTAAAAGTCAGGGCAGGTTAATTCGGGTAGGCACTTGAGAGACTTTGACAATTCTTTATCAGGTTAGCTTCCATCCCCTTTTTCTTCAAATAAAAGATTAATAACCACAGAAGAGCAATTTATTTCAGTTTTTCGTGCCATCACTGCAGTTATAAATGTCACTTACTGTCTACAGTCATAAATGACCCCAGGGAGCAGTAGGTTCACCAAACAAATGGGCTTTTTGACATGATTGATTCCATAGCATTAAGCAGCTTCCCTTAAATTCCAATGTCATCACATGTCTAACTATGACACAGATGACTTTAAATGTGGGCTCCACCCACAGGGAACTGGGGTGCAGAGAATGGCAATGCTGGGGCGACACTACCACTATTTGGAGTGCTCTGAGAAGCCCCAAAACAGCCTGAGGTAGAACAGAGTGATTTTCTGTCTGTTCTTGTTGGGGACTCATGAAGTAGGCCTGAGACCGGGGCAGCAGTGCCTCCCTGCATCTGTGTTCCGGGGCCTCGAGGCAACCAGTCAGCCCGTGTGGACTAATCCATATGCCTCTGAGATCCTTTAGAGTTAAATAATGAAGAAATTGTATCATTCTAAGATTAAATACTGACTAAGCACCTTTCGAAGTACCCCTCTGTAAAGGCATATGATTCCTTTGCTTTCGTCACTGCAGGCTGATAAATGCATTACAAAGACGAGATCCATGATGGCTATTCTGGTCCAGCTTCTGTCACTTTGCTTTAAACTGCTGAAGAAGGTGAGTGTGGGGGAGCTTTGTCCAGCAAAGCCCCCCAAGGCCATCGCGGATGAGAATAAGTCTACCAAGACGTGATAAGCTTGGGGTGGAAAGGTGGCCGATCTCTTCAAAGGAGAAGGGCTGGGAGCCTGTTCATCAATGGGCTTTTATTGGGTTCAATTTGCACAGGAATACAGGTAAAGCTCATCTGTCACTGTCAGGCAGTAAGGATCAAACAATAGATAACATTCAAAGAACTATGAGGGCTTATTCTGAGTCAGGGTCAGTTAGCTAAAGAGCAATATAACTTTGGGAAACAAACTCTTTTCATGCTTGGACCCTTATCAGAATATTGAGGACATTCTGAGCAAAGCAGTTTTCACAGGGTTTTATGCATTCTTTCTCAGGCCTGTTTGCCTCGGGGAAGTGCCTGTTCCTACCCAAGGCTGCACAGCTCTCCCACATTGTTTCAGGCTTAAGTCAGGCAGGGGAAGTAAGGCAGCCAAGAGATTAGGAGACTTCTTGCGGACAGAATGAGGACTCAGGCTATGTCAAAGCCAAGGGGTGAGGGTCCATCACCCTCTTTTTCTCTAGCCCCCCAAGCCCTTCCCTGAAGGCCCCTTCGTGACCCTGCCTGTCTTAGGTCGTCCCTCCCTTGAGGAATCTTACCTGTCATTGGCTAACCAGTCATCTGCCCAGGGCCAAGCAGGGTGAAGTAAAAGGGGACAGAGCTGTTGACCCTGCCAGGAAGATAAGCTTTGTCTCCTTAGTGACTTATAGTCCCAAGGTCTCTTACTCAGCCTTAGCCATGGGGGGGGGGGGAGAGGTTACAGCTTCTGAAACCAGGCAGGGCGGTTCCCAACAGATGAGATAGTTTTTCTATCTTACACTCACATTTTAGAATCTAGTTTAAAAGACAATGCAAAAGAAAATATAGTAATTATTTAATTTTGCTGTTTTGATTTTGAGAGTAAGGTCGAAATTTTCTTAACTCTTTTCCAGCTTCAGATGGAAAACAACAGATGGGTCTCAGTTACAAGCAAGGACTCCATGGATGGCAAAACTTGAGAACTTTTTGAGGTTAGATCTCAAGAACACCATATGGCAAAGCTGACATTTTTAAAAGCAAACAATTTATATTTTCGGAAATTCAATAATTTTATAAAGATGATGACACTGAATTCCTGCTTTATTTTCTGATCATGAAATTGATTGTGGCTTTTTGACAACTAATAAATGCTATGGTAGTTGCTAGAATTCTAATTGCAGTGTGATTTTAAAACAACACATCACCACCAATATTGTTCTTTAAGAGTCAAGCCAAATATCCCAACTGTCTGAATGACAATTTAATCCAAAGAAGCTATTTTGAATGTGTGCTCCCTTCCCTTCGGAATATTTTACCTTCCCATTTTCTGTTTTTTTATTTAAGCTTATCTTCCAGAACACTAATTGTCATTAGAAAATACAGTGGTCTGGTTGAAAGCAGTTTTCCTTAAACCTGTAGACCCTTCTTCAATCCATCTGTCCACTGGGTGTGACCAGGCCTCCTGGCTACCCACCCGCCGTCACAGATCATCTGTGCCAGCAGCACACGTTTGTTCTCCAACACGCACCTCACACAGCACAGGCTCTCTGTTGTGAGGCACATCCCTCCCCCTCCCCAACAGCAGGGTCATGGAGCTCACTCCACAGAATCCTGGAGGAACTCGCTAGGAGGTGGCTTTTAGTTCTCATTCTAGCAGAAGTGGCCTGTCTGCCCTGAGTATTAGCTGGAACGCTAAACCTAATTTACTGGCTTAAGAAAAAAAGTTTTGAACTGTCCTCAGTAGGGGCTGATGGAATGGAAGATGAAGACAGAGAAGGATGGAACTAAGAAGCAGTTTAAAATAAATTTTGAATAATCATACATTTTATATATGTGCCTTTGGAATGTCCATTGTAAAACAAATAAACATCTTTAGTCTTTTTAATTTCAGGGTTTGAAGCTTTTGTTGTTTGTATTTGTGGGGCGGGGTTTTGATGGAGGGCTCTGGTTTATAGGTCCTGCCCTTGTGATAGAGTGTGGTTAACTGTTTTGCATTCATTAGTGCTTGCATCCCATTGCCTTGAAATCTACCAGGACAAGTCAGTTGCCAAATGACTGTACTTGTATGACTGTACTTGGACTTGCCAAATGTCTGAGTCAGCCATCACAATATTCACAAGATCCCAAAGAACCACATTTTATTATAAATAAATAAATAAATATTTATTTCCCTCTCTAAAATAAATAAATAAATCTTAAAAAAGATTTTATTAAGTAAAATCTTTTAATAAATCTTATTAAATAAAATCTTTTTAAATAAATAAATAAAATCTTTTTTAAAAAAGATTTTATTTATTTATTTATTTTTAGAGAGGGAAGGGAGGGAGATAGAGAAGCATCAATGTGCGGTTGCTGGGGGCCGTGGCCTGCAACCCAGGCATGTACCCTGACTGGGAATCGAACCTGCGACACTTTGGTTCGCAGCCCGCGTTCACTCCACTGAGCTACGCCAGCCAGGGCAATAAATAAAATCTTTAAAAAAATAGTCTTCATGGTAAAAATGTTTAAAAAATATATTAGCATTTAAAAAAAGTGTTGTTTTGGGGACTTTCGGCCAACATGGAGGCATAGGTAGACACACTGTGCCTCCTTGCACAACCAAAAGAAGGACAGCAATTTAAAAACAAAAAACAACCAGTACCGACAGAAAATTGAACTGTATGGAAATCCAACAACCAAGGAGTTAAAGGAAGACACATTCATTCAGACAGGTAGGAGGGGTGGAGTCGGGCAGCTGGGGCAGAGTGGGCTCTCATCAAAGCGACAGCTGGCAAATCCCAGGTGTGCAAGGTGGCGGGTGGTGGACCCAGCGAGGTGGTGGATTGTGGGGCACAGCGCGCAAGGTGGCTGGCAGACCAGGTGATCCCACGTTAGCGCGCAGATAAAACAGGTGAAACTTGCTAGCAAGACAGACTGCGCAACCCAAGGTCCTAGCGCTGGGAAATAAAGCCTCAAATCACTGATTGAAAACACCTGTGGGGGTTGCAGTGCTGGGAGAAATTCCCAGCTTCACAGGAGAGCTTGTTGGAGAGACCCACAGGGTCCTAGAACTTATACAAACTAACCCACCAGGAATCAGCACCAGAAGGGCCCAACTTGCTTCTGGGAAGTGGGGAAAGTGACTGAAATCAGGCAGAGAGTGGAGCAAGCACCATTGTTCCCTCTTAGACCTCTGCCCCACATAAAGCATCACAACCCAGCGACTGGGTTGCCCCACCCTGGTGGACATCTAAGGCTCTGCCCCTCACTATGTAGTAGGTGCATCAAGACAAAAAAAAAAATGGCCCAAATGAAAGAACAGATCAAAGCTCCAGAAAAAATACAACTAAGTGACAAAGAGGTAGCCCACCTATCAGATACACAGTTCAAAATACTGGTAATCAGGATGCTCACAGAATTGGCTGAATTTGGTCACAAATTAGATGAAAAAATGAAGGCTATGCTAAGTGAAATAAAGGAAAATGTACAGGGAACCAATAGTGATGGGAAGGAAACTGGGACTCAAAGCAATGGATTGGACCGAAAGGAAGAAAGAAACATCCAATCAGAAAAGAATGAAGAAACAAGAATTAAAAAAAAAAAAAAAGGAGAGGCTTAGGAACCTCCAGGACATCTTTAAATGTTCCAACATCCAAATCATAGGGGTGCCAGAAGGAAGAGGAAGAGCAACAAGTAGAAAACTTACTTGAACAAATAATAAAGAACTTCCCCAATCTGGCAAATGAAATAGACTTCTAGGAAGTCCAGGAAGCTCAGAGTCCCAAAGAAATTGGACCCAAGGAGGAACACAGCAAGGCACATCATAATTACATTACTCAAGATTAAAGATAAAAAGAATCTTAAAAGCGGCAAGAGTTAAGGAGGCAGTTACCTACAAAGGAGTTCCCATCAGACTGTCAGCTGATTTCTCAAAAGAGGCCTTACAGGCAAGAAGGGGCTGGAAAGAAGTATTCCAAGTCATGAAAGGCAAGGACCTGCATCTGAGATTGCTCTATCCAGCAAAGCTATCATTTAGAATAGAAGGGCAGATAAAGTGCTTCTGAGATAAAGTGAAGTTAAAGGAGTTCATCATCACCCAGCCCATATTATATGAAATGTTAAAGGGACTTATCTAAGAGAAAGACGATAGAAAAGATGAACAGTAAAATGACAGCAAACTCACAATAATTAACAACCACACCTAAAACAAAGGAAAAACAAACTAAGCAAACATCTAGAACAGGAACAGAACCACAGAAATGGAGATCACATGGAGGGTTAACAACAGGGGAGTGGGAGGAGGAGAGAGGGGGAAAAGGTATGGAGAATAAGTGGCATAGATAGGAGGTAGAAAAGAGACAGGGGGAGGGTAAGAATAGTATGGGAAAGGTAGAAGCCAAAGAACTTGTAAGTATGACACATGGACATGAACTAAATGGGGGGAATGTGGGTGGGAGGGGGTATGCAGGGTAGAGGGGAGTGAAGTGGGGAAAATGGGACAACTGTAATAGCATAATCAATAAAACATTTTTAAAAAATATTTTATTTATTTATTTTTAGAGAGGGAAGGGAGGGAGAAAGAGAGAGAGAAACATCAATGTGCAGTTGCTGGGGGTCATGGTCTGCAACCCAGGCATGTATCCTGACTAGGAATCGAACCTGTGACACTCAATAAAACATTTTAAAAATTTGTTTTGCATAGCAAGTTTTGCAAATAACCTCAGACATGGTCATTTGACATATATAAATTTTAACTGGTTTCTTGGATATGTTAAATAGCTATGGCCATGCTTTGAGCCAGGGGGATGGGAGTGACTTTCACCCTGGATGTAACTGGTAGGCAACTCCCCCTGGTTACAGCGCCTGTGTAAGAGCTTGGAGATGATTGGCTCCATGTCATGGGACCACGCCCACCTGGACTTACTATGGCAGCCAAGAAAGGCTGGAACAAAAATAGGGGAATGCTGGCAGGTGTAACTGATTGTGGGAGGAGTCGGAAATGGGGCTGCAGAGGAAGATTGGTGCTGGGATTAAAACCCAAGCGGGGCAGCCATGCTGGGTGGTTGCGACCATGCGGCTTTGAGGTGATCGCTCTTGCCAAGTGGCTTAGGAAGCAGGAGAGACCTTCCTGGGAAGAAGAGGAGGAAAAGGACTCTTGCTGGTGGGCCATGATCACGTGCCACGTGGGTTTGAATTAACTGGAGATCTCGGTCACGACCACAGCTGACAGTGCCGGGAACTGAGGGGCTGCCTGAGCCACGGACTTCTTTTCCTGAATTACGGTACCCCAGACTGGGCAGAGGGGGAAGGATGGACTGTGTGCATTTGTGGGTATTCTAAGGAACTTTGAGATCTCAATGAAGACATTAAGTTATTACTCTTAAGTTTGTGTAACTTTTGAATAAATTCACTTTCTTTACACCAATCTCCGCCATTGAGAGATGTCTTTCCCTGGCAGGGGGCAAGGCAAACCTAGTATGGGGAGGGACCCCGGATCACAACGGGGGCACCCATTCAGGAAGAGTATATCGCTCACCACGCTCCCCTCAAGTGTGTTCCTCCTTGGGCCAACTTCTTTGGGACTCTGAGCTTTCTGGACTTCCTGAAAGTGTATTTTCTTTGCCAGATTGGGGAAGTTCTCCATTATATTTTCAAATAAGTTGTCAATTTCTTGGTCTTCCTCTTCTCCTTCTGCCACCCTTTGATTCGGATGTTGTCATGTTTAAAAGTGTCCTGGAGGTTCCTAAGCCTCTCATTTTTTTTTGAATTTTTGTTTCTTCATTCTGTTCTGGTTGAATATTTCTTTATTCTTTCTGCTCTAAACCCTTGATTTGAGTCCTGGTTTCCTTCCTGTCACTGTTGATTCCCTGTAGATTTTTCTTTATTTCACATAATGCAACCTTCATTTCTGCCTGAGTCTTTCTTATACTGTTGAAGTACCCAGTGAGTTGAGTTCCTGGAGCAACCTGATTACTGGTGTTTTGAACTGTGCATCTGATAGGTTGGCTGTCTCATCACTTAGTTGTATTTTTTTCTGGAGCTTTCAACTGTTCTTTCATTAGGGCCTTTTTGGTCTCGGCGCTCCTGTTACATAGTAAGGGCTGGAGACTCAGGTGTTCACACAGGCGGACAACCCACATCCCAGGGTTGTGACGTTGTATGTGGGGGAGGGGTCCAAGAGAGAACAATGGTGCTTGCTCTGGTCTCTGCCAGTTTTCAGTCACTTCCCCCACTTTCCACAAGCAAGCTGGGCCCTTCTGGTGCTGATTCCTGATGGATGGGTTTGTGTGCATTTTAGGACCCTGTGGGTCTCTCTAATAACTCTCCTGTGAGGCTGTTTCTCTTGCTGCGGCCTCAACCCCCTCAGGAGTTTTCAGTCAGAGGCTTTAAAGCTTTATTTCTCACACTGGAACCTGGGATGGTGCAGTACATCCTGCTCACCAGTTGTTCCTCCCGGTTTATCTGTGTGCAAATGTGGGACTGCCCAGTCCGCAATCTGCGGCCTCGCCCTGTCCACCAGCCGCTGCCTTGCCCGCCATAGTCCACCACGAGTACTCTCCACCTGCCTGCCAGTGTCCACCCCTACCTGTCTGGATGAATGTTTGTTCAACTCCCTGGTTGTCAGACTTCCATAGAGTTTGATTTTGTCAGTTCTGGTTGTTTCTTGTTTTTAAATTTGTTTTTGTCCTTTTGGCTGTGTGAGGAGGGCACAACGTTGTCTACCTACGCCTCCATCTTCGTTGGAAGTCCCCCAAATATTCTTTTAAATTACAGTGGGAATAATGGTGAATGATGTGAAGTAATATTATACATAGAACAGCTATAATTTGTTTACTATCTTTAGTAGCTTTGTGTTGTCTTCAGGAATCACTGGGCCACTCCAGCTGGGATCCACTGGCCTGTGTGTGTGTTTTCAGTTCACACACTGTCTGTGGATGTTTGCAGAGCTACTACCTGCGTTGCGTCTGGTGGGTGTCCTGGGGGACGGTCATGCTGGTGCTTGAGTTACAAGTTATTCTTGGGAGTCAAAAATAATGTTTAAGTTTTATTTGGAAAATGCTTTTACATATCTGAAATGAGAATATTCTCTTATTTAAGTGCCAGTGGGTGTGGGGAAGGGATACCATGACTTCTACCGCAGTGGGGCATAGGGAACCAAAGGAATTTGCATGTCACGTGATTTCTTCTGTATTAAACGATTGTTTTATTTAAAAACAGGTATTTAAATGTACACGTTGCAGCCCTTAAAGAAAAATAACAATTTTTAAAGTCTCTTATTTAAAATTCAGAGAACATAAGCATGCAATCTTAAATCATAAATTCAGTTTTTTTAGTTCAAATGATATGAAAGCTTTTGTTCTGTTCAAAGGCTTGTGTCTTTGAAATACAGTACCTTGTCCTTTGCTCATTACATTACAATGTATGTACTACATTATGATACCCCACAAGTTAGGAAAGCCCTTTGTATTTTAAGTCAAGCCCTTTGTATATTTCAAAGCCCTTTCGTGCTGGCCCTCATGTAAGAATGACAGAATTCCAGTTCTACTTTGTTTCAGAGGAAGGCCATCCAGCGGCATGAAGGTTAGACAAGGTTCACTGTACATGCTGCCTCTCCCCTATGACCTGGAGAGGAATTAAGGCAGAGGGGTGGGACTAGACTTTTTGGTAGGGTCATACGGAAGCACAAGGGGTAAGAAAGGCCAGCTCTTGTTTCTCTTACCTTCAAACTGATGGAAGTTTGAGCAAAACCAGTGAACCCTGATGTAACATTCAAACAAGTATGGTACTTGTAATTAATAAAATATATTCTTAATCTTAATCTGAAGTAGGTCATACAAGAAGTATGTCAAAATGTATTTACTAATGAGTTATAGGATGATGGGTAAGTTATTTTTACTTGTTACTTAAAACTTTTGTCTTTTCTAAATTTCCTCTAACTGTTTTGCTTGTTTTTAATTAAAAAAAAAAACCAACAGACACCTTTTGCTTTCCAGTTTTTAGAAATATAGAAAAGAAGAAATAGCAGTGTGCGTGAGTCCACGGCAGGGGGCAGACCTGGGAGGCTGAAGACAAAAATGGGAAGCAGGCTTCCGAGCAGAAGGCTGGCTGTCAGGTACGCTTCTCGCCGAATGCCGGGGCTGCTTCCGCGCACCGATCCAACGCCACACTGCTTTTCATTCCACCTCAGTCCTCACGATGTAGCAGTTACGGCGTCAATGCGTTTCACCACAACTTCCTCATACTGTTTTTGTGTCAGTAACCCTTCTGTTATGCTTTTACTTTCTTCAAATTTGGGCAACACAACTGCGATGTAACCTTCAGTGGACGGCTAGAAAAGAAACAGAACATGTAGCCTGTCCAATGACAGAAATCAGATGAAAAGTGTGTGGATGCGATCATGTGCCCTCCAGCCCCCTTTACCTTCTCCTGAAGAATAGAAGGCTTATGGAGAATATTTTCATTTACTTCCATCAACCGTCCTCGAACACAGCTGTTGAAAAAAAAAACAACTGTAAAATAATTTTACCTCCCCGCGCCCTAAATTATGGTTAAAACGTAACTCACCTAGATATAGTATATTCTTCTCCATCTGAGCAGTAAATCTTACACAGGGGTGCAAGCTCTGTTAGAAACTGTGCCCCCTGGTAATAAAAGGGAACAGGTAAGTAACCGATGTACACTCCCACTTCCCTTTGAGAGGCAATGCTCAGTGTTTTCACGGGGTATATTTCCAGAATCAGTGTTCCAAAAACCATTCATGTATTCAAATGTTTGTGTGAGTGCCTGCTATGGGCCAGGTTCTATGGGAAAAGGCAAACGAAGACACATACTATAATAGCTAGTTTAAAGATTAATAATATATTTTATTAATTTTAAATGAGAAAGCTGCATATAGCCAAGTAGAAAGATTTCAACAGTGTAGGAAACTTCATCAATAAGCAATAGAAAATTCAACATGACACAGTGTGACAGCAATATTGTACCCAGTTAGTTCCATTAAGATCTCTACCTTCTCTAAGACATTTTGAAAAAGCGTTTTTTCTCATTAAAAAGTAATGAACTTGGAGGAAAATATGGAAAACAAAAGTTTTCAGAAGCAGGTAAGAACTGTCTACCCATTATCCTATAACCCAGAAGTATGTACCACATTTTGACATATATGTTAGAATGCTATGGCAGGGTTACTGTTTCGTGTACTTTACTCTAAGGATATCTGGGGAAGTTTCTGACAAAAAGCTACAAGGATGCTCTTGGGGAAACTCATGCCGGTACATTGCCTGTGTTGCTTTTTTTTTCCCCCCTCCTGGACTTTTTCCTGTAGTGAACACAGGCACGAGTCACGATGCTGTTCCCTATGATCTCAATTACTCAAAAATGTTACTAGACAACATTCACATATACCACCTTGGCTTTCCTCCTCTGCATGTGGGCACTTCATTTCAAAATACTAGTCAGTGCAACTCCCCACCTTTGGGAGAAGGGGTTGGGTATTCAAACCCAGAGGGTTTGTCTACCACTGCCACCGTGTCAAAGAGCGGAAGTGTTCTGACTCCCTTTTATCACCTCCCTTGTTAGAATAAATGATGGGGACTGCTGAGATCTGGTCCAAACCTATCTGTAGTGGGTCCTATTTGCAGGTCCCTCTCTGTTCTTTAGTAGTAACAATAGTGTTACTGCAATATTTTGGACAAAGATTTATCACAGGACTTTCTCAAGCACTAATGGTTTTACTTGTGATCTGTAGACTTTCTCTTTTAAGAATGGTCCATGCTTTTCTAAGTCCATGTGTTTCCTGAGTGAGGAAAAATCAAGAAGCACAGGTCACGTTATTAGGGGACTGCAGGCCTACAAAGGGAAGTATAAACAGTGAGGGTTATTAGCAGAAATTGTTAGTATGAACTCAGTAAATGAAGGACCTAAATCATCCTCCATGACAGATCCACCGAAAGTGATACTTTAATAAACTGTCCATCCTGCTTAGAGTTGTAGAGAGTAGAGATGACATTTTGTACAGCTGAGCATGATGTGCAGGGAGAGGGTGAGGCCGTCTGAGTGCATGAAACTGGCAATGATTAAGGACTGGAAATGCCACGGAGCAAATACTGTATATTTTCCCAGATTGATTTTTTTACTATCTCAGGAATTTTGGTTTTTGTTTTTAATTTACATGTGGAAACATATGGTGAAGAAGAGTTGGTCACCTAAATTTTACAGAACTCTTAATACCAGCTTGCTAAAACTAGAAGGGACAAAACATCTCATTTTATTGGCATTAGAGTTGTCCATTCAAAGACCCACCTTCCCCATCCTCCATCCTGGGAGGATGTCAAGCGGTGTTGGTACAGAACTTGAAATGACAGACAGATCCCACACCTCCTGAAATACCTCATTTTTGGGTCTGAGAATTTCTTTAGGGTTGAAGTATTCTTAAGATCAGCATCTCAAACTGCCAGGGAAGATTGCTGAGCATTTATCACTGGATTCTGAGACTGAGTGGACCTATCATTACTATGACATAGAGGATTTAAGTAGAGAATTACAGGAACATACCCGTTTAAATTTCCCAGACACCTTGTTCTGAAGCCTGCTACAGTTGGTACTGATTTGATAGGAAATGCTTTTAATTGTTTTTCCACTTTGAAGAACTGGATGAGCTTCTGCCAATGTGATGACACATATTCTACGAGGAGCAAACATCGATCCTGTGTTATTGCTTGGTACAATTCTTCCTCTCCCAACACAGTATTCTACTGACAAAAGAATATCTGAGCTGACATTTGTTGAGTCAAACTATCTTTTCTACCCATTCTCCTCTGGTGACTGTAGACGGGAATGCAGTTAAAAAAGAGGAGAGAGTGGGATTTTATATCCTTCCCAGAGAAGGGAAGAGTACAGAGTCTTAGGTAGTAGTGAGGTGGGAGAGAAGTAAGGTATGCCTGTATGTACAGGATAACACCTAGGCCTCCACCTCTCTATGGGCTCTGGCGGTTCAGTGGTTAAGCACAGGCTGGTTACTTAAGGCAGTACACTGAGGGTGTGGTGGTCCACTTGGAAGTTTGGGTGATTGAATTTGTTTAGCTTAAGTAGGCACTAAAAGGCTCACTCTTGTCAACCAAAATCCTATAATAAATAATACTATTTCAGCACAGTGGAAGATAATCATTCATTGAACATTTACTCAACCCAAGCCCCTACCAGGCCGCAATACCAGAGAATTTTTTTGATAACTTCAAATTCCCAATTTCCTTACCGGTTAGAGTGCTGTAATATACAGTGGTCCTCACAGGGCTTTCCTTTGACATCTAGAAGAATGAGTGGATCAGTTGGTTGTGGAGTCAATATTTACTACCACTGTACAGTACGTTTTTTGGTTTATAGAGATAGTTAATTATAAAGACCGATCACTTGTATCTCTTCATTAGTCAAAAATGATATATCTAAAAGGCTTGCTATCAGGTATTTGAGACGTGGCCCAGATGGAATCATTCATCCTTAAAATGATTATTAATTTTGCTCTATCTTGCCTTATCCTCACTTTAGAATGAGTACACATTTCTATTACAAAAATGCAATTAGCTATGCATTATTTATATAATACAGTAGTGTATGTTTTGCCAGTCAATTTTAAAGTGACTAGTTCCTGGTTTGCCTAGGACTGTCCTGATGTTAGCACTGAATGTCTCGGAATCTGTAAAGCCACCCAGTCATTGGTAAATGGGGACAGTTAGTCACCCTAAATTTGGCTAAATATTTTTTTAAATGAGTGCACCTGTCATCCTTGAATGAAAGACAACAAGTATGGGGTTAGAGGAAGATCCTCAACCACACTTCCACAGGGAACACAAATAACACAACAGAATATCTATTAAGTGGCAGATGTTTATAATACCAGTAGCTTCTTTTTCAGTAAAACTGTTAGATTCTGCTTTAGTCTAAATGCCTCTATTCTAACCCACCATCTTCTCTCCATCCCTAGGACTTCTACCTTGGTTCCGGCCTGATCATCTAAATCACTTTAGGTATTGTCACTCCCTAGAGGATCGTGCCCCTCAGATCCCTTCAAGCCCTCCAGGAGATTGCAATCCAGCCCCTGCTTACTGCGGGGCCTCTCTCAATCTAGACTACCATCTTCCCAAAAGCAACCCACCCTGGAATTCGCACAGCACTCGCCAGCCCCCGAATGCACCCTGCTACATTTCACTCCAACAGGTCTTTGCAAATGCCCACTCCCTCCTGATTGCCAGCAACAGAGAGGTCTAATTTCTTCCAATGTTGGGGATGGAGCGCAGAGGAGAGCACGCGTAAATTCTGATGTGTGGTCTAGTCCTTATGCCATCAGGCCAATGCGGCTGACGAATGACCGACATCATTCCCCACTTACCCGCTTTGTACCAGCGAGTGAAGTAACGATCCACTAGTGACGGCACCGTGGGCTCCACCGCCACCGGCTCGGTAGCCATGGCGACCTCCAGCGCCTCTACCTCTTCCCCCTCCCTGGGACACAGAAGCGCTTCCTCCATTCTGGCCCAGAAAGAGGCTGTCCTTCCGGAGCGCGGGCTGCAACACCAACCCTGCAGGCCCCGCCCACTGGTGCCAATCACTGGGCTTTAGGGTTGACGTCAAAGTGGGGATAAAATACTATAGGCTGAGTAGGAGGACCCAGCTTCTCCCATCCCCGGCTCGGGCCACTTAGGAGAAAGTCAGCCACACCCCCTCAGCCTCTGGAGGTCTCTCCCGCGCTACTAGGCGTGTGTCTCGCGTGTGTCTGTTTCGCTTGGGGGTCTTCGTCCCACCCGCTGTCCCTCTGCTCCGCTTCAGCCACTATCTTCGGGGATCGGGCGGCGCGGAGGCCCAGTACGCGCCGCAAGAGCTCGGGAGCCGTGGTCGGAGACAGGCGTGTGCCCGGACGGACTCCAGGAGGCTGAACGTGGCCTGGGAGGCGAGGGTGGACTCACCACTGTTTGGGGGCCAGCGCGCTGCATCAGGTGGGTGTTCTAGAGACTATTCCAGGCAGTGGGCACGAACCCGGCCCTGTGCGCCCGGGGCTGTCCTGGTGCTGGGAACCCCCTGAGCGCGCATCCTCTGCCTTCTGCAGGCCAGGGATGGAATGCAGCATTACCACCTCTGCCCTCGAGCATTAAGTTCTTTTTGTGCAGGCTTGCCACCTCCTCTCTTGCGGCCATGGGTGGGGGAGGAGGGGTCTGCTCCCTAGCCGCGTACTTAACCCAGCCGGCGGGTTGCTTGCAGGAGTGGTGGACAATACCGCTGAAAGCTAATCGATTAATACACGATAGAGGGCGGCGGTTATTGGAGGTTCGAATACTGTGCTGCGGGTCCTTTCTTGTGTCTTTCGACTCTTTCGTGGAAATGTTGCCCCCTGTGCTTCTCCATCTAATGTGGTATATTATATGGCCTTCTCTACCATTAAATGGTGGCCTCCGTGGAGGCAGTGACTGTCTTCGGATTTGAGCACTTAACAAAGTGCTCATTCCGTGTTTGATGTAGGCCCATAGACTGGATCGTAGGATTGCGTAGGTACTTACTGTATAAAGGATTCAAGCTATATAGTGACAGCCACGGACATAACCAGTGAACAGTTCAGTATGAAAAGTGTGAGCAAAAAGTAGGCAGTTTTCAGGTTCGGGAACAGAGAGTAGAAATGCAACATCCTCAAATAGGGGAAGCATTTGGTGGGAAAGTAGCAAGTACTTACTTCTTTTTCCAGGCTGTATTTGATGTGTTTGTGAGACATCCTTGTTAATAACATCAGGAGATTGAAAATGTGGGGTTCGTGTCCAGTTTAGGGAGGGTCAGGGCTAGACAGACTTCTGGGGCATGTTAGTGATCTATCTGGTACTTGAAGTCAGAGGTATGATAATTAGCTCAGAGACAGATGGGTGAAGGAGCAACGAAGAAAATGGAGGAGTCAGAAATTTTGGAGAAGGTGAGGATTGATCTCTGATGGAGAGAGATCTTCGCCACATGTGTAGACAGGGCTGGAAGTTGGAGACTGCAGATGTAAAAGAAAGGATACTGATAAGTTGAGGTCCTGGGGAAGTTTGGAGGATACTTCCCCCCTTCCTATCCTTGCAAAGGCTTGGGAACACTTGAGAAGATAGGGGAGTAAGGATGATGGGCGTGAAGATGTAGAGAAGTCCTTTTTGAGACTCAGAGAGTTAGGGAGGGAAGCAGGGGAGATGAATGATGAGCTTACCTTGGCTGGTGGTTCTGGAAGCTCAGTGATTTGAGAAGCCAGGTTGTTTGTGGTATTTGTTGGTCAGGGTCATTTGGGAAAGTAGAAACCACATGTTATTCGAACAGAATTCAATAAGAAGAATGAGTTAAATAGCTATTGGAGGAATGAAAAGCAAAAGGGAACAAAAAATGTAACAAAAGGTAAAAGGATAGGAGTAGCAATAACACAGCTAGGACTGGTGATCTAAACAAAGGAAGCCCTTGGGATTATCATGGCCTAAACTTGGGGAGAGGCATTGCAAAGCTGAGCTCAGACTTCTGGTGTTGACACTTCTGGAATTTAGGAGAGGAGCCCACATGTGGCTGGATTTCAGATGTCTGGAGGGGCCTGCCTGGGTATTGTTGGTACCTCTGGGGATGGGGGTGAGGAGGCTCGTCTTGAGAGTTCTAGAGACTGGGACCTAGGTCCCTACCAGGGTGAGGGCCCATTGCTGCTGTGGGGGGCAGTGATGGGAACAGTAAGATAACAGGGAAAAATGAGTCATCAGCCCCTGCTGCCTTTACCCTCCAGATTCTTATCCTGGAGGATAAGAATGTCCACAGGCTTTTGGAATGGAATCCAAGGTCACAGGGAGGGGTATGAAGGTATATTTTGGTGATCTGATCATGGCAGGAGTAACAGCATGATTATTATTAGGTAAACCAGAATGAGAGACAGCCAGGAAACCGCACATTTGGTCGCCCTCTCACCTGTCCTCCTCTTGCCACTTAGCCCCTCCTTACTCTTCTCTCCAATCTACCTGTATTTCAGATCCGCCCATCCTATACCAGTGGTCGTCTTTATGTTTAAAGATAAAAGATGTAATTTGTATATGTTTTGAAAAGCCTAAACTTTCTGCATAGAATTAGATTTAAATTTGAAACGTTCATGGTATAGTCAGGTTCAAGTAATTTTTAGAAGTTCTTTTTTTTTTTTTTAAGATTTTATTTATTCTTAAAGAGAAGGGGAAAGAGAGAGAGAAAAACATCAATGTGTGGTTGCCTCTCACTTGGCCCCTACTGGGGACCTGGCCTGCCACCCAGGCATGTGTCCTGACTGGGAATTGAACTGGCAGCCCTTTGGTTTGCAGGCTGGCGCACAATCCACTGAGCCACACTGGCCAGGGCTCTACAAGTTCTTGAATGTAAATATCCCTAAAGCTTACAAAACCATTGTCGGCCTTGATTTTTTTTCTGTGCTTCCACCATATATGGTTTTGCCTTCCTCTTAACCCACATATATGTGGTATCATTCATGTTACCCTTCACATTATCTGCTGTGTAGGAGGAGGATTAATACATCTTTTCCAATGTCATATATATGAAACGCCAAGATAGGAGAATTCACCTGATGGTTGGCATTAAGTCCGGTGTGGTCTGTGTAATTGCTACCCCTAACATAACTTAGGGACTTCCAATTATAAACCTTAAAGGGAGCTGAATATAAATATCCAGTACGTTATCATTTGTTTTTCTCCTACGTAAATAATGCTCTGCATTAATCAGCAAGTCCGATTTTGTCAGACCAAAGTAGGTTTCCTATTTGTCATTCGTTTCTCGCCTTTCTATTGCACTGGCGAAAAGCAGGCCAGGAAAGCTGAGTTACGTGGAGTAGTTATATCAAGTCACAAGCTTCCCAAATGTTGGTCATCTTTTTGAAGTAAACTGTTGTAGCTTCACAGTGTCTTGTTTTCCCCCTTAGAGCCATATAAGCTTAGATTTATTTCTATTTTTGATTTAAATTTTAATTTTTAATGGAAGTATATCCCAGTTTATAAATAAGTGTACCTAGTGATAATAATTTTATTCCAGATTATCTTTTAAAAAATGTGTATACATATATATGGATTTTACATAATTTTATAAATCTGCAAGGTTATAAAGTTATCCTCATAGTCAAAAATAAAATGTTTTCCCATTTATTTTGTTCTTTTTTTTTTTAAGATTTTATTTATTTATTTTTAGAGAGGGAAGGGAGGGAGAAAGAGAGAGAGGGAGAGAGAAACATCAATGTGTGGTTGCTGGGGGTCATAGCCTGCAACCCAGGCATGTACCCTGACTGGGAATTGAACCTGCGACACTTTGGTTTGCAGCCTGTGCTCAATCCACTGAGCTATACCAGCCAGGGCTCTATTTTGTTCTTTCTAACTTTCCTGAGGAACAACTGATGTTAATTTTTTTTTCTCTTAGAAATGAGTGCTTCATCAAGGGATATTTGTACTTTTCTTTCAGGAATTCCCCACCATGAGAAATCTGAAGTTACTTCGGACCCTGGAGTTCAGGAATATTCAAGCTCCGGGGGAACCCCGGTACTTCTCCCTCCGAACCGAGCAGGGCACGGTGCTCATCGCCTCCAAGTGCAGACTGCTGGAAGTGGACCCCGCCACCAGAGAAGTGAGTTTCGGTGGCGAACGCCAGCACCTGGCACGACCGCTGCCTTGTCTCTTTCTAAACCTGTTTCCCCGGGTAGTCTTTAAAATTGTGCCGAATTTTTATCCTCCTACCTCAGCACTCCCTTTGCTTTCTACTGGTATCATATTAGACATAACCTAAATAGTAACTTACCTTTCACTTAACTACTGTTTTAAATCTGAGTTGACAAAACTGACCATGTATTTTGTGTGGGTGCCCTGCTTTTTACTCTTTCTACCTCGTACTGTTTGTAACAGAGGTTCTCAACTGGGGCTGCAATGAAAACTGCCTTTTGAAAACTGTGTTTCAGCCTCCGTCCCATACCAGCTAAGTCAGGATCTTCACTCCTGAATCCTGAATACACACACACACACACGCACACACACACAGACACACACAGACACACACGCACATATATAATCTTTCTCAAGTGGTCTGTCCAGAAAATATCCAGCCATGTACTGTGAAAAATAGACATTTATTGAAGATACAAGATACAAGAAGCATTGTACATAAGACAATGACACTGCCATCCCCTTCAAAGTAGGCACCTCACACCGTTGCCTAATCACCATCAGCTGCCCTGTCATAATTTCTTGAATCTCACTGATGGTCTGAGATCTTTTCCCTTTCAAAGGTGATCTTAGTTTTGGGAAAAGCCGGAAGTTGCAGGGCTCCTAATCTGGGCTGTAGTGGAACTGAGTCACCTGGGTGATTTGACGTTTCACCAAAAAACTCTGCACGAGACGTGCTGCATAAACAGGTGTGTTGTGATGAAGCTGCCAATCACCAGTTGCCCATAGCTGGGCCTTCTGAATCGTCCAAATAGTTTCTGTGGAGGAATGTTCAAGCTTAATGCAACATTTGATGGCAGATTCATGGCTCTACTCAGTCATTTTGGATGTGACACCCACACAGTACACATGCTCACTCAGTGGAATCTACCACCCCCACTGACTAGTACAGTGAAGTCGTCATTGTTCACACATGTGCATTTCAGTCCACTCTCCTTGGCCACCAGGTTACATCAGTGTTGTGCAAACCATTCTTGTCATATTAACCATGGTTGGACTTTTTCCGGACAGACTACACACACACTATATTTTGCCATGTATAATACACACTTTTTGCCCAAAGTTTTGAGGGAAAAATAAGGATGTGCATTATATATGGGTAGTACTAATTCTGTATCTATATAAACGTTTTTCTTTTATTTATGCTTATGCGTTAAAAGTGTAACTGTAGAAAGCAATAACAGTATCTGTATGTTCAAAAATAAATGCTAAAATTCCTTTGTAATACAAAAAACAAGTATCTAAATATAAATACATAAATAAATTAATTAATTAAATAATTGAAATTAAAAAATTAAAATGAAAGCTTTTTTCCGCAGAAAATTTGGGCCAAAAACATGGGTGCTCATTATACATGGCAAAATATGGTGCATACACACAGGGTGGGGCAAAAGTAGGTTTACAGTGGTTTGTATGGAAAATAATATAATGATTAGGAAATAATAATACATGAATAGACTGTTTCCCATACTCACAGCTGTAAACCTACTTTTGTCCTGCCCCGTGTATATTTAAAAGCTCTTTTGGTTGATTCTAATATCGTCCCCTAATTATATTTTGCTACTAATGTATTTTAGATGATTACATTCTTAATCCTTTTCCTCCATACATAGAAATCTTAGGAAATCATAGTTATTATTTTCGTGTTTTATTGGAAACTTTTAAAGAGACCAGGCTTCTTGCTTTTATTTTGCATTTGCTTGCAAAAAGTTCACATTAATTTTTTGTTAAAGACGGTAGGGTTGTAAGAGTTTTCAAATGGGAGTTTGGATTTTAATCTAGAAAAAAATCGTTTTTGAAAGCTTTTATATTATAAAGGAAGCACTGAAAAGTATTTTACTTGTGGAAGTGTTATGAATTGCTCTTGGAAGTAGATTGGCTTAGTTTGCTTATGTATCTGTTCTGGTGAAAGGTGAGAAATGAAGTCCCTTTAGTGCCAGAAGGCCTTCTGTCGGAGGATTGGAGCGACTACGTGGTTGGTATTCAGGACTTGCTGGATCAGGAGTCTGTGTGTGTGGCCACGGCCTCTGGCCATGTCACACTTTGCAATCTCAACACACACGAGGTAAGTACAAGAGTCCACTGAGGAGGAAACCTCACGTGTCCTCAAACAAGATCTTGTTTTGCATAGAAGCTTAAAAATTCACGAGCTGTAATACTCAAGCATTTTGCAAATTAGAGTCTTTGCATTACATATGTATTTACAAAAAATGGTTGGCATGGCTTTAGCTGTACTTCAGGGTTCTTGTAAAACTCAATTTTGTCCACCGCATTTGTGAATTAGAACAATTACATGAAAAAAAAAAATCCTGGCCATTCTTGAGTGGTATAGCTTACCTCTTACCAAAATCCGATCCTGAGTTATAACCTATATTTCTCAATTAGAAAGTCTGTGGAATGTTTATATGGCTTACTTTTTCTGTTACGATTGTGGATTAAGTCTCTCATTGATGGCTAACTTCAGAGTCCCTGAACGACAGGTACTGTAGTAACACACTGTCACAATGCATATTTTAGGGTTACCAGAGGAGACAGATTTCAGCCATTGGCCTCTTTCTCTACTTGAGCATGAGGCTGACTTTCTGAATTTCTGTTCTTACCTTCTGAATAGCAAGAGTTTCACACTGTTGTTTCTTTTTAAACTTCTTTAATTACTCCCTTTGTTGTGATCTCTTTAACATTGCTCATGCAGTAGGAGTTATAATATTACTAGTAATATAATAATAGTAACTGACATTCAGTGTTTACAACATGATAGGCGCTTCTTTGAGTGCTTTTCATGTAAAATTTTACTTACTCTTCACTGCAATCTTACGCACTAGATTGTGTTCCCATTCTTTAGCACTAGAGGCTGTCGCGTCACAGAGAGCTGAGGTAACTAGGCTGAAGAGCTACAGTTAATTATCAGAGGGGGTGTGAACCCTGGCAGTCTAAATCTGACACCTTCGCTTTCACCCGTTGCACTTGGTGCAATACTAAATCTTACTTTCATTTGATGGTAAGGCATACCAAAGCCATCAAGTACAATTCAAATAGTATTTCTCATATTTAAAAAGCATGTTTTTACTTTCAGAACATTTTATAGCATTTTTTTCCTGATGACCGAGCTCCTTCAATCCATCCATCTGCTCGGAGGGTGCACATCCTCTCCATGTGTGGCCTCTCAGTGCCTTCTCAGGGGAACAAGGCAGAATCAGTGCTCCTCGCCGTGCCTTATAAGGAACACCTTTCACTGTTTGTTCCCCACGTTCTTTTTAGCCTTTCCCCTTCCCTGTCATCATTCCTGTGTTTATTGAATAAGTTTACATTCATGTGTTTCGTTTTTAACTGTTTTGACCAAGGGTGCAGTGAATATTCACTGAGACAGTAGAGTTTTGAAATCTCCCTTGTCTTTTTCCGCCTGTCTCAGCTGGAATGTGTTGGGAGTGTAGCCAGTGGCATCTCCGTCATGAGCTGGAGTCCTGACCAAGAGCTGCTGCTTCTTGCTACAGGTGAGCCCGCCAGGAGTCCCCACTGACGTTTACAAAACATGGCTCCTGGTATCTCACAGGGCTACATTTTGGGCTGCGTAGGTTTCAGAAATTTTCTGTGAACAGTTATACCAGCATTATAATTTAGAGAAGAGGACTATATCGACTTCCATGTTAGCCTTACATACATAAATAGCTGAGAACAAGCACCATTTCAAGAGCTTTTTTAAAAAAAAAGTTAAAACATTTTGAATTGTGGTGTGTGGGGAGGCTCCACTCACAAGGCTTCCCCCCACCCCCACCCCCCAGCCACCACAGATGAGAATAAGTCTACCAATACATGATCTGCTTGGGGAGGAAAGGTGGCCCATCTCTTCAAAGGAGAAGGGCCAGGAACCTGTTCCTCAATGGGCTTTTATTGGGTTCAGTTTGCACAGGAATACAGGTAAAGCTCATCTGTCACTGTCAGGCAATAAGAATCAAACAATAGATAATATTCAAAGAACTATGAGGGCTTATTCTGAGTCAGGGTCAGTTAACTAAAGGGCAGTAAAACTTTGGGAAACAAACTCATTTCATGCTTCAACCCTTATCAGAAAATGGAAGGCACTCTGAGCAAAGCAGGTTTCACAGAATTTTATGCATTCTTTCTTAGGCCTGTTTGCCCCAGGGAACTGCTGTATCTGCCCAAGGCTGCACAGCTCTCTAGCATTGTTTCAGGCCTAAGTAAGGCAGCCAAGAGATTAGGAGACTTCTTATACACAGATTGAGGACTCAGGCAATGTCAAAGCCAAGGAGTGAGGGTCCATCATCCCCTCTTGCTATAGCCCCCCAAGTTCTTCCCTGAGGGCCCCTTCGCAACCATGCCTGTCTTAGATCATCCCTCCTTTGATGAATATTACCTGTCATTGGCTAACCAGTCATCTGCCCAGGGCCAAGCAGGGTGAAGTAAAAGGGGACAGAGCTGTTGTCCCCACCAGGGAGATAAGCTTTGTCTCTTCAGTGACTTATAGTCCCAAGGTCTCTTACTCAGCCTTAGCCATGGGGGGTTACAGCTTCTGAAACCAGGCAGGGCAGTTCCTGACATTAAATAAATTCTGTCTGCCTTGTTCTGACTATAAATTCCACACCAGCTCTGTAGCTTCCAGTGCCTCTGATACTTATGGAATGGCAAATTTGTTACATGAAAATGAAATCATTCTTGTTTGTGTTTCTCCAAGGTCAACAGACCCTGATTATGATGACAAAAGACTTTGAACCAATCATGGAACAGCAAATCCACCAGGGTGATTTTGGTGAAAGTGAGTGTAACTTTGAATCATTTTGTGACCTGAAGTTCCTCTCAGGTTTGATTGCTTTCTTACACTCTCACTCATGTCCTAAACCCAAGGAACTGTGGAGCTTGAACTCCCATTTATTAACTGTCTGATCGCCCACTTCCTTTAGCGCACCGCAGATCTTGAAAGGCATACCTCTGGCGCCTCTCAGGTCTGAGAGTTGGCTTTGTCAGTAACCTGGGGAACAGAAATCTGCGTAGGATCACCTAGGTAGTTGTTGCCCCAAACCTGGGAAAAGCATAGGCTGGAGGTTCGATGAAAGGGATTGTACACTAGCTAGAGTGAGGAGAAGCATTTCTGGGATAAACTTTGGGGAGAACACAAGAAAGGTCAGAGAGAAGGCTGATTTTTAACTTTTGCTGAGATCTAACTTCATGCTTCTTGTTCCACCAACTCTGAGAAGTCATTTGGGAAAACTGCTGCTCATTTATTCATTCAAAAGTAATGTATTCAGTAATAATTTTTGAGGAGGCGTGAACTCGGCGCTGTTTGGTGCTCTGGATAGTTTGGCTTTTCTCTTAAGGAGTCCCACCAGTTCAGTGCTTGATGTGCAGGCATTTGGGTGGCATAAGGGGAGGGAGTCACGGAGAGGAAAGTCTTCTCAGACAGGCAACCCGTGCGCAGTGGTAGCTGAACTGGTGTTGGGTGGAGGAGCACTGAGGGTAGGGGAGTGGTCCAGGCAAGCGAATGAAGCCATTCAAGGCAGGCTGTCTCACAGAAGCCTTGGCACAGCATGGCTTATCCACACAACTGTGAACACATACGCATCGATGGTGCACAGGACATGAGTGAGAAATGAGATAAAGAGAATGGGTTTTAATTGAGTTTGGTAGGGAATTTGGACATTGAGTTATAGATGATCAGCCTTTAAAGATTATGAGGATGCAGGACTGACGGAGTGATGGGTGCAGAGGGAAGAGACAGGGTGACCTGGTCCTAGGTTGCTGTAGGAATGCAGGTGAGAGATGAGGAAGGTGGGTGTGAGCCAAAAGAGAGAATACATTTAGGAAAGATTTGGTCCTCAGTAAGGATGGGAGTATATGTTTTGGAATTTACTGAGAAACTTTTTTAGAATATATGTGCATGGTTCCTCTCCTGCTGTAATTAATTTGAGAAATAATAGTTTAGAAAGTGAAATCAGTCAGCTTGGGTATGTCAGGTGAAGAAGAAAGTTTAATGGGGCTGCAGTCAGAAGCTCAGGAGGTGGGAGTAAAGATGCCGGGATGTGAGAGGGAAGGTGGAGGATTCTGTTTTGGGCTCCTTTCAGGGCCATGTGGGGTCACCACGCGAAGCAGGCAGGTGTCAGGGGCTGCGCCATTGGCATGCAGGAATCTTTACAATCTTGGGAGTAGGCGAACTTGCTCAGGGAGCCGCTGGTGCTGGAAGAGTGTAGACCCAGGGGGTACTCTGGGACATCCGGCTTTGAGGACAGTCACAGAGACAGCACACCTCTGCACAGGAAAGTGCCCTGGGCCCAGCTAATCCCACCGACATTTTTATAACATGCTTAGTAGAGTAAATCAAGGGAGCAAGGGAGTCTAGGTTAGGATCTTACATCTTAGTAATGTCTTTGTTGGTGCAAAACAATCACTCATGGAGTGGTGAGCAGATATTTTTCCTCTAACCAGAAAATAACTTGCTCAGAGATTGACAAACTTGCTCTGTTAAGGGTTTTGCAGGCCATATGGTCTCTGTTGCAACCACACAGCTCTGCTGTTTCAGTGTGAAAGCAGTTGCGGAAGACACACGAAGGAACAGACGAGGCTGTGTTTCAGTAACAGCTGATCTGTCAGAGCAGATGCAGGCCGTAGGTTGCTGATTCCGGTGGTAGCCCCATGGCTTATGGTCTCATCCCACTGGAAAAGTTCCCTTGCCTCACTCCTTGGTCCTTTACCTCGCTGTGGAAACTTTGAGGTAGAAGCCCAGGTGTGTGCACGGGATAGCGCTGCTCTTTGTACCCAGAAGCAAGGTAAGCTGTGAAGTACTACAGTACTTGGATGTGTCAATGCAGAGTAGATAGAAGTGGTCATGCTGACCCATAATTTATACAGATTATAAACAGCCCACTTCATCAGCATCGGAATCAATGGTGGGAGGGAAGTACTGGGCCCTGGGTCTGGCCAGTGCTTTGAGGGGCACCTCTGTAGTACTTGTTTGCAAGTGGGTGCCGGATCCTACCTCCAGGAACAGGGCGCTGCTTTGTTCCAGCAGCTCTGACGTCACGTTTTACGTAAGGGAAGCATTATGATTTAGGAAGAACCTCAGCCTGGAAGGCAGATGCCCTGTGTCCTAATTTTGGCCTCTGCCACTTGGGCATCTCAGTGTCTGTCTGTGTGAGGGGTTGCATTCCAACTTCTCCTGTCCCTTCCTGCACTAACTGGGAGGTTGGGAACATTCAGTGAATTGGATGCTTGTAATTATAATTTTACTCCCAACTCTTGTCTTGTTTTTTGTCTTGATATCAGTGGATATATTGTATAAATGCTCCATGTTTCATTCCTCTTACTTGTTAAGTGGGGTGGATTGCTGAATGTCATCAAGGGGATTAAGAATATGTGTGATGGTGGTAAAGCTCTGTCCAAAATTAGAGCACTTCAACGTCTTCAAAATACTGCGGCACGTAGTGTGGAACATAGGTTTTGTTGACTGCTAGTCCATTTATTGAGGGGTCCCAGGACCCAAGTAGTAACCAGTTCCTAACTTTTTGAAGACTGTAGCAGTGAAACCGCTTTTATTTCATTTCATTTAGCTTACTGGTTGTCTCGCTTGTTCTCAATCACTTGTTCTCTAGGCAAGTTTGTCACTGTTGGATGGGGCCAGAAGGAGACCCAGTTCCACGGATCAGAGGGCAGGCAAGCGGCCTTTCTGATGCAAATGGTAAAGTTGGTCTGCTGGACACAGAAACTTGATTGGAAGGAGTAAGATTTCTGCCATCCCCCAGGAGCCCAGGTGTCCTGTTAGAGGCTAATAATGAACAGATGTCTTGTGCTTTAGTGAAACTGAAAGCTGTTTAGAAAACCACAGGGAATGGGTCACCCTAGAAAGAGTTTTTCTTTTTTAATGCCAAGCTGTTTTGTCATTTTTTTCCAGTGTACAGAATAGGTATAAGCAATATTCCGTTTTTTAAAAAAGGAATCAGAAATAACACCCTCAGTGCATCCCTCCCTGGTACGCGTGTGGAGCTGCAGTCCTGCGTTCACTGTTGGTCAGCCGCATGCGTGTTTTGTGCTTTCCCTGCATATGTAGATGTCACGTATTTGTTTTTCCTCCTGGGTGAAACGTGTTGGTTTCCTTCTTTCTGGAGACATTTGGCAGGTAGAGTGACAGGATTTGTTGATAACAGATGAGGTGTGGGGTGTGAGAGAGTGGAATTGAGGATGATTTGGGGCCTGGGCAGAGGGAAGCATCGTGGGTGTTATCTGAAGAAATCTCCATGAGCTGCCTGCCCTTCTAGGGTAAGGGAGTCAGTAACACACTGTCCACCAGTTACGTTCTCCGTCCCTCATTGTTTCTAGCTGCGTTTCATGTGACTCGCGCTTCATCAGGCAGCTTGTGTTCCGTGCCACGGGGCAGTTCCCTCTTGAACAGACCTCGTTGGGCTGCCAGTGTGTTCCCGTGGCACGCACGCGGCCGGTGCTGTTCGGACTCGGCCTGTCCCTGGAGCGTGATGCTGGGTGCTCAGGTGGATTTGTCCCCAACCCCGCAGGGCTGGCTTCTGTCTTCAAGGCCTTCAGGACTGAGATGCAAGTGACACTGGGAGCCGGCCTTCCCCTTGGACTGTGAGCACAGAGCTCTCGCGTTTTTTCGTCATTGTGGCTCCCTGTAGGGCCTCCAGCTCAGCTCTGCTGTGTGCAGTTGTGCAGCTTACGTAACAGATAGAGCTCTGCTCTCTTAGGTTTAGACAAACAACATTTATGTCCTTGTGTTGGTTACCTGGTGGATTTCTCAGGTCACATTATTTTTTCATGGAAAATATTTTCCACTTATTTTCCTTTGTCTGTTTTTTTTTCCTGTTTGTCGAATTTATTGGGGTGACACTGGTTAACAAAACTATACAGGTTTCAGGTGTACAGTTCTATAATCATCTGTACACTGTGTTGTGTGTTCACCACCCCAAGTCAAGTCTCTGTCCCTCACCATTCATCCCCCCATACCCTCCTGCTCCTCCCTCCACCCATCTCCCTTGTTTCCACTATTTAGATCTGTAGCTCTTTTCTTCTATTGATTGGAGACTGCTTTTTATAATGCCCAAAAGGGGATTAAAAAAAGATTTTATTTATTTATTTTTAGAGAGAGGAAAGAGGAGGGAGAAAGAGAGGGAGAGAAATATCAGTGTGTGGTTGCTTCTTGCACGCGCCCTACTGGGGTCCTGACCCGCAACCCAGGCATGTGCCCTGCCTGGGAATTGAACCAGTGACCCTTTGGTTCGCAGGCCAATGCTCAAACCACTGAGCCACACCAGCCAGGGCAGTATTTTTTTTTAAGTTCTTTTTTCTTGTTGATGATTTATGGATGTAAGTGTCCTTTTATTCGAAGAACTCTTGAGGTTTCTATGAAGCTGGTGTTCTAGGTAGCTTAAACCTTGTGTACAAGATTTAATGGCTTGCATCTTGTTTGATTCTGGGCCATTTAAGCCCACCAGTGACATTTTGGCTTTCGTTATCTCTTTAGCTCGAGCCTGCTTTGCCCTGGGATGACCATAGACCACGAGTCACCTGGCGTGGTGATGGACAATTTTTTGCTGTGAGCGTTGTTTGTCCAGAGACAGGTATGGAAATAACTTGCAGTTAAGCAAAAAAATGTTTTATCTTACTAAGTTTGGGAAAGTTTTTTCTTTTTCATTGAGGATTTTTCTGCTGCTTTAGATGTTAACGAATTCAGAGCTAAGATTTCAAAGTGTTCTTTGAGGACATTTGGTCTAACTTCCTACCTACCTGTTAGATGCAAATATTTAACAAGATTAATCTAATTGGCTTTGTAAAACAGTTTTTATTAATAAGGGAGGTGTTTGAAAAGTTCTGATTGGCAGCATTTGTCATAATGCTTTAAGTTTGTTTTTTATCTTTTTTTTCCCCCTGCCTCTACTGCACAGGGTCTCGGAAGGTCCGAGTGTGGAACCGAGAGTTTGCTCTGCAGTCAACCAGTGAGCCCGTGGCGGGACTGGGCCCGGCTCTGGCTTGGAAGTGAGTGGGAGGAGAAATCTTAGAGCTCCTTCCTCGGAATTTCCTGGAACTGGGGTAGGGGTGGGGGTACCTATTGGATCTAGGTGTTGGTGTAACACAAAAAGATAATTGCTTTTTTTCATTTGGCTATAAGCCTGTATATGTTTTTCTTTTTTAGTTCCCTGAAACTTGACTTCAGTTTAAAGAGTAAATTATGGGCTTCTTCAGTTATCTTCATCATTCCAAGGCCCACACATTTTGCACATTGTAGGCAGGGTCTCCACGAAGCCATTGTGTGCAACAGAGAAAGATGCTTTGCAGGGAAGTCGCAGTCTGCACAGCTCTGTGGGCAGTGGAGCTGTGGAGGGGGCTAGGGAGAGAGAGGGCTTCCTTCCCCTGCGCAGACTCCCACACCGAGGGCATCTGCTTGCGGAGGAAGTTCAGGCTGGACTCAGGCCTGATCTCCCCTTGGCCCAGCCCCCTCGTGCCAGCCATGACCTGCCTGGGATGTACGGCTGCCCTGGGGAGAGGAAAGATAGGCAGAGGAAATCTCTCTGCCCTGTCTCAGCAGCACCCGTTCCCTGTGAAGCCACTAGGGCTCTAGGATTTAGACATCTTGTTTCCCACTGGTATTTGGCAGCTGGATGAGAGAGCACAGAGAAAAATGTATTTGTATTAAAACCTAGTGACAAATTTAAATGAGGTGATTGAGAAGTCTATAAAAATACCTACCTGAACGTGGAATATTGGCTGCAGTTACCTACTTGAAGGAAAAATAGGCTACGGTTTTATAAGACGTTACGATGGAGTGGTTTAAATAGTGTGTTGGTTTTTAAACACGTCACCCGGGTGCCACCTAAATCTGAGGCTTTGTGGGGAGGCGGAGGCTTTTGCAGGTCAGGCAAAGGGACTCTTTCCTCTGGGCGAGTCTAGTCCCATGCTAGGGTGCCGGCTCACTGGGAGACACATGGGATTTAAAGCTTCTTTGGGGTTTTTTTTCTTTTTTCTTTGTCTTTGGTGAGAAAACTGTTTCTCCTCATTGTACCTTGTTTTAAGCCAGCTGGACGCCCTTGGGGGCCTTCTAACACCGCAAGTTTGCTTTCAGGCCCTCGGGCAGTTTGATCGCATCCTCGCAGGACAAACCCAACCAGCAGGACATCGTGTTTTTTGAGAAAAACGGACTTCTCCATGGACAGTTCCCTCTTCCTTTCATCAAAGATGAGGTTAAGGTAGGTGTCTGAATTGTTTCGCCGTCAAATTCAGAGGTCTTCACACAGCTGTAGAGAAGGCGTGTATTTGATGTGGGTGTGTAAATAGAAGCTCCAGTGTAGATAATAATAAAAATAGTGGCTGCTTATAACTGAGTTTTTTCCCTTAAAAAAAAAAGCAATTTTTTCCTTAGAGATTGTTAAAGAACAAATGGCATTTCTTTCCCACCCTAAATAAAACATAGACAGGAAATAGAAATGTTAGTAATTATTGTTTGTTTTGACAAAAGTATAATTCCAGTAATAAATATGTTTCTCTTTCATAACACTTCAACCTTAAGCAGCTTTTGTACTATTAGGATCTTTGTTGGAGCAGATGCACATCAAACAGTAATCTTTATGCAAAAAGTTGACAGGGGAGGTTCACGAACTCCCTGGTACCTGTTATTTGTAAGATACCAACATTATGCAAAATTATTTTTATCCCTCCACCACTCTCTGGCCTACACACACAAACACACGTACACACATTTTTATTTTCTAGGTTTCTTTTAAATTCTAGAAAATGTATTTTTAACATGCATTTCAACAGTTAACATTTTTTTTAAAAGATTTTATTTGTTTATTTTCAGAGAGGGAAGGGAGGGAGAAAGAGAGAGAGAGAGAGAGAAACATCAATGTGCGGTTGCTGGGGGCCATGGTCTGCAACCCAGGCATGTGCCCTGACTAGGAATCGAACCTGCGATGCTTTGGTTCGCAGCCCAAACTCAATCCACTGAGCTACGCTAGCCAGGGCTAACAGTTAACATTTTTATTTAAATACTCACAATTACATTATTATCACATTTTGCAAAATTAGTAATCGTTCCTTAGTATTACCTAATACCCAGTCCATATTCAAATGTCCTTGATTGTCCAAAATGTCACCTTGCATTTGGTGGTTAAGTCTTTTTTAACCTTTAAGCATGTTGCATTTTTAAAGGCCTCTAAAATCACACATCACACAGACTTGTTTAAGGACTCTGTAGGTTAATAATTTACAGCTGGGGTCAGCTCCAGCTGTGGGATGGCTTGGTCGTGAGAACAGGGAATTCAGCTGACAGAAAGACTTCAGAGTAAACACGTAGGTAAAGGACAGTGACAGGTCTTTTTTCCTGTTAGGTAAACGACCTGCTCTGGAACGCAGATTCCACTGTGCTTGCCGTTTGGTTGGAAGACCTTCAGAGGGAAGAGAATTCCGCTCCAAAATCCTATGGTAAGATGATGCATCATCTCAGCCTTTTGTCCCATAAGATGCAGTTCAGAGTAGAAGATGTGGCATTGCCCTTACCCCTTGTACTCGGTCCTGTGGTGGAATCTGAGATGGGTGGTGCTTAGGTTTTGGCTATTGATGATTTCAGTCGTGTATCAGTCAGGGGTCTGTAGAGAGACAGAGTCAGGGCAGGCCTGAGCAGGCTGGAAATTCAGGTAGGAGTTGACGTTTCAGTCTTGCCTGAAATTTATAGGACAGGCCTGCGTCTGCAGACAGGCAGGGGTCTCCGTTCCACTTTGGTGTAGAATTCCTTTTCCTCCAGAAAGCCTTTGCTGTTAAGGCTTTTAACCCATTGGAGGAGACCCACCCACGTTATGGAGGATGGTCCGCTTTATTTAAAGTCAGCTGATTGTATATGTTAATCGCATCTACAGAAGACCTTCCCAGCCACATCTAGACTACTGTTCAACCAAACTACCTGGCACCGTAGCCTGGAAAATTGACCATTACAGGTCATCAGTACTTCTTAGGTGGTATTACTACAGAAAATCAGAACATTGGCCAAAAGAATACTACACTGTGGAAGTGAAAAATTGGATTAGATGTAAGAATCTTCTCTGTACCTTTTAAATTGTGTATATAGGTATTTTTTAGTGTATACTTAGTAGGTGAAACCATTAGAAAATAAAGATGAGAAGGAAAAAGTTAATCCATAATTCTGTCACTCTAATAATGACTATTAAAATTTTCTCGCCTTCGAGATTTTATATGTTTATCTAATCATAGCCACAATCTCATTTTTGTTAACATATGTAGGCATGATATGTGCAGTTTTGTAACTACATTTCCACTGTTACATACATATTTCCATTTCAGATATCCATCTGCATTATTTTAAGTTGCTGTGTGATATTCATTTGTGCCAGTTTCCTAAATCCCATTCCGTTAGACATTTTAAAGTTTTGTAATTTCTCATTATCAGCAATAATGTGCTGAACATTTTTATTCATAAATCTTTTCACTTGCTTGATTATTTCTAAGTGGCTTTCAAACTTTATCAGTAGAACTTTTTATTTGACTCAAATGTTACTTAGGAAGCTCATTCATTCATTCATTCATTCGACCCAGTGGTTTACAGCCCTGGCTACACCTTTAGGACAAAAAAGCAAAACCCTTTCCGGGCTCATCTCAGCGGATTCATGGTGTTGGAATGCAGAGTGTTCATCAGTATTTTTTTTTCTCTCTGAAAGGCTCCCAGATGATTTTTAACGTGCAGCCGGGGTTGAGAACCACAGGGCGTCAAGGGCAGGCACTGGGATATGCTCAGGACATGTGTTGCGTGAGCATGTAGTCTAAACTCACCAACTCACTGCCAGGGAGAAATACCGCGATAGGTGGGTGAGAGAACTGGGTTAGATTTGCTGTGATCAGTGAATTGAGAATTAGTGAGCAAGGAGATGTTTAAAGAAAATAAATTTCTTTTTTTTAATATTTCTTTTTTTTTAAAGATTTTACTTATTTATTTTTAGAAGAGGGAAGGGAAGGAGAAAGAGAGAGAGAAAAAAACATCAGTGTGCGGTTGCTGGGGGCATGGCCTGCAACCTAGGCATGTGCCCTGACTGGGAATCAAACCTGCAATGCTTTGGTTCGCAGCCTGCGAGCAATCCACTGACCTATGCCAGCCAGGGCTTGAAAATAAAATTCTTTTTTTTTTTTTTAAGATTTATTTATTTATTTATTTATTTTTTAGGGAGGGAAGGCGGTGGGGGGAGAGAGACAGAGAGAGAGAGAGAGAAACATCAATGTGCGGTTGCTGGGGGTTATGGCCTGCAACCCAGGAATGTACCCTGGCTGGGAATCGAACCTGGGATACTTTGGTTCCCAGCCTGTGCTCAATCCACTGAGCTACGCCAGCCAGGGCTGAAAATAAATTTCTTAATATCATCAAGATATTCATTTACGTGTTTCATCTGTTTAATAGAGGTTGGTTTTGATGTGATTAGGTCTTTTTTTCTTTTACTTTATTGAGATATAGTTAATACATAACATTGTGTAAGTTTAAGATGTACAGTGTACGATTCGATACATATATATATATATAGTGAAATGTTTACCACAATCAGGTTCTGTTCACATAATTATCATTTTTATTGTTGTTATGGCAAGAACATTTAAGATAACTCTCCTGAAAACTTCCAAGTGCCCAATGCTGTATTGTGAGCTGCAGGCACCAGGCTGTATATCAGATCCCTGACTCTTACTGTCTTACAACTGAAAGTTGATGCCCTTTGAGCAACACCTCCCTATGTCCCCTGCCCGTCAGGATTAGGTCTTATTTTTTTAATAAACATTGAGAAAGATCATTGCTTGCTAATGTCCTTGGACACCTCAATCCTAACTAATACCAGAGAACCTTGCACATAACTGCGTGCAAAGCACCTGGGAGAAAACAATAAACATCTTAGCTTAACTCAGCATAGCAGTGCTAGTCCAGAACTTTTGGATTGAGTGTTTTAATACTGTTAATCTGTCAGCTTTCTTTCTTTCTAAAACAACTCTGAAAAAAAAAACAAAAACAGCGCACTACAACACTGTCTTGGTTTTAGCAGCCTTCCACCCTCATTAGTGGAGAGGCTGAGCTGGAAGAGTCATTTGAAGAAGGAAAGGTTGTCCCAGTGCCCCTCCAGCGGGTGGGAGGGAGTCTGTCCCTGCGGCCTCTGAGGGCCTTCCTTTGGTTTTCCCTTGCAGTTCAGCTCTGGACGGTGGGGAACTACCACTGGTATCTCAAGCAGTGCCTGCCCTTCAGCGCCTGCGGGAAGAGCAAGATTGTGTCTCTGATGTGGGACCCGGTGACCCCGTACCGGCTGCACGTTCTCTGCCAGGGCTGGCACTACCTCTGCTATGACTGGCACTGGACAACTGACCGGAGCCTGGGAGATAGTTCCAGTGACATGGCAAACGTGGCTGTCATCGATGGACGTAAGCAGCTGGGGAGGGCGTCGATGGACCTGGAAGGGGTCCCTTTGCCTGGTGCCTGCTGACGTGGTGGTCTCACTAAAACAATGGGGACTGCTTAGTGGGCTGGTTGCTTTGGCTGTTTGGTTGATTTTTACTTACTTATTGTTTTATTTGGACGGGAGAGCCCATAGGTGGGACATGTGCCCACCTGGGGACCATGGTCCCTCCTCTGCACACTTGCCTGCCAACCCAGTTCCTTGTGGTGCTGCATCCACAGTCTTCACATATTTCCCGGTCCAGCCTTTGAAGACATTGAAAATTTTGACCCTGGGTAGGGGGGGACTCAGTCATGTTGTGGTTGTGGGTGTGTCAGCCTTGTCGTTTGCCCTGACTTAGGTTTGCACTGACCCTGACCCTTGCATCATCTCCCCACCCCCGCCCCATGTTGCTTTGTTTTCTGATAAAATACTTGTCGATAACATACCTCTCCAGTGTGTTCAGTTGGAGTCACAGACATCTGTCTGCCGTGAGGATTGGCTTAGAATGAGGTGGAGGGTGTTGTTGTTTTTGTTTTGGTGAGGGGGAGGAATTTGGGGAGAGCAGTAGCCTCCTGAACAGGCAGTTTTCGTTTTGCTGATAACAAAAGGAAAAACTTGCTTCTAAGATTGTAATGTGAGTTGGTGTACTAATTCATGTTCTGTGTGTTCATAATACTGATTTAATATTAATGCATTCTGTGTAGAGGACTTAATCATGTATGCCCTATTTCCAAATCCATGCAGAGGGCAGTGCTTTAAGGAATGGAAACGTAGTGATCCCTTGCTTTAGTCTGGCTGGGTGGCAGGCCGAAGCTAGAGGAACTCTGACTTCGTCCTAGCCCCTGGCTCCTGAAACCTCCAAGACCAGAGATGGACTTCCAGGCCTGGAGGTGGCAGTAGCCAATGCAGACAGAGTCTGTGATACCTCCTTTTCCCTCTTATATGATATGTAAGCTTATTCATGATAAAAAACACCAAAAATTATTGAAAGAATTGCTGTTTATGTCCTACCACCATTAGCTGGTGGTACTGCGCTGTTCTGATGCCTCGTTTTACAAATTGAACATCCGTGGGTGTTAACCCTCCTTCTGTCCCTCTCTCACCTGCAGACAGGGTATTGGTGACCGTCTTCCGGAAGAGTGTAGTTCCGCCTCCCATGTACACCTACCGCCTGCTGCTCCCACAGCCTGTGAATCAGGTCACGTTCTCTGCACACCCTCAGAAGAGTAACAACCTCGCTGTCCTCGATGCCAGCAACCAGATTTCCGTTTATAAGTGTGGTATGTTCACAGCTGTTCTCAAGATGCTCTGCATCTGGCTCCTCCTCTAAAGAGCAAGTTATAGTTTGGTGTTGCCCTCGCTCTGGTATTTCTAAAAATTTTGAAGTTATAATTAATATTTATATCATCTGACGTTTATTGGGTTGGCCAAAAAGTCCATTATGTTTTTTCCAAATGATGGTCCTAGTAGTGCTTAGTTGTTTTTAACTTCATTTGAGATCATTTTGGTAGATTGTATTGTGACAGCTTTCATATCAGCATGCATTTAAAAAAATCAGAATTGGTGAATTTTTGTGCAGCCATTTTAATATTGAAGATGGAAGAAAATATGCAACATTTTGGGCGTATTATGCTTTATTATTTTAAGAAAGGTAAAAATGCAACTGAAATGTGAAAAACAATGTGTGCAGTGTATGGAGAAGGTGCTGTAACTGATGGAACGTGTCAGAAGGTTTGCAAAGTTTCTTGGTACTATTAACATTTGGGCAAATAATGCTCTGCTGTGGGGCTGTCCTATGCATGGGAAGATGGTTAACAGCACCCCTGGCCTCTACCCACTGGAAGCCAATAGTGGGAGATAGCCGACATACTCAAAACATCCAAATCAATGAAGTTATGGGTGAAAATGAAAAATGTGTCTTGCTTTACAGAAAAAATACAATGGGCTTTTTGGCTACTACAATAAATAGGCATGTGGGATTTTTTTCAATGGGGTTTTAGTTTCCCTCTGGATTATAAAAAGTATTCCTTTTGCTTTGTTGAACTTGAAGACTCAGTTATTAAAAGAATAATGTTCAACCCTGGAAATAAGACAGCATCTTACTACATCTTGAACACATCTTACAGCTTCGATTGCCTTTGCCTGTGTTTTCAGTCGATCTCACAGCCCCCCTGGGAGCTGGGTCACAGGTGGAGTTCTTTGTCAGAGACGCACGGCGGGCAGGCTTGCAGCTGCTGGAGCAAGAGCGGGCAGGGATTCCAGCTCAGGGTTCCAGCTTCTCGTTCCCTTGCCTCCCGCAGCCCCACTCTCGGTGTCTAGTTGCTCTTCTGATGGACTGGGAGGCCTGACACCCGTGTTTAGTTGTGAGTTCTGTGGTCACGGCACGAATCATGCTGGCCAGTGGCACTGGTGTCCTTGTTTTCAAGTAACTGCTGAATTCTCAGAAATAAACTTGGTAGCTGCTGGGTGAGAATAGTCAAGACTAACTGTTTATATCGGAATTTCCTGTTTGCTTATCAGCTTTTCTGTTAATCAATAGCCTACTGTTTATACTAGTACAACAGTGGGTCCTCGTTTCAGTCAGAGTCATGTTGTTACAATGTTGATGAGATGCCGTAGGGACTTAACCCTTCTTTATGTCACTTAGGCTCGGATGAAATGGACTTTGTTGTGTGTAGTTACACTTAAAGTCACAGAATGTGTTGATGGCATTTAGTGAGGACTGATGTACTTGGATATGACTCCAGCTTCTCTGGTTTTAGTTTCACTCTATAAAATACTATAAAAATCCTCCTTAAACTTTTTATTATTTAATATCTTTAAGAAATAATAGTAACGTGTTCACTGTTAAGACAAATCAGAAAAAGCAAAAATTAACTGCTTTTCAAAGTGGATTTTCTATCATCCAGTAATATCAAAAGGAAGTGTGGTTTTCTTTGTACTTGACTACTGTTGGGTATCTGGTTGCTGGTTTTATGAGATTAAACAGAGTCAGATGTAGAGGAGCTTTTGTGGTGCCTACTATGTGATACCAACTTGAGTTTGCATATTGTTTTACAACGTACAGAGTGTTTTGTCTTACATTCACTTAAAAAATAACTTTATTCATACCGCTCACCCATTTAAGGTGTACAATTCTATGGGTTTTAGTATGTTTACAGAGTTTTGCAGCCATCCCCACAGTCCATCTGGGACATCTTTATTTCTGCAGAACGAAACCCCGTGGCACCCTGCGTTTGCTGTGCTGACACTCACACCCCCGGGACCAGTGGGGCGGCGGGGTGAGAGCTCTGCCTTTGGGAGGTTTGTCAGGTGTTGGGACGTGAGTAGGCCAGGGGTGTGGGCACCTCGAGGCAGGTAGCAGAGCGTCCAGGCAGGAGAGGGTGAGAGCTTGAGCCAGGGGAGCGTCTGCAGAAATGCGAAGAAGAGAAAGATCCTACGAATCCAGGAGCTGAAAGCCTCTGAGAAGTTAAGGAGCACGTTGTCGAGTGTTGGCGTGTACAGGAGTCTGGAAAAAGGCCGCAGGAGTTTTCATCTGAGTGTAGGACTTAGAGATTAGTCTTCAAACATGGAGCTGTTTCCGATGAGGGTGCTGGTGTGGATGGCTGATGTGGAGCTGGAGTTGTTGAATGCCAGCGTTGGGTACTGCTCAGTGAGCAGGATGTCGGGAGAGCATGAGGATCAGGGCTGGCAAGGGAAGGTGGCTTTTGCATCTGGTGTGACCAGGAAGCCTCCGTGAGGGTGACATGTAAGCAGAGACCTGGCGGAATCGGAGAGGGAGCCATGCCAACACCCAGGGTGAGAATGTGCGGGCAGAGGACAGAGCAACCGCTGAGGCGCTGGTCATCTGTAGGACAGAGCCAGGAGTTCAGGGTGGCAGCAGCAGAGCAGGTGAGGGGAGAGTGGTGGGTGGGGTCACAGAGGGGACAGGAAACAGCTCTTGTCACCCTTGATGGATCTGGGAAGATGTTAGTGTTCATTCTGGTGAGACAGGGAGCCGCCGGAGGGAGCAGGAGAGTGTGGTGTTCTGACTCAGTTTTTAAAGGATTGTATTGGCTGCTGTGCAGTGAATAGCCTCCATCAGGAATGGAAGGAGAGTGGCTTTTTTTTTTTTTTAATATTTAATTTATTTATTTTTAGGGAGGGAAGGGAGAGAGAAAGAGAGAGAGAGAGATCAATGTGCGGTTGCTGGGGGTTATGGCCTGCAACCCAGGAATGTACCCTGGCTGGGAATCGAACCTGGGACACTGAGAATGGCTTTTGATCAAGGGTGTGAGGTTGCAGAGAGGCAGTGGTGGGACAGTGGGAGGAAACAGCACCGGGCTGAGAGGGCAGCCCCACCCCCGGTATTGCTGGGGCAGGTGAGGAGGATGTGGTATGAACAGAAAAGCAGATTTTGGTTCTTCTTCTGCCTGAAAGGCAGGCAGAGATTTTAAAAAGAGAGTGAGATGTGATTATTTTCTAGATTGTTTTTTTGGTAAAGTAGTTTGACACCTAGAACCCCGTGGCCTTAGTATCAAGAGAAACAGTTATAGTTTACCATGATCGTATTTGCAATTTTGTTTTCTAGGTGATAGTCCGAGTGCGGATCCCACGGTGAAACTGGGAGCTGTGGGTGAAAGTGGATTTACGGTTTCCCTTGGGACACCTCACCTGGAAAAGAGATACGAGTAGGTGGTTCTTAACTAGAGCTACAGGTGGTTGGTTCTTAGGAGTAAATTTACCCTCTGTTACCCTGCACTGTAGCAAGTAGATACAACACCGTGTGCTGGTTTTTCAGCCTCGTGGGGGAAGCCACTCACTTGTATTCCGAATGTCACATATGCTGATGGGTGGCAGGAGAGTGCACGTAATAAACCAGCCTAAAACCCACTCCTCTCAGCAGCCCTTGGTTCTCCAGGGAGCGATGGAGACGGAGATGACAGGGCAGAGCTGCATTCGCGCTCCTCGGCGAGGAGTCCGGGTTGCTGACGTGCGGCCGGCCCCACGCAGCCTGTGCCTTGGCCTCATCCCACGCTCCGCCGAGGTTGCAAATCAGAACACATTTCCCTCTGGAAGTAATGTTGTAAATGGATATAAGCAAATACCTCAGGAACACTATAGGCATTGTAAAATGACCCAGAAGCCAAATTATTAATTATAATGCCATGTCTGTAAAAATCCAGGATTTCAGTGTATTTTATTTGATGAGCCCATGTTCTTAATAACCTCACTATTCTGTGTCCTGGGAGCTTTTATTCCTAAGCTAATAGGAATAATAAATTGGCTAGCACAAACAACTGATTGTTTCTTAAATACATGCAGTATATTTAATAAATGTACAACCTGTATGTATCTTACCTGTGTTTGATTTGGAGTCTGCCTATATAATGCTTAATAGTTTTCAAAGAACATTGCCATGGATGATTTTATTCCACAGACTTGAAACCATGAGAGGACAGAAAGTGTGAGGCAATTTAGAATATAGGGTCATGTTTTAGAAATCGAGAGGAGAGCTTCCAGTCATTCAGAGACAGTTCCATGAAGGACGCGAAGACTTCTCGTAACCCTAGAGGAAGGGCTGGGTGAGCGCTGGCAGAGGAGGACTGGGAACATGGGGTGTGGCAGGCAGCAGAACGCTGGTGAGAACCAGGTGGGGGTGCCCCTGCGTGGGGCCGAACGCAGCGCAGAGCCTGAGTCCTGGAGAGCTGGGTGAGCAGCTCCTTGGGTGTGCGCTGCGGGCCTGCTGCTCCAGCTCAAAGGCAGGAAGTGGCCGTTAGGAGTTCCTGCCTGGGGTGGCAGTACGTACTGTCCTCTGGTGTATGAATGCTGTCGAAGGGAGAGGTTAGAGACAGGGAAACTCGCTCGCAAGCTAATGTGAGAAGCTTAGGAAAGGACCAGTTCTATTGAGACCCAAGGATCGGCTGCAGTTTGGTTTGTGGGGACAGTGGGAAACCTCTGGGGTTTATTAGCGCAGAGTCGACCTGGGGTAGGGGACTTTCTTGTGTGGTCAGTCTCCTGCAGTGTTCTCTCCAAATCTGTGAAGATCTCGCAATATAAGAGACAAGAGTAAATGAATAGAAAACATATCTTAGAGCCAGGCAAATGTTATCTGTGGATATTTTAGTATTCGAAATCACTTCAGGTCTTGTCCCTCCAAATAATTAGGTGTTGACTGTATACGGGGTGGTTTATTCTTCCTTCATTCAGGAAATTCTCGGGGGTATTAAAAGCTGTATTAACATTTTGCATATTCTCAATATTTAAAACAGAATTCAGTTTGAGAATAGTGAAGATCAAGAAGAAGTAAATCCACTGAAGCTCAGCTTTCTCACTTGGATCCAGGAAGACATCTTCCTGGCCGTGAGCCACAGCCAGGCCAGCCCGCGGTCTGTCATTCACCACCTGACCGCGGCCTCTCCCGAGACGGACGGCGAGCTCGGGCAGCTCACTGTCAGGTACCACAGCGCTCTCCTGGATTTCGTGTCTCGCTGGCTGGGGTTAGGCTTTGTCCGTGTGTGCATAGGGCTTCTTTTGGTTTCAGTGAGCCAAGTTGAGGGGCAGTAGCTTCCTTGTTAGACACAATTAGCACGTGGTTAAGGCTGGTTTTGAGTCATGTGCAAATATAGGCTAAAAATGTATCGAGTGGTGAAAAATAGGACAAATACCAATAGATGAGACAACAAAACATTTTAAGATATGTTAAAATAATTTTTTAAAAGATTTTATTGATTTATTTGTAGAGAGAGGGGAAGGGAGGGGCAGAGAGAGAGAGGGAGACTGATGTGAGAGAGAAACCTCAACTGGGTGCCTCTCGGTGCCCTGCGGGAATCAAACCGGTGGCGACCTTTCACTTGGCAGGACAGAGCCAGCCAGCTGAGCCACACTGGTCAGGGCAAGATGTGTTAAAAGTTTTAATTGAACATATACTTACATCCCAGCCGGGTGATTGCTAGCCCATGGGAATCAGCCGCTGATCACCCTTGGAAGTTATGAAAATCAGTTGTAGATCTGTTTCTGTGTGCTGTATTTTGATGTCTGGCCTCCTCCTCTTTACATGCTGTTTGGCGCTTGGGTCCACTTACTGCTGGGAAGTGTCCTCAGTTTTCTTTGCTAAAATTTCACTGCTGCCTCACCCCGAGTTTCATTTCGATTCCTGACTGCACCTTTGTCCCAGGTTTTAGTTAGTGAGAGCTGCTGTCCGCAGTGCAAGGCCCCGTTGTGCAGTAGAGCGTGTCCACACAACCCTGGGAAATCCTCAGGTTTCCGGCGTCACAACTTGGCACGTTGGGCATGCACTGATGTGAATCTCCAGCTTCATTTGTTATTAAAGATCTGGTTCGATGTAACCTCTGAAAAGCTTGTTGAAAAATTAGGACCGTTTCCTTATTGTATACATAAAACATATCCTGATGAGGTCATTAACTCTGAATCTTTGACTCATAATGCTTTATATTTTTAAAAAGCTTTTTGTGACTGTCTGGATGCAGGAAATGATGTAGCTGCATGTAGCACTTAAAGGTAACCAGGGATTTACTTTTGGAAAGCAGAACATTTTCCATTAGAAATGTGTAAATTATGCCAGTTTCTACTTTTCAAAATTTAAAATTCTTTGTAGAAGAAAGAGCTAGATGCAGTCATCTCATTTACTGTAAAAAGGGAATGTGAAGCCTCTTAAAATGTGTTTCTGTTGCTTTGATTTTTGTTTCTCAAAAAAGACTTTTGTTCATGTAAAGGATCAATATCTTTGAGGACTATAGTCTCACAATTAGCTCTTAGGTCTTAATGGCTTACATTTACTACAGCGTGTGTTTTGTGAAAGGTGCTCTTCTTAGTGCTCTACCTAGATTAACTCACTTCTCTCTCACAATACCTCTTCGGAGTCTGTGCTGTTAGCGTTTACAGCTGAGGCAGCCAAGGCACAGAGCACACAAGTAAGTTGCCTGAGGTCACAGGTGAAGGCGGGATCCATTCCCAGCAAGTCTAGTTCCAGAGTCTGTTCTCTTAACTTACAGATAATTTACCCTCACAAAATCTGGGACTTTTGGGGTATTTTATAGATTGGTTAAACACTCTGAATAAATGTTAGCATTGGCACCATTTGTTTTTATCACCACCTCTTCCACCGCCTTTAAAACATGACTGCTGGCTTTTCACTGACTCAGGTAGAAGCACAGCGGCAGTAGCACATTGCTCTCTTCCCATGAACGCAGACGTACAGACTTCCCTGAGTGCATGCGGTAGCGATAGAGAGTGCTCTGCTTTCCTACAGACCGCTTTTTTCATGCAGTTTATGTTTTAAGAAGACAAGTACTATTGGTACCAGGCATATCTAATGAAGGTGATGAATTATAAGTTGCAGTAAGTTAGAACAACTTGCTGCCAGAATAGGAGGGACGTCTTCACAGTGAGACGCCTGGCTTATTTGTAGTGTGGAAGATAGTGTGATATGGCAGTAGTTGCTTTACCTGGGCTTGCGATTGCAGCGGTTTATCATTGCGCGTGTGTGCACAGTGTTGTGGGTGTGTATATGCATTATGTGTATATTGTATTGAAATAAGCAGAGCAGCACCGAAAGGAAAGTGCTCATTTCTTTTCCTGATTTGCAAAATGTGAAGTGTTTAGTGAAATGTCACTACTTTTGAGAAAGATGGTCTGTCCACATCCTCTTCCTCCTTTTTTTTTACTTTGCCAGTTCGTCTGTGACAGTGGATGGGGTGATAATCAGCCTGTGTTGCAATTACAAGACCAAGTCAGTGGCGTTACAGCTGGCTGGTGGCCAGATACTTAAGTACCTCTGGGGTGAGTATCAACGTTAGGAAAACACGTTCATGATTTATATGCCTGTTTAATTCTTGAAAATGTGACATGTATCGTTTCTGTGCCACACTGATTGTTAGAGCTTTTAACTGCTCTGGAAAACCCTGAGCTGTAGCTCGGAATTGGCATGTGTTTTCCACCTCTCCTTTCTCTTGTAATGAACTGCAATACCCTAGTGAGTTTCCAGGATATATTTGGAAAGTGATCCAAACTGCATGTTAAGTGTTTTAGCAAGTTGAACGTGACACTTTTTGACAAACCTCATCTGCCAATCCTGCAGAGTCCCCCTCTGTGGCTGTTGAACCCTGGAAGAACCCAGGTGGCGTTCCTGTTCGCTTTCCTTATCCGTGCACGCAGACTGAATTGGCCGTGGTTGGAGGGGAGGTAAGTGAACTCAGGGCAGACAAACTTAGCAGCTAAGACGGTGACCCAGGATCTGATTGCATTAGGTGAGAAGAGTCTGGGCTTTGGAGGTGCACCTGGGTCTTGCTAAATCTTAAGGTAACAATGAGAAGTTACCCATCTTCCTGAGCTTCAGCTTCTTCATCTGTGAAATGGGATTAAGAGATGGACTGGCATGCAGTTGTTAGTTGATTCCTAGTTAGTGATTCCTTTCCTTGGAGGTATAAATTTACAAATTGAAGAATGCGGTAATGTTCTTAACAGCATCCCAGGTGGGTCTAATGTGTAGCCACAGTAGAGAACTACTGAATTTTGTCAGACCTTTTATTCAGAAATGACTTGTGGACTTTTGGTCAAGATGGCGGCATAAGTAAACATCTCACCTCCTTGCACAACCACATCAAAGTTACAACTAAAATATACAACAACCATCCCTCAGAACCATCAGAAATCGAGTTGACTGGAAGTCTGACAACTACAAAATTAAAGAAACCACAGCCACCCAGACTGGTGGGAGGGGCAGAGACACAGAAGACACCACATGTGGGTGCTGGTCCCGTACCCACATGTGGTGGATAAAAATTTGGGAGCATAGCTTGAGAGTGAGGAGTCCCAGCCCCACAGCAGGCCCCTCAGCCCGGGGTTCCAGTGCCAGGGACATAAGTCCCCATAACTACTGGCTGCAAAAACCAGTGGGGATTGAATTGGTGGAAGAAACCTCTAGAGTCCCAAGCAGTTCCTCTTAAAGAACCCACACACAGACTTACTCCGTCTGAGCTGCAGCACCAGGGTACCAGATTGGAAGGCACCAGTGGTGTTCAGGGAGGATTTGAAGTGTCTGGTGTCAAGACGAGAATTGGGGGACAACTTTCTCCCAAACAGAAAAGTGGGCAGAGGCCAATGTCTCTTTTCTCACCCCTCACACCACAGAGCCGGCAGGCTGGTGCCATATCTGAGACTCTGTCAACCTGGCTAACACTGTTTGCCCCACTTTGGAGATCCCCAGAGACTCCGTCTCATCCAACTTATGGGCCCAGCCAAGCTGCTTTTCCATATGAATGGCTGGTCTTGGGTTCACAACTCCTAAATCCTCTCGAACAAGCAACAGCCAGCCTTAGTGAGCCCCCAACCCCTGTACCTCTTACTCAGTGGCCCCAGGCCAGGCACTAGCACCAGCCAGCCAAGACTTACAGCTTGGCTTCACCAGGGAATCTCCACGCCCAGCACAAGTAGCAGCCATCTCAGATTGTTCTGTAGCTTAGGCAGGGTGGCCACAGGCAAAACAGGTGGAGGCTGACATTGGCCTGTACCACCCAGGAAACCCCAGGGCCTCCATACCCAGTGGACAGCCACAGACCATATCAGAGCACCACCACCCTGCTGCCACATAGCTGATCCCCCATGGAGGGTGGAGATTGGTGGACAGGTGGTTACAGCCAGTCCTTGTAGCTGACTGGCCTGGGCTGCCTTATTTGCCTTTGAGAAAAATGTTTAGGAAGGATTGACGTGAGAATTATGGTTAACCTTTTATGCATTCACTGTTTAGTGAGCACCTACTCTGTGTCTGTCCCCATGATAGCCATGTTCAGAACAAGGAAAGCAATGGATCTGCTGTGTTCTATGCAGATCAGACCACTGAGGAACAGTGGATTCCACTGGGGGTAGAGGGTCACATCATTGACAAACTCAAACATATCCAGGGAGAACCCAGGATGGTAAATGTCTGGGCCACACCCTTATCTCACATTTTTCAAAACTTAAGGCCTAAAGGTAAGGCCTTCAGGGTGTGGGAGGTGTCTTGTTTTGATCTAACTAGAATCCTTTGCCTCCTTATTCTGGTAACCAGTTACCCTGCTTTGTAGAGAAGCTACTCCTTCCCCATTCCTTGTGATTCTGGAGGGGCTCTCAGTTGTGGAACTGTGACCACCAGCCACAGGGACAGACTGTGACCTACAGTAGCAGACCAATCAAAGCCCTTCCCTGGGGCTTTTGTCTTTTTCCCTTTGGCTCATGAGTTAAAGGATGTGTTTGCAGAGATGGTGGCACTCATATCCCCAGCCATTTGGAAGAACTTGAAATAATTAGCCAAACACACAAATAGAAGACAAGCTGAGAAGGGCCGAGATGGAGTGTAACTGGAGCAGAGACAGTCACGCATCACTAAACGACAGGGACACATCCTGAGAATGTCATCGTTGGGCAGTTTCATTGTGCAAACACCACAGAGTGCACTTGCACTTAGGTCAAGCATGAGAGAAAACGAGGCGATCCAGAGACAAGGCAAACACATATGAGGCTGCTGCTGGCACCACACGGCACACTGATTTACAGCAAACTTTTATAAGTAGCAAGAGTACACTCTAAAATAGCAATAAAAAGTATAGTAAATATATAAACCAGTAACTGAGCCGTTTATTACCATTATCAACTACTGTGTGCTTTACATAATTATATGTGCTGTATTTTTATACCACTGGTGGGGCGGTTGGTTTATCAATGTCAGCATCACCACGGAACCCATAATGTGTTGTACTATGATGCTAAGAGAGCTACGGTGTTAGTAGCAATAGAAAATTTCAGTCCTGGTGGTCAGTGGTCACAGCCAAACCTTGCAGCTGACTGGCCTGGATAAAATCTGCCAACAGCAACCAAGAGGAGGGTGTACTGAACCCACACGAAGGGCACATCTTGAGTACCCAGCTTGGGTGATGGGGGAGGCTGTGCCACTGGACCCTACAGGACACCTACTACATTAGGCCACACTACCAATACATGGCGTCAAAGCAGCTCTACCTAATACATAGAAACAAACACAGGGAGGCTGCCAAAAGGAGGAGACAAAGAAACATGGCCCAAATGAAAGAACAGATCAAAACTCCAAAAAAAGTACTAAACAAAATGGAGATAAGCAATCTATCAGATGCAGAGTTCGAAATACTGATAAAGATGGTCAGGGAATTTAGTAAGGACCTCAACAGTATAAAAAAGATCCAGTCAGAAATGAAGGATTCACTGATTGGAATAAAAAACAGTGTACAGGGAAACAGCAGTAGAGTGGATGAAGCCAAGAATCAAATCAGTGTTTTGGAACATAAGCAAAAAACATCCAGTTAGAACAAGAAGTAAAAAGAATCCAAAAACTGAGGATGGTATAAGCAGCCTCTGGGACAACTTCAGGAGGTCCAACATTCGCATCATAGAAAAGAAGTTAGTTACCTGCAGGGGAGTTTCCATAAGACTGTCAGCTGATTTCTCAAAATGAACCTTGCAGGCTAGAAGGGATTGGCAAGAAATAATCATGAAAAGCAGGGACCTACAGCCAAGATTGCACTACCCAGCAAAGCTATCATTTAGAATTGAATGGCAGGTAAATAGCTTCCCAGACAAGAAAAAAGTAAAGGAGTTTATCATCACCAAACCATTAATATATGAAATATTAAAGGGACTTGTTTAAGACAAAGAAGATCAAAACTATGAATAATAAAATGGCAAAAAATACATACCAACAATCGAATCTAAAAAACAAACTAGACAAGAAGAGACAGAAGCATGGATGTGGAGTGTTTTGATGGTTGTCAGATGGGACAGGGGTGTGGAGGAATGGATGAGAAGTAAGGGGACTAAGAAGTACAAATAGGGAGTTACAGAATAGCCATGGGGATGTACAGTATGGGAAATGGAGTAGCCGAAGAACTTACATGTATGACCCTTGGACTTGAACAGTGGTGAGGGGATTACCTGTGGGAGTGGGGTGTGCTAGGTGGAGAGGGGCAAAGGGAGAAAAATCAGGTCAACTATAAGAGCATAATCAATAAAATATAATTAAAACACAAATAAAAAATGACAGGACTTGCTGCCAAATTGTATGGCATCATACTCCATTCAGAACGGGACCAACCACATCTTTTGTATCTATATTCTTTCTTGAATACAGAGACTTAGCTTTGAAGTCACAGGTCAGTAGGAGTGTGTAATAGAAAAGTTAGGTTTAACTAGCTTGGTTTGAATTGTTCGTAATTTCAGCTTTATTTCTTTGCAGGAATGTGTCCTTGGTCTGACTGACAGGTGTCGCTTTTTCATCAATGACAATGAGGTATAAAGGCTTGGTTTGGTCCCCGGTCCTTTTCCGTTTGCTCCAAGTAATAACGCCCAGCTTCCCCTTGCTTCCCTTGCTTTGTTGTAGGTTGCTTCGAATATCACGTCGTTTGCAGTATATGATGAGTTTTTATTGTTGACAACTCATTCTCATACCTGCCAGTGTTTTTGTCTGAGAGATGCCTCATTTAAAAGTAAGTTTTCAGTGTATAAAATAGAATACAGTCCCTCTTCTTGTATCTTTTTTCTCCGGAGTCTTGATGACTTTCAAGTCCTTCACCTCCTCGGGCTTTGGATCCCCGTGACCTCGACTGGGGAAGCCGGTGGAGTGCAGTTCCCTTGTCTTTAATCTCAACATGGCACCTCAAGTCGAATCATTCCGCGCCAGTTAGCAAGACTTCCAGATCAGGCAGTCCTTCCTTTAGCAGGATATTCTAAAGTTAAACCAGAAGTTTTCAGGAGATTTTACTGTATAACTAATATAATACTTTACTTTGAATTACCAGTAAATACCAAACTGACAGTGTGCCCTAACTTCTTTATGATCTTCCTTGGTAACCTCACTGTGGCCACCCTCCAATGTACCATCTGAAGGGCGCCCTCTGGTGGTTTGCAGGAAATAGGCTCCATTTTTTTTCCCTTTCATTCCATGCTGACACCGTGTGTGTGTGTGTGTGTGTGTGTGTGTGTGTGTGTGTGTGTGTGTGTGTGTGTGTGTGTGTGTGTGTGTGTGTGTGTCTAACTTGGAAATGGAGTGTGTGTGTGTGTGTGTGTCTGTCTGTCTGTCTAACTTGGAAATGGAATCACTCACTGGTATAATTACAGTGCTGAGAAACAGGGAAGCTACCCAACCTCCCCTGTGTTTTCCAGACCAGTCGATAAGTTGTGGATGTGAATATGCATGAAGGCTCTGTGAGGGGGGGCACGTTCAAGGGGTGAGGCTGTTTATCAGGAAGGCGAATGGTCTTGCAGTTAAGTGGGGGAGAGCCAAGGAGCCTGATTGTTAGCCGCTCTCTTCCATTTCGGATAACGTGCAGTTTCACCTGCAGTTAGTGAGGGGTGGCTTGTCGTGACAGTGATTCTGAAGGCTTAGCCAACGGTGTCTTCAGCATTACAGGCAAGTCTGAGCAGCAGTGACGTGCCCAACGGGGAGAATCTGCGGAAGGTGGAGAGGGGCTCGCGCATTGTCACTGTCGTGCCCCAGGACACGAAGCTGGTGTTGCAGGTAAGTGGGTTTTTTAGGCTGTGTTTCTGATCATCATTCAGTCAGTGCCAGACAGTTCCTGCAGGTTGTATTGTAGGCTCTCTTATCACTTGCAGTAATGTATTCTAAGCCTTTCCTTGCTGGGTTCTCTGTCAGCTTTATGCAGAGGGGTGTTCACACAGGCTCTGCCTAGTCAGGCTGATAGGGAGGCTTTTCTAGAAAGGGAGCCAAATACTGAGCACAAGTGGACTCTGCTGAAAGTGTGAAGTACGGCATTGTGGTGGTTCACTGTGGAGTTGGGTAAAGTTGTGTACCCTGGGTGGTTAAGTGTTTCTGTTTCATTAAGAAATCGTTACTTTGATGTATTTATTTTAAGATGCCAAGGGGAAACTTGGAAGTTGTTCATCACCAAGCCCTGGTTTTAGCTCAGATTCGGAAGTGGTTGGACAAGTAAGTACCATGTATATGACTAGTTAGCTTATTCTGACTTAGTGTATATGAGGACGAACAGTATTCTTTTAAAGTGTTTAAAACGTAAAAGTCTGAAAAGCATTCATTACAGATGTCGACCAGGGTATCAGAACACTTTTTATTCACACTTCCATGTTAATTCCATGTGGTGTGGTAGAGATTTCTAGTGGAAAGAATTGCGAAGCCCTGACTGACATTAGTCAGGGCTTCTTAGCCTCAGGGGTCCAGGCGGGCTTTACGTGGCCTGTGAGCCCAGGGAAGTGGGGCATCAGTCCATGTCTGTGTGTTTATCTAGGCAGAAGGCCCACGGCTTCCAGAGTTACCGGGGACCAGTGACCCCCAGGTGCCTGGGCCACTGTTAGGAAAGCAGCCTTCCCTTGCCTGAATCTGTATGGGGGAAGCTGGATTGTTTTGTTAAAAAAGGAAGTGGCCCTAAGTTTCATGATGGTTTTTCTTTCGTGTGTATGTGGAGATGTTGTCCTCAGCCTGCCATCGTACCTTTTAGGAGGGCAAATGAACTTGGTACCCTATTTTATTCCGCCGTTTCAGAGCGGAAATCCATTAGCAGTTGTTGGGCACTTGGGCTATGATCTAATTAGAACTCGCTTATCACAATGACGATGTGCTGGGTCCAGGGAGCTTAGCTTTTATGAAATGCCTTTTCTGTTGGTTCTCTTCACAGGCTGATGTTTAAAGAAGCATTTGAATGCATGAGAAAACTGAGAATCAATCTCAATCTGATTCATGATCACAACCCGAAGGTAATTTGCTGTATCTGACTTTGGCCTTAGCTTACTTTGCACTTGAACTGATGCTATCTGAACTAAAATGTTTTGTCCTTTTTTTTTTGGTTAGGTGTTTCTTGAAAATGTGGAGGACTTCATAAAACAGATAGATTCTGTAAATCATATTAATTTGTTTTTCACAGAATTAAAGTAAGTATTTTGAATAATTTGTGAGTAACCATAATTTTCTCTTCTAGTTAAGGAAATCAGATAGCTGGAGGAGAAAAATTAGTGTGTAGTATTTTTTTAATCACTGTAACTCTTAAATGCCATACATACTGGATTTTTGCTGTCTCTTTTTAAAAAAACAGTCAACTTAAAACTAAAACTTTAAAGTAAATAGGTCAGAATATTGTTTAACTTCATTTTTAGGTGGACATATAAAACTTTTTTTTTCTTATGAAAATAAAGTGGAGTCTTCTTATGTCTGTATTGACTTTTTCTCCAATTTTTTAATGAGAAATTTTAAACTTGTAGAGAGTTGGGAGAGTTGTCACACGAGAATCCTATACGTCCACCCAGATTCTAGAATTCATGTTCTCCTATACTTTATCACTATTTACCATCATCTGTCCATTATCATCCATTTTTAGAAAAATTTCAAGGGAATTGTAGGCATTAGTCCACCTTATCTCTCAGTATTCCACTTGGCTTAGGGTTGTCTAGAGTGTGTCGTTTGGGTGTGGATCCCCTCCTGCAGGTCACATTTACAGTGAGATGCACAGGTCGGCAAGTGTGCCGTCCAGTGAGTGTTGACAGATGTCACTTCATGTAGCCTGAGCCCCATCCAAGAGAACACTTCCTTCGTCTCAGGAAGTTCCCCCAGTCCCTTCTCAGTCAGTCCCTGGCCCCTTAGGCAACCGCTGTTTTGAGTTTTGACCATGGGTGAGTTTTACGTGTTCAAGAACTTTATATGAATGGATTCATGGTGCATTTAATTTTCTGTGTAAATTTCTTTCACTTAGTGGATATTTTGCACATACCACGAGTTCGTCTTGTCTATCACTCAGTAGTACGCCCTGGTGTAAATACACTGCAGTTGTTGGTGGGCACCTGGACTGCCCCTCGTTTGGGGCTGCCTGGATAAAACGTCGGAATGTTAGTGCACAGGTCTTCATTTCTCAATGAGCTTCTCCATTTTTGCTTTATATGAGTAATATTACAGTTAAACTGTTTTCCAGGAGCTATTTTTATTTATTACCTCCTCAGGACACCTGGGTTTATGGTAGTAGTTTGAGAGCAGATAGTGACCTTTAACACACACGTGCTCTTAGGGAAGAAGACGTCACGGAGACCATGTACCCTCCGCCAGTTCCCGGCCCCGAGCGGCCGCCCAGGGGAACCGACGGGGGGAAGGTGGACCTCGTCTGCGATGCGATGCGAGCAGCCATGGAGAGCATAAGTCCTCACAAGTACGTGCGCTGCCGGTGGTGGCATCTTTTGACTAACAGAGGCGAGCAGTCGTCCTTCCTCTGCTCGTTCCTCCTCCTCATTGTGGTGGTGGTCTTCGCTTATGACCTCAGGTACCTCCTGTCCATACTCACCTCTCATGTGAAGAAGTCCACCCCGGAACTGGAAGTCGTGCTGCAGAAGATCCACGAGCTTCAAGGTAGAGACGCGGTCCCAGACAGCGTGTTTAACGGGGCCTCGATGGCCACCAGTTTTCCGGTCTTTGGGTGGCCATGTGGCCAGGACCAGGGCCGCAGCACCAATTTCACCTGTGGCCTTTGGGTTGCTGTTTTAAGACCTGTGTCTTTTTTAGTGCTGCCCTACAGAGCATGTGCAAAAGAGTCAAAAGTGTGTATGTGCTGGAAAATGTGTTCATGTGTCTTGCTGGTTATGTTGTTAGGCGTGTGGGTTTTCCCCCCACATGGTTCTGTTCTGTTTTCTGACACGCGGACAGGAAGTGCCGCCCCTGATCCTGATGCTGTGAGTGCTGAAGAGGCCCTGAAGTACTTGCTGCTGCTGGTAGACGTCAACGAGCTATACGATCATTCTCTTGGGACCTACGACTTTGATTTGGTCCTCATGGTAGCTGAGAAGTCCCAGAAGGTATGTGGAGTGGCCGCTGTGCCGTCTTTTTGGTCCTGGCTTAGGTAATCGTGGTAGCATCCGTGCCTGCTCCTGACGGTGCAGCATCCTGCTCCGTGCTGGTCTGTGAGGACAGGCCTGGGAGCAGATCTGTGAGCCTCTGGGGCCCACGCTTCCAGCGCCATTCTCTGCCACAGTTGTGTGCGTATCAAAGTGTTCGGATTGCTGGGTTGAGCGAGTGAAATAAAATTACTTGGTTATTTTTAAGATGGCAGACACACATGTGAACAAATTCTCTTACAAAGAACATAACAAATGGCTCTGGCTGGTGTGGCTCAGTGGATTGGGTGCCAGCCTGGGAACCAAGGGATTGCTGGGTTGATTCCCGGTCAGGGCACATTTCTGGGTTGCGGGGTGGGTCCCTGGTTGGGGCATGTGAGAAGCAGCCATGCATTGATGTTTCTCACCCTCTCTTTCTTCCCCCCTTGCCCTCTCTAAAAATAAATAATTTTTTTTTTTTTAGTGGAACAACAAATCAGTGTTTCTTTTTCTCTTTCCCCCTTCCCCTCTTTCTCTAAAATCAGTAAGTAAAAAATAATAGTATATTAATATGGCACATATTCTTAAAATAATGTACCATAAGTACCATAAAATAAGTTTTGGACTTACTGCGATAATTATTTATTTATATGTTTATAAGTATATCACAAGCAATAAAGTTCTACTTACGGTTTTTGGTTTTTTTTTTAGGATCCCAAAGAATATCTTCCATTTCTTAATACACTCAAGAAAATGGAAACTAATTATCAGCGGTTCACCATAGACAAACACTTGAAACGGTATGAAAAAGCCATTGGCCACCTCAGCAAATGTGGTGAGTATGAGGAGTATGTTTATTTCTGCTTTAAATGTTCTTTGGAACAAGGCGGGCTATAAATTAAAATGCTAGTTTATTTATTTCTGAAGATTTTATTTATTTATTTTTAGAGAAAGGGGAAGGGAGGGAGAAAGAGAAGGAGAAAAATATCAACATGTGGTTGTCTCTCATGTGCCCCCTACTGGGGACCTGACCCGCAACCCAGGCATGTGGCCTGACAGGGAGTCAAACCAGCAACCCTTTGGCTGTCAGGCCGGCACTCAATCCACTGAGCCACACCAGCCAGGGCTAAAATATTACTAGTTTAGACATAGACTGATTACAGTTTCCACTCCTGAAAACTTTACCAGTTACATACATGTACCTCGTTGTAGGCATTACGAGAAGCTGAGGGTGAAGCGAATGTCTTTTAAAGAGCCGAGGAGCTCTGCAGCCAAGATGATAGAGCAGATCTTCTTTGGGTTAAGAATGATCACCTCCTAAATCCACTTCAGTGTCTCAGAATTGAAACTGGTTGATAACTCAGTCTTCCCAGGGTGTTGGCAAACACCCGAGGGAAACCTGGCGTGTCCGGGGCGAGATGCAAGTGCCCACCCGCGGTGCCTCGGAAGCCACAGTTGCAGGCGTCGGTGACGGAGGGGAGCCAGCACAGTGCACAGCACAGTCCCTGACCCGTGCTGGGGCATCTGGCTTCCAATAGTGTGATTCTTTTCTGAGGGCTGGGACGGGACAAGGGTCAGTCGCCTGGGGAGCTCGTTAAGCGTTCCGTTTCTGGCTTCCTTGGAAAATCTGATTCAGTTGGGTTGGGTCAGACTTGGGCATGTGTAGATTTAATAAGCTCCCCAGGTGACTCTTATTAAGCAGGCTGAGCAAACTGTGCTGGATGGTCATTTATTCAGGGTAGTGAAAGAAAACTTTTTTAAGTAGAACTCTAATCCCAATCTAATACCTCAGAATCTGCAGTGGTGTTCATTAAAATTCAAATTCCTGGATTCTGTTCTCTCGATCCTCTGATTACTTAGGTCTTATAGAGGCCCCTTGTTGATTTTGTTTGGGGACCATTGGTAAAATTGAAATCCTTTCTGCTTCCAGAGTCTTAAGCTTATGTGTGTATGAATCTTATTTCTGCAGGACCCGAGTACTTCCCAGAATGCTTAAACTTAATCAAAGACAAAAACTTGTATAACGAAGCTCTGAAGCTGTATCCACCGAGCTCGCAGCAGTACAAGGTGTGTGGTGGACAGAACGAGGCTCTCCTGGTTCTGCTCTGTGCCTCAGTTGGAAAGGGTGGGGGTCTTGAGTCTGTAACTCTGCCCTTGGTGTCTGGGTTCATCTTCAGATGAATTAGCCTCACCTTGAACTTCTCATCTGACCTGTGCCTCTTCTGAACCACTTTCCCAGGCTGGAAAGCTAGGCATGGTCCCAGGTTCCTCGTGGGGAATACCCCTGGCTGCTTCCACACGGGGCTCCCTGCCTCCACCCGCTCCTGCAGCGCAGCCTCACTGCTGCGCAGCTGGTCGTCCTGGAAAGTGCAGCTCTTCCTCGTGTATTTCAGGGCACAGGGACAACATTTGGATTGTCTGTTGAAACAAACATCTGTGTAGCTTTTCTTATACATCAGGTATTTTGCTTGTAAGCTACACGTGCTCTGTAATTCTCACAAAAACGTGGTAGGTGGTGTGCACAACTTACAGATGGGGACACAACTTGCCTACAGAGCTGGGCTGTGAAGGGGCTAACCCGGGACCTGGAGCCCGTGCTGTTAACCGGCTCACCGAGCCTCCCTCAGCACCACCTCCAGTCGCCTGCAGACCGCACACGTCTTTCTGTGACTGGGCCCCTGACTGCTTCTCCAGCCTCAGCTGCCTCTGCCAGCCCCCTGCCTTCCCCTTCCTTCAGCCCCACTTGTCCGGCAACACGCTCAGGTCTCCTGCCAAAAGCTGGTCCTGGATGAGTTCTGAACACTGACCTCTCAGACTACCTTGTTCTTAACTTGGTGGCACTTATCAAATTGCAGGTTTGCTGATCTGTCCTCCCACCAGGCAGTGGAGTTCCTAAGGGCAAAGACTCAGTGTTACATTCCTTCTGCGTCCCTGCCTAGCACTGAGCCTGGGAAACAGAGTTTGGCCAATGGCTGCCTCTTTGCTCTCATTTTCGTCACCTGTTCCTCTCCCCTGTGCCCTCACTGCTTCACTCGCCCCGGTCTCCTTGCGTATTCCTTCCTGGGTGTTCCGTACACGTTGCTGGAGTTTGGCCATGGAGCCTTCTGTGCTGCCGGCCCGGAACACTCTCCCTGCCTCTGCCCGTGGCTTCCTCTCCTTGCAGCTCGCTGCCTTTACTGCTGTCAGCCTTTCCTCTGTTGCCACAGGAGCAGGTGCTTGGTGGTGGTTCTCGTTATTGTTTGGTTTATTTTTTGATTGCAGTATCATTCTCACTGCCCTGAATAGTACCCAGTAATTACTTGTTGAGTGAATTAACGGCACATCCTCAGTCAGGTGTTGGATGGCAGAATGACTGAATTCACCGAGCGGCCGTAGGGTTCTCCTAAGTGATTCCAGAGTTTCAAGTACAGTGACTAACGCAGGCAACAGTGGAGACTGAAAAAGTGGTTGTCACCTTTCCTCACCGCCCTCCATCTCTCGTCACAGGATGTCAGCATTGCCTACGGGGAACACCTGCTGCAGGAGCACCACCATGAGGCAGCGGGGCTGCTGTTTGCCCGCTGCGGCGCCCACGAGAAAGCCCTTGATGCCTTTCTGGCTGCTGGCAGCTGGCAGCAGGCGCTCTGTGTGGCAGCCCAGCTCTCCCTGAGCCAAGACCAGCTGGCCGGCCTCGGCAGAGTTCTGGCAGGTAGGCATTGTTGCGGGTTCTCCGAAATGAGACCTTCTCCAAAGGTTTTTTTCTTTCCTTTCTTTCCATTTCCTTCCATTTCCTTCCATTTCCTTCCTTTCCCTTCCTTTCCTTCCTTTCCTTCCTTTCCTTCCTTTCCTTCTTCTTCTTTCCTTCCTTCCCTCCCTCCCTTCTTGTCTCCCTCCCTCCCTCCCTTCCTCCCTTCCTTCTTTTCAAAGACATTTAGGGCAGCATACCTTAAGGCAAGCTCGTACTCAGTACAAGTTAACATGGCGTGGCTGCACCAGAGTCTGACCTTGTAGAGCAGAGGACAGGCTCGGGTCTACCTATGAGAAGACAGGAGTACGGGGTCTGGTCCTCTCAACTGTGCTTGGAGTCAGTGATTACAGGTTTAAGAATTTTTTATTTTAGGCCTTTTAGTTATTCATTTTGACTTCATTGTTACTTCTGCTTTAGAAACTGATGGGTATTGGTAGTTTAGACCTTCCAGCTCTGTGATCTATGATCTTTTTTCATATTCTTTATGACTCTTGGCTTGCTATGTGCCTCGTGGTGGGGCATGCCTCGTTGTCCCAGGTGTTTATAAAAAGTGGTGGGGAAGGCAGTGGTCAGACGTTTTGAGAAATACTATGTGGTGGAGTCCTTTCATGTGTGTGTTCACTTCATTTACATAAGGCAGCTCTTTAAATAGTGGAGCTGACTCTCCCTGTTTCTGTCAGTGATCATATGGCCCGGAGTTAGCATGAGGTGGGAGGCAGGGATCTGCCAGCCCCCGGTCCTGTGTGCCTTCCTCCCTAGTGTGACTGCCTCAGCCTTGCTCCGTGAGTGCAGTTCTGCGGTCGGAAAACCCTGCATGTCCCCAAGCAGAACAGCTGTGCGCACCTAGTGCTCAAGCAACCAAACAGCAGCCTCTTCCTATTGGGGGGAGAAATGGACAGTGAGAGATGCCAGGTCAGTTTCTCATGCGCGTGCCTTTGTGAGCATTCGTCATGGCTAATTTGGACTGTATGTGGTTTTCACATCGCATGTGAGATTTAGATTGTAACCGCCATTCACGGTAGGACTCTGTGGTGTTCCTGCCTCTTCCCCTCAGAGGAGTTCACAGATACGCAGTTTGATACCTAATAAAGACATATTAATGGTCGTCATCAGAAGACTCTGTTTAACTTTATTTTTCCCAGTGCTTCCCAAACTTACTTGAGTGGTTTTTTGGTACGGCCTTTTATTATCCTATGGAACAGTCTTAGCACTTTTGAAAATGTTGTTTTAAAGCAGTTTGACTTGGAAGTATACACCATAGAGCTCAATCTCCAATTTGTGTTGAGACCATTTCTATTTAAATAACACTACCAAAGACCGGTTCACCTGGAGTCGGCAATACCGTTGTTCTTGGCGGGCCAGCCGTGGTCAAACGCTTATCGGTGTCTTTGCAGGGAAGCTGGTCGAGCAGAGGAAGCACAGCGAGGCAGCCACGGTACTGGAACAGTACGCCCAGGTAAGCGCACTGCCTCCCCACGAAAATTCCCCCAGCTAACAGGCGAGGACTTTCTAGTTGTACCTTACGGACCATGAAAATTAAAATAACTGTGAGTAATTAGGAAGTTCAGAGATCGTTTGCCTGACAGGTTTTCATTCTTGCCGACTTGACTTGGAAATCTGAATTCAGGATATCTCCGTGTAGGTTCGGTGAGGCAGGGCACCAAAGAGCTCTGCTACAATATGTAAGGGTGGTCAGACCACCCGTACAGAGTACCAGATTAAATCTCAGGGAAGTTGCACCTTCTATGTTACCTTGCCAAAGTAGAAAGAAATGAGAAAGGACCATTCTAAAACAAGGTGATTGAACTTTAAGTACTTTTTTGGCTTTTACACTCATTTTCTCTGTTGGAAATATTTCTTTCCCTCGGGTAGTTTGATGGGTACTGATTTTTTCCAGCAGATTGTAAAAAATAAGTACTTACACCAGCTTTTGCTAGAACTGCAGGATTTATTGTGACGATAATAAAACTCTGGACTGACACTGGCCACAGACCAGCAAGACACACAGGCACAGCTGACCCTAGAGATGGTTGCCTTCTGAAGTTGTTGGCCTTTGATGAGATGGTGTTTTTATAGTTGTTAGCAGTGGGCACATTTTTAATAACATAATCGTGCTTTTAAAATATTTCAGTGTCTTTTATGTCATAAGGGTGAGTGAAAGAAGATAACATTAATTTCATATCATTAGACCCCGGAAAGAAAATATGTTGGGTGATTGGCTGAAAACAATAATGAGTACAATATGCATAGTGCCGCAGGACACGAGGGGGGCCGAGAACGAGGTGGACGGAGTCCTCAGGAGCTGAGCAGGGCTGTGCCGGACAGAGTGCTGGGGACGGCACTCACTCACAGGGTCCCCAGGGGTCAGGGGCAACTCGTCAGCAGGTACAACAGCAAATGAAGAGGCTGGGATAGAGGGAGGTACCTACCACCTCAGAGGGTTAGCCGAATGGCTGAGATGGTGCTCTTTTTTCCTTTGTAAAGGGAGGTTAATTCACATATGTATAAACTCATATATTTACTTATAATTTCCATATACTCAATTGGGATATCATTTGCATACAGTAAAGTTTGCCAGTTTTAAATGAAAATTGGTAAACGGTTGAGTCTAGAAGAATGTTTTCAGTTGCATAGCCGCCATTACAATCCCGATACTAAACTTTTCTCACACCCCAAGAAGTTCCTTATTTCCCCTTTTGCAGTCAGTCTTTTCTCCCCACTCCCGGGCCCCATTAACTGCTGCTGTGCTTTCTGTCGTTACACTTTCGCTTTTTCTAGGATTTCATAGAAATGGATCCATCTGGTATGTGGTCTTTCTACTACGGCTTTCTTCACTCACATAATGCTTTTGGTTTCTAACATTTCTTTTGATTCATTCTTAACATTTCCATCTCTCAGCTTACTTTGCCCCTGTGTTCTTGCATTTGGTCTACTTACTCCATTAGAGCCACTAGCATATTAATCTTCCTAATTTTAAATTCCCAGCCTCAATTCCAACATCCCTGCCATATCTGAGGCTGGTGATGAGGCTAGCTCTGGCTCATCAAACTGTCCTTTGTATTTTCTGTGTGCCTTGTTCTCTGTTGCAAACCTGATGTGATGCCCTGGGAAAAAGGAAATTCAGTAAATAGGCTGTTAGTGATGTGACAGGTGTGGGGGCAGGAGAAGCTTTCTAGAGTCCTGTGATGAGGTCACGGTCTTTGAGTGAGTCTGCGCCCCCTGCACGGTGACCTTCCTGGTGCTTCTTGGGTCTTTCACCCCGTAGGTAGCCCAGGAGGGCTGGAGGGAGCTACTGCAGGTGGGTATTGCCCTTCCCCCACATAGGTGAGACCCTGAAAAACCCACTTTGGTTAGGCTCTGGCAAAATAGTTTCTTATGAGGGCAGGCCTTGTGAAGAACAGCTTGCTTTGGGTATATTTTTAAATGGCTTACTTTCCCCCTCCACCTGCTAAAGATGTGAATTTCCCTCTGAGTCACTGTGAGAGCCTGTAGGGCTCCTAGGGGTGAAGACTCACAGACGTGTTGGAGCCTTTCTGAGTCTGGACCCCACAGAGTTTTTAACTCTTAGCCTTATATCTGTGGTGGGCCTGGCCCACGGTGCGCCTGCAGCCATCAGTCTGTCACAGTGTAGGTTTCTCCTGCCCCGGTGCTCATTCTGGTAGAGATTTCTGTCCGTGGCTTTCTGCTCTGGTAAGTTGTAGCTCTCTGTCTCCGCCTCTCTGTCCCTCCGTTCATGGGGGGCAGCGGTTTGCCCTGTGACCTGAATTCCCTGATGGATCTGAGAAGAGTTGATGATGATTTCAGTTTGTTCAGCTTTCTACTTGTTAGCATACAGTAATGACTTCCAGGTTTCTTGCATGCTGAACCAGAAACTGGAAGTCATATAATGCTTTTGAGATTCACCCATGTTGTAGTGTGTATCAGTTTATTCTTTTTTATTTTGTTGAATAGAACTCCATTGCGTGAGTGTATCACAACAAAAAAAAGAAAAGTAAGCATTGGCAATGATGTGGAGAAATAGGAACCCTGGTACATTGCTGGTGGGTATGTAAAACAGTGCAGCCACTAAGGAAAATAGATCGTTGGTCCCTCAAAAAGTTAAAGAATCACCGTAGGACCCAGCGGTCTCACTCCTCAGTCTATATAAAGAGAAAAGGAAACATGTTGCAAAGAAACTTGTATAAAGTTTATAGCAGCACTATTTATAATAGCCAAAAGGTGGAAACAGCCCAAGTATTGATCCATGACAAATGAATGGATAAATAGATTGTAAGACACACACATACACACAAAGGGATATTATTTAGTCATAAAAGAACAAAAAGCTGATACATGCTACAACTTGGAAAAGCTTTGAAAACATATGCTAAGTGAAATAAGCCAGATATAAAAGGACAAATGTTGTATAGTTCGACTTATATGCGGTACCTAGAGCAGTCAGATTCTTAGAGACAGGAAGTAGAATGGTGGTCGCCAGAGGATGGGGATGTGGGAGAGTGGGGAGTTCCTGTGTGCTGGGCTTAGAGTTGCAGTTCTGCAAGGTAAAAGTGTTTCGGAGAGGGATGGTGATGATGGCTTCACTACAGGGTCAACTTGCTTAATGCCACTAAACTGTATACAAAAAATAGTAAAATGGCAAGTTTTATGTTTATATATATATATAAAACATTTTACTAAAGTATGATTTCTTGATTTTACTAAAATCAAGAACATAAGACAAAAAGAGAACAAAGAACTGCTACATGCTACAACATGGATGAATCTTGAAAACGTGCTAAGTGCAAGAAGCCAGACATGGAAGGTCGCCTGTCGTATGGTTCCTTTTGTATGTCTATACTGCACAGATCCAGGGAGACAAAGCGGAGTAGAGGTTACCAAGAAATGAGGAAGCGGAAAATGGGAAGGGATTATTTAATGGGTGTGGGCTGTGTTTATGGGGTGCTACAAACATTTTTGTGGTGATACACTATTATGAATACAATAAATATTAAGTTGAACACTTTAAAATGATTAATTGTATGTTACGTGAACTGAACCTCACTATAACATACGCATACAAGCACACACATGTGGGTCAAACAAAAGACATCCTACTGTGTCCCTTTGTGGACCTTTGGTATCTGCCTGTTACTGTGGCGTGTACCGGATAATCCATCGGGGTCTGGGAAGAAAATTTTTATTTTATCTTTCTAATTAAAAATAACTTGTTTAGAATAATATATGTGTATTATAGATTGTTTAAAATGCAAATATACACAAGAAAATAAAAATACCTTATTCCTACCACTCAGATTGCTGTTAGTAGTACCTTCCATTTTTTCCTAGAGAGTACACACACACATTCTTTCTCTCTCCCTCTCTTTCTGTGTATATGCACACGTATCAGGTCTGTCCAGAAGCAATCCAGCCGTGTACTATGAAAAATAGACACATTTATTGCAGAAGATAAAAGATACAAGAAACATTGTACATAGGACAATGCTACCTCAGTCCCCTTCAAAGTAGGCACCTTGGGACCTCACACAGTTCTCCCAGCATCTCTTCCACTGTTCAAAACACTCTGCAAAATCCTCTGTTGGAATTGCCGTCAGCTGCCCTGGCATTTTCCTGAACCTCATTGACAGTCTGAAATCTCTTCCCTTTCAAAGGTGATTTTACTTTTGGGAAAAGCCAGAAGTCACAGGCCATCAGATATGGGCTATAGGGGGGCTGAGTCACCTGGGTGATTTGATGTTTCACCAGAAAAACTCTGTATGATACATGAGTGGGCATGTTGTCACCATGAAGCTGCCAATCACCAGTTGCCCATAGCTGCTGCCATTTTCCTCATCTGGCATCTTTCAGCTCATGAAGAACTGATTGAGGTAGTACTCCTTATTAGTCACTTGGCCTGGAGAGGTGTACTCATGATGGACAACACCTTCCCAATCAAGAAACACAGTTAACATGGGCTTGATCTTGCTGCGACTTTGCCATGCCTTCTTCTGGCAGAGGGAGAACCAGGCGACTTCCACTGGGACAACTCGGCCTTTGTTTCCGTGTCATAGCTATAGACCTACGATTCACCTCCACTTATGACCTTCTTGAGGAAATCTGGCTCATTGGTAACAGTTTGAATCAGATCATTAACAATCATTGCGTGATGTTCCTTCTGCCCTGGTAACAGAAGCTGCAGAATGAATTTTGCCATGACATGTTTCTTGCCAAATTCCTGGGTCAAAAACTCAGACGCAGTAGTTTTTGGAATCCCCAGATCAGTTTCTAGTTCTCCCACTATCAGTTGCCCATCTTTGTTGATTGCAACCTGTACACGTTCAATATTCTCAGGTGTTCTGCTTGTTGCTGGCCTTCCAGAGTGTGGATCACTTTCAACAGATTCTTGACCATCTTTGAAGCATTTGTCCACACTTTTATTTGCACTCATTGCACTCTTTTATTTGTACTCATTGCATTGTCCCCAAAGGCCTTCCAAATCATCTGAATAGTTTTCACGGAGGAATGTTCAAGCTTAATGCAACATTTGATGCAGATTCATTGCTTTGCTTGCTCAGTCATTTTGAATGCGATAGCCACACAGTACACATGCTCACTCACTGGTGCCTACCACCCCCACTGACTAGTACAGTGAAGTCATCATTGTTCATGTGCGAGCATTCCAGTCTACTCTCCTTGGCTGCCAGGTTACATCAGTGTCACACACACCAGTCTCCAATGGCTGGACTTTTTGGGACAGACTGTGTGTGGGTGTGTAAATGTATAACACACACACACATGCGTCTTTTTAGCCAAAATGGAATTACACTGTTTGTAAATTTGCTCAATTGTTTGGTTATGGTCTTCATCTTTCCATGTTAACACATTTTCATTTATCTAATAATTAAAATTCAAGTTCCTCAGTGCTTCCAAAATTGTTTACAGTAGATAGATTCAAATTAGGTTTCAATCTATGGCCATGTATTACATCTTATACCTTATGTCTTTTAAAGTTTTTTTAATTTAATATGTATCCCTTCCCTCCTTGTTTATGACAGTAATTACTTGAGGAAACCCAGTCAGTTGTCTTATGTATTTCATCTTTTTAAAATGTGTTTTGTTTTGTAGGCTTTATAAACATACTAAGTAATAATGTTTTGGTATGCAGGATCAAAATTTTTACTGATAAGAGTACAAGCATCAGAAACGTTTGAAGCCCATAGGGAGTCTATTACACTCACTTTTTCAGTTTTCTGTAAGTTTGAAGTTTTTTGAAATAAAACATTAAAAGGTAGAAAAAGGAAACATTAAAGGAGCAGGAAAAGAGTTTAGAAGCTTACTATTCCAGTGACCGTTTCCTCAGAGTGTGGATTTGTCAGTGCGGGAGCCCACTGAAGCCTGGCGGTGAGGCTGGGAAATGGGCAGTTTTCACAGACCCCTGTGGTAGTTTGGATGCTCAGGGATGTGGGGAGGTGATACACACTTACGATGTGTGTTTTTGTTATTGCCAGAATGCACACCTTTCTTTGCCTCTTGGATCAGTATTTATCGAGCATGTACCCTAGACCAGCACAGTGCTCAAGCTGGGACCATAAGGGAGAGCTGCAAAGGCCTGTAGAGGTGTCTGCCCCGCCTGCTCCACTAACCTGTTGTTTGCTTTGATGTTCCTTTGTCAGGATTATGAAGAAGCCGTGCTCTTGCTGTTAGAGGGAGCTGCCTGGGAAGAAGCGCTGAGACTGGTGAGAGAACTTTGAAAGCCCTCCCAGCGTCAGGTGCTGGCAGGGCAGGAGTGCAGGGGGGACAGGGTCAGAGGAGTCCCTTGTCCTTGGAGCGGGTGAAGTGAAGGAGGAGTTCAGGTTTGCAGTCTGAGGATAAGCAGTGCTTTGGAAACCATTTTAAAAATTCCTGATGTTGGGAATTAGTTGGTCCTCTAAATGTGACGTATTACTGTTTTCTGCTGGAATGACCTCTGAAAAATATCCTGGTCCCTCTGAAAGCGATGCACTTCTTTCCAAGTATCTTGAATATTTCCTTCCTAAAATTCCTGTCTTCTTCCTTTCAGGTATACAAATACAACAGACTGGATATTATAGAAACCAACATAAAGCCTTCCATTTTAGAAGGTGAGGGTTACATTTTTTAATTTTTTATCCTCACCCAAGGTTATTTTTTCATTGCTTTGAGATAGAGGGAAAGCAGGGGGTGGGGGGGGGGGGAGAGAAAGAGAAACATCATTGTGAGAAATATTGATTGGCTGCCTTCTCACATGCGCTCCATCCAGGGTACACGCCCCAGCTGGCGACTGAATACATAACCTGGGTCTGTGTTCTGACTGGCAGTTGAACTCACGACCTTTCGGTCTATGGGACAATGCTCCATCCAGCTGAGCCACACCAGCCAGGGCGGTGAGGGTTACTTTTAAATAAAATTCCTCATTTGGAAGTGTAAGGATGTGGAGGGGAGAGAAATGAGAGTGCGCTCCCTGTGTTCTTACTTCCTTTACTCATGTGTTATGTGTAGTCAGTCAGAATTCTCCACTGGTGTAATACTTGTTTCTGACCAGGGTTTTTAATGTGCTAACCAGTTAAGTGATAGCACAGAAAATACCTGAAGGTTAAAAAGCTGTGATAAGATAGGGTTAAGAATCTTTGTATTTGGGAATAGTTGGTAAACTTTAAAGGAATAGATATATTTTATCTATGAACAGTTTCCTACATTTAATAATTACATTGTGGTTATATTATATAATATTAGATAATACCCTTATTCTTAAGAGAGAGATACTGAAGTATTAAGGAGAGATCGTATCCCTCCTTAAAAGTTTCCACAAAAATAAGAGAAGAAACAGGAAGCCAAAAATACAGCAAAATGTTAAGAATTGGTAGTCTAGGTTCTCTGTGGGATTTATGTATGTATGTTGAACGACTACAACTTCTATGTAAGTTTGATGTTTTTTCAAAATAAAAAATGAAAAGAAGAACCTTTGCAAATTTAGTTGGTGGTTCCTAGAGAAGAGGTGAGTGTTCTTAGTTCCGGAATGCTCTGGTGGCCCCTGTGACCCCTTACAAGCAAGGCTGAAAAGAAGGGCATCAGTTTGACTTCTGGAAACTTGGGGGAGTTGGGGGGTGATTTTCAGCACAGTCTACCGTGTAAGTGATGTCTGGCCCTCCTGACAGTAACATGTATTCACATCCGTGCCCTGCCTGCTGCGTCCTCCCCCATCCTACTTAAAACTGGGGGGAGGGTTCTTTCTATATCCAAAATGTTAGGTACCCCTGCCTGGGTACCGCAAGCATCCTTCCTGGCCCTACAGCAGTCCCATAGCCAGCTCTTCCTTAAATTGTCTCCACTGTTGAGAACCTAGAAAAATGCTAACAGGTCATGTGCATAGACAAGCCTAACCCCTGTGTTTAAGAAGCACTTCAGTGACTTTCTCCTCTTTTTGTTAACAGCTTCCTGTGCACTCCTTTTATGTGCCAGTCCTGTTTTGGTTAGGTATCAAGTCTTTCTTAGGTGATTTTGTACATATTATGGTAGGGAGTCTTCCAGGATGACGTTGATGAGCTCTAAGATCTGAAATCTTAGTATCTAGTTCATTCTCCTAAAACAACATAGGTTAATATTCATGAAGAAAAAAATATTGCGTGGAAAACCTAGTAACCTATTTCTTTCTGTTCAATTCCAACTCCCTCGCTCCTGCCACTCTACTTTTCTCTCTGTGTATAACCATCACACTGAAATTAGTTTCCATCCCCAGCCCAGAAAAATTACATGGCACTTCTGGACTCGCAGACGACCACTTTCAGTCGTCATAAAAACCGTTTGTTGGTGGTTCGAGAACTCAAGGAGCAAGCGCAGCAGCGCGTGCATCTGGGTGAGTGTTACGGGGAGCTAGGGTGGACGACAGCATCGCACTTTGTCTTAGCTGCGTATTGTGCCTCCGGCAGCATGAGTCCTGGGTCGTGGGGAAGTCCAAGGCCTCTGTGAAAGCCCTTGGGGGCTGTGTATGTCTGTCTGTCCGTGTGTGTCGAGAGGGCTCGGAAGCAGGACCAAGCACAGGTGGGAAGAACTCTGCCAGACCTCACCCTACCAGAATGGTTGACTACTGTGTTTTACGAAGTCTCCTCATTTCTAAAAGTTATTTTGCTTTAATAAAAAGAAAGAGAAGACTAAACGGGTTTGGTACTGGTGAACTGGTATATGGTAATAATAATTATTTAATGTTATCTCATTTCATTGTGAGATCGACTTTGTAATAAATTTCCTGTGCCCTTAGATATGCCCTGGTTAACTCTAACCCACTTGCCCGACCGAAGGTTAACCACATTAGCAGGGGGTTTTCATTCCGCACCTGGTTCTTCTTTTCTAGATGATGAGGTGGCCCATGCCCGAGAGTCTGACCTCTTCTCTGAAACTAGCAGTGTCATGAGTGGCAGCAACATGAGTGGCAAATACTCCCACAGTAACTCCAGGATATCAGCGTACGTATCATGTTTATCCCGCATCCCGACCGCCCTGGGAAAGTGGAGAAAGTACGAATGACTGGGTCGGTTTTCCACTGGGACGTTGCAGCAGGAGCCGGAGGCCAGGACTCGCCCAGACATGTAATAGATTAGACTCAGTGTCCGGATGTTTTCTGCTGAAGCTTCATGGCCTCTGGGCTTCCCCAGTGCCCACGAGGACCTTCCACCCGGTGCTCAGTTCATAAAACATCTGATTTCACTCATTTAACACACAGTAAGTGACTGTTATGGGTGGGCATGCAAAAAAATGAAAAGATTTCAGTCTTCTTCAGTCCAGAGTCAGGGTTGGAAGAGGTCACAAATGTAAGTCACTTTTACTCAGAGTAGCAATTTGTAGAAGTGTTTATCGAACACCCATATGCTAGTTGTAGTGGAGGTTATGAAACACTTTTAAGGAGGTATGAGTTATATAAGAGCTATGGCCTTACTTGGGAGACCTAACTGTATAAGATTATATATTTGAACTGAATTGATCTTGAGGATGTGGGAGGCGATCAGATAGTGCAAGAAAGGCAACTAGAACTGGGCTTTTAAGAGCTGGGGTGAGAGAGTCCCAGACAAAACAAATGGCATATTAAAGATCTCTGAGGCAGGAAAGAATATGGGATTCACGTATACTTTATTATATTCAAATTCCAGTCTAGATATCTGTGTTTTCTTATTTAAGCTTTATTTTGTTGCCTTTAAATTTGTTTTTCATTATAAAATTTAAGTTCGATGTTGTTTTATTCATTATTTCAGCTTTTATTGTCAGGTGTAACCTTATTTTACTCTGTATTTTAATTAGAGGTCAAGGCCAGACATAACGTTTTAGGGTTTTCCTTACTCCTGCCTATAAGAGTGGCCTCTCCCCATTTTATTTTTTCTCTCCCTTTAACACCTCATCGCCATTTCTCCCAAGCTCAGAGTCATCACCTGGTTTCTCGGAAAGTTGGTGGCTGACAGGCACATTCATTTTCATATGTCCAGCACAGGGAGAGCCCTTGTAAGACATCTCTAATTCTCAACAGGCGGTCGTCTAAGAATCGCCGCAAAGCAGAGCGGAAGAAGCACAGCCTCAAAGAAGGGAGCCCCACGGAGGAGCTGGCGCTTTTGGAGGCTTTGGCTGAAGTGGTGCAAGGTGCTGAAAAGCTGAAAGGTATTTGCCCGATACTGACAATTCCTGCCCACACACAGATGGTGGATGGATTGCACAGACAGACAGACAGACAGACAGACAGAATTCAGTACCCAGTGAATACACAATTTTCCCAACTTGAGGAAAGATGAAAACTGTCAGTAGGAAGTGACATTTTAGGGCACAGTCCTGACAGAGCCCTCCTCAGCTGATAGCCTATAAGCCTCCTTCCACTGGCATCCTCTACCTGCAGTACCAGTGAGGGAGAGCTTAGCGCTGATGGCAAGGTCAAGGTCAAGGACTGTGGAGATACCACCTCCTGCCTGGGGCCTCAGTGGCTGTGTCTTTCCCTGTGTAGTGGATATGTTGAATGACTCTGGCACAGGGAAGAAACAAGAAAATGTGGGAGGTGGCAACTGTCATGTGATGCTGCGTGTTTTCCTGTAAGAAAGGAACTGTGCTATGATTCTAGCTTGGAGCTGGGGGCACACCTTAACACCCCCTCCCGTTTCTGTTCCCTAGATGAAATACGCTGTATTTTAAAGGTGCTCTTTCTCTTTGAGTTTGATGAGCAAGGCAGGGAGTTACAGAAGGCCTTTGAAGATACTCTGCAGCTAATGGAAAGGTCCCTGCCAGAAATTTGGACTCTCAGCCACCAGCAGAATTCAGCTACACCTGTAAGTTTTCCTCAGTGACAAAATGTGCTTTTTTTTTTTCATCATTTCACAGATCGTTAACACTCACACAGTCTCTTGAAAGTCAAAGCAAAAGACTTTCCTGTTTTTAAAACATAATATGCCATAGTTAAATTATCTGAGGTTTATGTTTAAGCTGTCATTAAGATTTATAGTTGATTAATTATACAGTGACTCATACACCTTGGCCTAGATTGCGTTTGCTTTGATTTCTCCTCTCGTCATGGAACAGCTGTCGTGGAGAACATGGGAAGGTCACGTAGTTGTCCCTGGCCTTCCGTGGGATTGGGTGGGAAGAGGGAGGTGTTCAGACTTATGGGTGGCATCAGAGTTTTTTTTAAGGAGCCCCAGACCATTGCCTTTCCTTTTGTTTTATGCAAAATTTGACTTGTTACTTCTGTGTTGTCATGATGGTCCTTGCTATAAATTATGTTTCAGGTTGTCTGTGTCCCATCAAAAATTACAGTGTATTAACATCTACTTACTGTTTATACCTCTGCTCAGTCTCTCACAACTCGGGTCTATTAAGACTTCTGACTTAGATTCAGAAAGGCAGTGTGTCCGTCAGGGCCTGGTAAGGAAAATGAAACCCTCGACTGCTTCTTTATCAGAGTGAGTGTAGTACATGGAACTGCTCAGACCAGACTCGGAGCACTGAAAGGAGAAAGGGGACCCCTCAGAGGAGGAACACTGAGATGGGAACTGTGGGAAGCTGCTAAAAGAACAAAAGGAAGAGTTTGGGATTATCAGAATGTAGAAGTTTGCACGTGGGGCCCTACCATGCCGGTTCTTGATGCTCAGAGAGGAGGGTGCCAGCCAGCCGGGGCTGGTATCGCTCAGGCAACACGGTGAGGCTGGGCCGCGGTGTAGAGAAGTCAAGAGACACCGGATGGACAGCTGCCGGTAGCATAAAGAGCTGTTGGTACTATTGAACGAAAGGAAGCAAATGAAGGAGGAGATCCTTCTGTCCCCAACCCTGCACTCTCCCTCTGGTTACAAGTGGGGATAGCGCTTCCCCTGTACATCTCATGAAATGTTTTAAACGTTAGATAAAAGGGTAGATGAAAAGGCATCTTACACACGATAAAAATCAACTAAGAATCGTTATTCTCACAAATACTTGAATTTACTGTAATAGGTATTTCCTAGAAGAAATGTGATCACCTTTAAAACTCCAGTGATTTCAAAGCTAACGATTTATAATGCTTCCCCATGCCCTCCCCACCCTCTCCTATTCAGATCATACTACCTTTAGGAGTCTTGTAGGGAGAATGACCAGCAGTACTGGGGTTTTGTTTTGGTGGTTAAAGTGTGGTGATGGCCTACGAGCAGGCCACCATGAGTCACGTGCGAGTGCTGGGAGCACCGGCACCGCTGCTCGGGTGCCGCCAGGGGACCGCCTGCGCTTCCCTCTGCAGACCTGAGTGCAGGCCGAGGGCCTGGCGTGTGCTCACCCAGGCCTGTGTGGGCGTGGAACTCCTGTGCGGTGCCTTGTTTACCTTGAACACACATGCAGAATTTCCACTCCATTCCATGATGCTCGCCTTCCTATCGTCGATAAAAATTCCCACAAATCTTTGAATACAGTTTGATACTCTGTGTATTCTATAGCCTCTTGTACTATTTTCTCTCCCCTCAGAGGGAGAAAAAGGCTTGCTCATTTGTAAGGGATCAGACATATAACATTGTAGATCTTCTTCCAGAAAGCAACCAGATTTCATACATACATATATACGGGAACCCCGCATACAGGAGAGTCTGAGACCTCACGTACAGGAGCGACTCCCAGATTTTCTTTCTTTTTTTTTTTAATCCTCATCATCACCTTGTTCTTCTGATAGAAAGGAGACTTACAGGTCTGAGTTGAGACTGGAGAAACGGGCAAATTGAAGTCACATAGGAAGAGAGAACTACTGTGTGTGATGCCTGAGCAGTGAACAGGACGAGCTGCTGATTGGCTGTGGAGATCTGGACGCAGGCGTAGTGGTCATCAGAAGTCCCGACGGTCTTTGCTGATACATCTCCTTTCTCCTTAGGTTCTGGGCCCCACGTCTACTGCAAACAGCATCATGGCCTCTTACCAACAACAGAAGACGTCAGCTCCTGTTCTCGGTTAGTCTTCTTTCCCCTCTAAATTATTACAGTTCTGAGCAGAAGGAATATCTTCTGCACGTGTTGAGAAGTCCAGCAGTATGAGGTGGCACTGGGTATTGACTGCAGCCTCCCCTCAGTTCTACAACTGCGTCTTCAGTAAAATCAGTTTAGTGCCTCTGATGCTGGGAACCTGGAAGGGGTGGAATCCAACGTGACAGTAAGTGTATAATTTTTTTCTCAGTTGCCCTGACATATGCTCATCATTCCAATGGCATATTCTTGTCCATATGGGCACATCACAGTTGAAGTTTGAGTCTAAACTTCACATAGATTTTCCACATTTTACATATGGCGAATTTATGCATGTATTTTAAATACTCTCCTGAATCGTGATTTTTGGCTGTTGGCAGTTGCGTGTTTGTGTCTTAGGGATGTTTTCACGATCCTGAACAGCTGAACCTTTGTAATCATCTTCAGGATTGACAGTGTAATTTGAAAGCAAATCCGAAGGACATTGTTTGTTGAGCAGAAATGATTCTCAGTTAGGTCACACACCCGTCAAAGCTGGAAGTCCAAAAGGCTTTCTTTTGAAGGCTGACTAGAAACTTTTGACAAATCAGTTCGGTACCTGAGTGTTTGCCCTTCAGGTGGGTTAACCAAGCATGCCAGTCTCGTAGCTTTGAAAAGTTAGCAGTATGTTTAAAGTGGTGGTTTTTACTGCTGTTATTCGCATTTTCTAGCACGTGACAGGCAGCAGCCTGACATTTCCTTGTTTAAATGCTGTACTGTAATAGCATTTTGAGGACATTTGGAGCGGACTTGGAGGGGTCAGATTAAGTTTAACAACTTGTGTTGCTGCCAGGAATAAACACCAAGCTGCCGTCCATCCCAGCTGAGCCCACGTGTCCGGACAGTACCTGCTGCTTCCCTAGCTCCCCTTCTTCCTGGAAGCAGCAGCATCTTCTTGGAAAGCCGCTGTTGGTGTCAGTCCCAGAGCGCACTTATTTCCGAGATGCTACAAATTCGTCTTAGACCTGAGGCAGTTTAGTCATTGTTTAACTTGTGCTCTGTCTAAGCCAGTAATTTCTGCCCCATCTTCCTCCTTGCTGGCCTGATGCTGACCTTTGGGTCAAGTCCAGGCACACCTTTCCCTGGAGTGTTCTAGATGGTTTTGTTTGTCAAAGAGCACTTCCATTTTCTGGCTGAGCCTGAACGAGTATAATATTTTGGGGCTCCTCATGATCTGAATATGTATTATCAAGGCGCTTGTGCTTACAAGATTATGAAGGAAAAGAGAATGCCAAAGGAGGCGGATGAACTACTCACAAAAGGAGTCCCACTCAAGTACCCGCCAGTGAGCCCTGTCCAGCTGACGACAGTGGTGAAGCTCCCTCACACATCCCCACGCGTGGGACCGTGGCTCGAGGGGGCGTTCTCTCCAATTGTTTCATGTGTACAGCGCCGTGGAATGGCGTGCAGATCGACTTACAGGTCTTGCAAAAATGCAGGATTTTATAAAATGGGTTGTAGTGTTATCAGAGAACTGCTTAACTCATAGCTGAGCTGGACTTGTTACAACTGCTAACAGAATAAGCTCTTCCGATGAGAATGCTTTGACGATCAGAGGATTGAGAAAAGCCCCTGGAAAGTCGGTGAACCCTTTCGTGTGTTTCAGTGGCAGTACCCTGTTCTGCGCCGGGAAACCCAGACACGGGAGTGTGGGAGGTGCCCGTCCCGCTGCCACCCAGCCCGTCAGAGAACCAACTTCCTGGCCAGAAGCTGGTGCTCGCTGTTTACTCTTAGTTACGTCTAGGGATCAGATGTCGTCATAGTTGTGCCTGATTTTTTTTTAATTCTTTTTTTAAAATATTTTATTTATTTATTTTTTAGAGAGGGAAGGGAGGGAGAGAGAGAGAGAGAGACAGAGAGAGAGAGAGACAGAGAGAGACAGAGAGAGACATCAATGTGCGGTTGCTGGGGATTATGGCCTGCAACCCAGGCATGTACCCTGGCTGGGAATCGAACCTGCGACACTTTGGTTCCCAGCCCGCACTCAATCCACTGAGCTACGCCAGCCAGGGCTTGTGCCTGATTTTTTTAATAAGATAGAATATATTTTCATAACTTGGTTTTTAAAACAACAGATAAAGTCTCAAAGTTTAATCACCTCTTAACATAAAATTGTGGGCCTTGTTGACAGTGAATTTATTTAAGTTGTCTTTTCCAGTATAAGAATTCTTAAATAAGCAGAATCTCCTGTGGTCTTCTTATCGGTATATTTTTTTGTGTGAGCCACTAGGGAGCAGTGATTGCGTGTGAAATTATGAAACTGATATGATTAGTAGAAAAATCTGGAATATGTTAAAGGAAATTAAAATTTGATGATTTCTAATCATGTGTAAATGTATGTGTATTTGTGTATAATGTGAAAACCATGTTTTTAAAAACTTTCTCGAGCATTTTTCTCACATTGTTAAATATTCTTGAAAATAAGTTGTAATGGATGTGTGGCTCCCACATATAGGTGTACTGTTGGAAGTTTATCAGGCACCCTGCTAAGACAGAACGTCTTTATGTATACATATTTTCTTATATCTCTGCTTCCTATATATGATTCTTGCCCTGGCTGGTGTGGCTCAATGGATTGAGTGCTGGCCTGTGGACTGAAAGGTCGCTGGTTCGATTCCTGATCAGGGCATATGCCTGGGTTGCAGTCCAGGTCCCCCACTGGGGATATGCAGGGGCAACCAATCAGTGTTTTTCTCCCTCTCTTTCTCCCTCTTTTCTCCTCTTTCTAGAAATAAAAAAATAAAAAATAAACCTGTCTATGATTCTTGTTTAGGTAAGAGGCTCCACAAATCTAACTAAAATAGGGACATTTATATTGATCATTGCATTTGTAGAATTTTTAAAAAATATTTTATTTCTTTATATTTTATTTCTTTATTTCTTTATTTAGAGAGAAGAGAAGGGAAGGGAAAAGGGAGGGAGAGAAACATCAATGTATAGTTGCCTCTTGTGCACCCCCTATTGTAGACCTGGCCTGCAGCCCAGGCAAGTGCCCTGACTGGGAATCGAACCAGCGACCCTTTGGTTTGAAGGCTAGCACTCAATCCACTGAGCCACACCAGTCAGGGTTTGTAGAATTTTTTTTTATCAGAAAGGATTTTTTTTCCCTGTAGCTTTACTTACTGAATACATGCCACCAAGTTTCTTTTACAATTGAGGTAAATTTTACATACAGTCAAATGTATAGATTTTAGTATACAGAGTTTGATGGGATTAATGTAATATGGCCATTAATGTAATGAAACTACCACTGCCACCACCCATCTGAAACATAGAGCATTCTTTGACTTTGACTCACTGGGCAGGCATTTTTCTCCAGCTCTCCCGTGTGCCTAAAGTTGTAATGGAATTCCTCTCCCGGGGCAGACCTCCAGACTGTGTTTGCTTGGAGCAGAGGTTGTAAGGCCGTAGAAACAACCCTCATTCTGAGTGTCATGTAGGTGCAGAGCTCGGTGACCTAGCTTTAGGTGAGAGTTACTGCCTCAGCTTCTGCCAACAAGAACCAGTGTGTTCTCTCACAGTCTCCTTCCTTTTTACTAGATGCTGAGCTTTTCATACCCCCGAAGATCAACAAAAGGACCCAGTGGAAACTGAGCCTTTTAGAGTGACGGATCCTGTTCAGGAGGGCCCTGCCAGAGAAGACCATTTTCTTTCCACTCCTCACTCCTCGAGGCCTGGCTGCCGAGAACCAGGAAGAGTAAGACGATGCTCTACCTGCTGTAGCATTGCCGAGAGCTGCTCTGTCCAGCAGACCACTGGAGACGCCAAGCAATCCTATTCTGTTTTCTTTTGTTTTGCATAGAGTTTTAATTAGCGAAACTGTAATCTTTAACCAGTATAGCATCATTGTGTAAGAATTACTGTTCTTTTATGTAGTACTGTTGAAGAGCACATTTCTCGTATTTATGGTGATCAGGAGATGGAGTTGCATTCCCAGTTACATGTCTGATTCATATTGGGACCTTAGACAAGTCACACAATGAACCTGTGCCTCAGTTAACTGGGAATAATGACTCATGGCTTCTACCTCAAACATGTGAAGAAAAGTAAAATCATGTTTTTTAATTGCTTTGTGTTCCTGGAGGGGAGAGCATTCTATATAAACAACATGGGTGTTAGTACTACTAATGTTTGGCACATCTAATCACTTGACTTTTTCACCTTGAACTAAAGCAGAATAAAAAGCTAAAACTATCCTTTGACATTTCAAGGTTTCCATGCTAACAGCTGCTATTTTGTAACGTCTTACCTGGACATGTGCTTCCAGTTATAACTGGGCTGAGCCTCCTGTCACTGCAGGGTCCACAGGGACTGTTTTCACTGCCTACGAGTTTTCTGCTGGAGTCAGCAGAACAGATGAGAACTCCTGAGACAGTACCGTGCGCGTTTGTCACGGCGAGCTGTGGCGCGCACAGTTGTAAGTCATTCCTTTTACTCCAGACACTGCTTCTGTTAATGTCATGTTGTTGTCAGCGTCTAGAGACCATTTCATTTATTTTTCAATATGGTATTTAACTGGCCTCTGTCTTTTAGTTATTTTCTTTGAAAGAGATGTGAGTGTGTTCTCTTTTTGGTCAGTCGAGAAAAAGCTTGTGTCGTTTTGACAATAGTTTTGTGGCTGATTCTTAGGTAAGGTTAAAAATTTCTTCCATGTCTTTAATACCAGAATCAGACCTTCATTACTATGTATCAACTAACAGGAAATACTGCTTTTGATTCTCAGCGTATTGGAGTATCCAGAAATGTAATGAAGACTTTTCTTAATGTAGCAAAATGTTAGCTATAGAATCTAGGTGTGTTCACTGAATAATTCGACTTTTCTGTGTGTCTGAAAATTTTCACAAAATATTAGAAAAAAAGGAGATATAAAGATATATTCTGCTTTGGAGAAACTGACTTTTTGACTGGCCCCCATATGGATTTGCTGTAGTTAAGTGCCCAGCGCTGAAAGGCCGCAGTGCTTGGTGAGGCCCCTTCGGCCCGGGAAGATGAGCGTGGTGACTGGTCTCTGTTCCCGTGAGCTGCAGTGAAGGGTCCCCCGCTGAGGGATGGGAAACACAAGGAAATGTGTCTGGTGATCATAATGGGACTTCACGGATGATCAGTGTTCATAAAATAACATGCTGAAGCAACAAGAAGGAATTTGTGTGAACTCTTTCGGTTCAAATTACTGTCAGTTACTGTCTCTCTGATGGAAGCAAGATGGGATTTTTTTCATTTGGAGAAACAGCAGGTGGGAGCAGACCTTCCAAACTGAAGGCAAAGTCAAGGAAGAATTCCTAGTCAAAAATGCAGTGTGTGGGAAAAAGAGAAATCCGGGGAGTGATGAATGCTTCATTTGGGGGAAAGATCCTGTCAGGTTCTAGAAAAGAGTATATAACTCCTCCCCCAAATTTGGAGTCTGCCCCAAAGCAAGTTCATGCTGCAGTGAGCTAAAAGCCTTCATTATTGTGTTGGTTCCATTGAGTCAGCATTGCTCAGCCGCTCCAGACACGAAGAGGTGACTTCCAGAGGACTGTCTCCCAGAATCAAAGTGCATTTTAAATTTACACTCCTTGTAAAAAAGAAAACCAAAAAAAAAAAAAAAAAAGGCAGGAGCTAATGTTTTCATCACGTCTTTGTGAGTCTAGTTTGGTGTCATTTCTTAGCACCACCACATACACTGTTTGTAAACATTTTCCCCATACGTACATATATACACACGTGCACACATTTGAGGGATTTTTAATGGCCATAATTGAAGAAGGTGTTTTTAAAATAAATAAAACTGCTGATTTTTCCATACGTTTGGGAAGCAGACTTAGCTCCCCTCTCGCACCGCCCCTGGGCTATGCTGGCCCATGAACCTCAGTGCTTCACTAGAAGCACCTCCTGGACAAGGCCCTGGGAGTCTCTGGTCGTGCCTACTTGTCAGTCATATTCGTTAGCAACTGGGGTGAGCACGAACATCTTAGAAGCTAAGTGACCACGAATATCCAAGGTTCCGAGGACCAGCCGGAGCTAGCACTGTGCTGTTTGGCAACACTGACGACCCGCTCTGGATTCCCGTGTTCTCTCTGCTCCCCCGGTGCTTGCGTGTGCCCCATGGTAGGCCGCTTCACTGTTACTCGTTTGGCTCAAGTCCCAGGAGCTTGACAACCAAGTTCCAGAATAACAAGATGTCCTCCTGGCTTGCAGGAAAGAACAAAGCCATGAGTCCATCCATTTTAGTGTCCTTGGACACAGTCATTTAATCTCACTGACTCTTGCTTTGCTACAGCTTGTGTGCCCACTGGGTTTCTCAGCCTTGGCACTTGTGACACTTCGGGTCATGTCATTCCTTGTTGCAGGGGGCTGTCTTGCCCATTGTAGGGTGGCCACATCCCTGGCCTCTGCTCTCTTGATGCCAGTATCACATACTGCCCACTCCTGTTATAACAACCCAAAATATCCTCAGACGTTGCCAGCGAGCCACTGGGCTAAGACTTCCAAATACTAAAGAGCATTCACTTATTTGGGAAGAGGATTCTTTCTTTCTACAAGGGCGTAAGGATCAAGTGAGGGAATTCATAAAAATGTTTTTAAAAAAAGACTATGCAGTTGTTTAGCCTTATATTGGTATCTTTCATTTTAAAGATTTATTTTAGAGAGAGAGGAAGGTCAGGAGAGGGAGAGAAACATTGATTAGTTGCCTCTCACACCCCCCCCCCCCCCCCCGATGGGGGACGAGGCCCGCACCCCAGGCATGTGCCCCAACCAGGAATTGAATTGGCAGCCTTTCACTTTGGGGGACAGTGCCCAACCAACTGAGCCGCGCTGGTCAGAGCTGATACTTTTCATCTGAAAAGACAGAATGATGTTTGGGCCTAGGATGGCCTGGATATTCCCATCCTCCGGAGCCACCTCCCATGCCTCTCTGTCATCAAGACCCTCACTTTTTGGGAGAGGAGTTCTTGACTTGGGTTATAGACCCTTAACGGATCTGAAGATAGTATTTCTGCATGATTGTTTTCCTCTAATCCCAGGTTTTATCACCCTGCCAAAGAGGTTCAAAGGTTAAGAATCAACCAAACTTCAACCCACCCATCAGTGAATGTTGACAGAGGGTTGACCTTGAGTGGTTTGGGCAGAAACAGATGAACATACACACCTCCTTCTCATGTCAGTGCCCCCAGCTCCTAGCTGATCTGAGTTGCCCAGCTGCAGGAACTCCAGGGGTGTCTGTGGCTACCTCTGCTCCAGCCTGCTGCTGGTGCTCGCCAGCTGTGCTCACGCACCAGGCCTGGACCCCGAGTCTACCGTGCGTGTCTTTCAGGCTGTCTAGGCAGACCTGGGGGCTATGAGCGCGGTTCTGTAGGGCCTTTCCCCCTGGCATGGTAGAGATGCCGCAGCTCTCCTGCGAGTGCTTGGACGTGTGCCTTTGGTGGGGTGGGGGGCCGGGTGCAGGAGATTCCAGACCATAGTAAGACTTGGGCTCCTGTGTAAGAGATGGAAGTCTACAAGGTAATCCTAACAACATTGGTGGTCCCCTCCTGGAGGCCAGACGCTGGTATTCAGGTGCTTTGTGAGAGATGGGACCACAGCAGTGTACTTCCTATTGGTGTTTATCAGGAGGGATCTTCTACATCACAGCAGCGTGTGATCGGTCGGCACGCCCCCTTCCAAGCAGATTTTAACAATACAGTAGTTCCTACAGTGGGAAGTGCACAAAATAAGGGCCACCCTAATTTTAGAGCTAGTTTCTCCCAAGAACATTCAAGCAGGTAACATGTGAAGCACGTCTTTTCTACCATCCCGTCCCCTACCTCTGCTTTTATGTTGGCAAATGCGTATTTTAAGGCAGAGCTGCACGTATGTTCTCATTAAGTCAGGAAGCAAAGAAAAACACTGCGGAGGGGAACAGACTGTTTAATCCTGCCCGAGCGAGCGTGCTGGCTCAGCTCCCTGCATGCGAGGAGGTGCTCGCCCGGCAGAGCGGGCACAGGGCAGCCGCAGCGACCACGCTGCATGAGAGTTCAGAAGCACCTTCTGTAGAGGAAGCAAGGCCCGTGCTCCTCGTACTCAAAGCGGTGGACCCACAGTGCCTGGAAGCCCTGGAGCGATGCCAGGATGGAGCCACCCGTCCACACCGCAGTGTCTCTTTCAGGCAACACGTTGACCTGGGGGTTGTCATGGGGACACAAGCTGCTCAGCTCCTTCTGCAGACGGTTAGGGAGACCTCTGAGCATAGTGCTGCCCCCGCAGAGCAGGATGTTCCCCATGAGGTCCCGTTTGAGGGCGATGTCGCACTTGTTGAGGCAGGACACCGTCTGGGTGTGGAGGCCCAGCTGCATGGACTTGATCAGAGACGGCTTGAAGAACATCTCCGAGCAGAGGAACCTCTCCTGGCCCAGGCTGATCTGCTGCCCGTCTGGCAGAGTGTACTGGGTCGTGTGCGCAGTAGCTGGGACTTTCTTCTCTTCGATGGGGTCCAGGGCCACGAAGCAGCGTGTCTTCTTGATGTCCTCCACGATGCCCATCTGGTCCTCGGTGAAGTGTTTTCCTGAATTGTTCATCAGGCCCAGTAAGTAGGCTGTCAGGTCAGAGCCCGCATAGTCCAGCCGTCCCGTGATGCTGGGCAAAGGATAGCCTTCAAAGATGGGGACCACATAGGACACGCCGTGGCCGACCTCCACAATCAGGCCGGAGGTCTTGCCGTAGGAGTACATGGACAGGCGGGACTGGTAGGCGATGTGCATCGCGGGCATTCTGAAGGTCTCAAACAGCATTTCGGCGTACTTCTCTCTGTTGCTGTGCGGGCTCAGGGGTGGGTCCGAAACCAAGACCGCATGCTCCTCGGGGGCGATCTTCATCTCTTGCTGGAAGAGATATTCCCAGATCGCCTGCACAGAATCCCAGTCCACGATGATGCCGTGCCGCAGAGGGTTGATTAGCTTGAGATGAACCTCTGGATTGAGGAGCTCCCGCCCCACGAATGTCTGTTTGCGGCTGTCCCCCGTGCTGGCGGTCTCCGTGCAGGACTTGCCCACAGTCGATGAGATCTTGTGGCTGGGCTTTGGCAGCCCAGCGAAGCCACATTTACAGTAGCCAGTGCCAAGGTCCACGACCACAGCCTTGGTCACCTTTACCTTGGGCTTCTCGTTGACCTCTGCTGCTTTAGTAGGTTCTGGCTCCGAACAGGTGTGGTGGACCCACACAGCCCGCTTGGCGGGGCC